CAGAGACATCGGCGGCGGCGTTCCAGACCCAGCTGCGGTCACTGCCGACGTTGGCGCTGAGCTTCATGTCGGGGACGACTGAATATACATATTAGCATAGGGAATTCTTCGGAAATTATGACCGGGGAGCAATCTCACTGTAGTGGTTGGCGCAGACCTTGAGGGTCTTATCACGGCGCATGACGAGGCGGGTCTTCTGGTTCTCCTTGTGCTTCAACAGGCGGACATCACCGGTACCACGCTCCTTCCACTCCTTAGAATCGCGGTCGAACTTGAAGAGCTTGGCGCGCATCTTGAAGGACTGCTCCTCAAGCTCCTCGTTGGTCTTGGTCTCAACCTTCTCAGTCAGGCGAATCACGGGCTCGAAGTGGACATCGACGGACTCCTCGACTTCATCCTACATTAAAACATCATGGTCAGTATATGCGCGGAGCTAGAATGATAACGGGCATTCGGATAGTATGGTTTGGTTGCGACGACCCCACTATCTGGTGAAAGGGGCACAAGATCCCGCCACCAAGAACAAAAGTCGATGCAACAAGCATCGAATGTATCAAACTCACCTCATCGTTGGCCTTCTGGGCCTTGGAAGAACCGGAGGGCTCATCAGTAGGCTCCTCGGCATCCTCCTTCTTTTCCTTCTTAGGACCGCCACCAAACATGGAGAACATGCTGTCAGAGGTCTTCACAGCAGCATCCTTGGCAGTCTCGACAGCCTTCTCGGCGGTCTCAGTAGCGGTCTCAGTAACGGCCTCGGTGGTGGACTTCTCACCCTCGCCGGTGGCGGGGGTGGTCTCCTCAGGCTTGGTCTCGGAGGCAGAGATGGCGGGGTCGGGCTTAGTCTCAGTGATGTCGGACATGATGACGAGGGGCTCAAGAGAATCGGGTTGAGAAGTTGAAAAGAGGGATGGCAGAGATGCACAGGAGATATGGAATTTCAGTAAGAGATAGTGTTTGTTGATCAGAGAAAGCAATGAGGGGGGAAAAATTAATACTTAGTTTGGGTCCCATGCCCGGCAGAATCCGCCACCGCTTTGGTCTGCCCAATAGTGTTTGTTGTATAAATGTGAACTACATGAAACAACATAGAATTAAGAAAGAATCTTCTCTTTCAGTGGGTACTTTCAGATAAGACCAAATTCTGATGAAGGTGTAAATAAGAGATACCATTGCGCCGACTGAATAGTCCGTCCGAAACCCCATGTCCAGTACCATTGCCACCCAAACCTGATCGCCCATAAACAAAAACCTGTCTGCAGCCAACTCATTAATAGGGGAAAAAAGCAACTACAAAGTCGTGAAGTAAGTTGATCATTTCGAGCCAGGAGTGGAGCAATCCCCGGGCTTGCCAGAACGGAATCCCATAACATATCGTGCACGCGACTGAGCTCGATCTAGCGCATCGCATTTTCTAGCGTTGCGCACTCGATCCATCATGCTGCGGGGGTCAAGCTTTGTTGCTGACTTCCCCAGTCGGCTCCATGCATCATGAACAAGGCCCTTGGCTTCTTTGTTCATGCGACTAGACCGCATCTGTAACACAGAAGAAACACTCCGGAATCGCTGGATAGTATTGCGAGTCAAGACTTCTGAAATTTGCTTTGAGCGTGATAGAACGACATCACGGGCATTCAGGCTCTCGCGGCGTAGGTCGTCGGCATCGCGGCGCAAGAAATGGGCTCTTTTCACTACATCTCCCATGATCACCTGTAAGTCCGTAGAAAAGCGGCCGTATACATCACTCAGGCCAGTCTGAGCCGTATGGATTTCCTTGACGAATTGTGAGGAAATTTCCTGTGCTGCGCGTTTCCAGTTTGCGATCTTCAGCCACGGAGTTCCGAAGTCAACAGCCATGGTCTGGCTGATTGGCTGTTTGGACTTGGTTGTGATCGTCAAGTTGATTAACCCGTATGCATCCTCGCGGTTCAACTTCAACGTGTAGACTCCGTCAAAGAGCTGCAACAGCTCGTATGTAAGAGCTTTGTTTTCCCGGTGGACGCTCACATTGAATTCAGGCTGTTTCTTGGATGATGCAAACTTATGTGGTGGCTTGATGATAACATGGCAGTCTCCAACAACCTGAATGGCAAATTCGTTCGTCATCTCCCGTGGTTTCGCAGTAGAGATAGTCGGCAATATGACATCCTCGGGGATTGAGTTTCCCGAATAGGGCACATGCAGTAGTCGCATAGACGATGATGACCGTGTTGAAATTGAGGGCTGTGCCACTCGATTCAGGGTCAAGACGGAGGTGGGAGAGACCGGGGGTGCCACAGGGAAGGATGCATTGGATAGAGCTGATCCGGCAAAGCATTGCGCTAAGAATACGACTAGCACTTTAACAGCCGCATACCCAATAGAGATGGCAATGGCCGAAATGAGAGTCAAAGTAACCAGACGCAGCGTGGGAGCCAGCTCTCGCACCCGCGCGGCATAGGAAGGCGGGAGCCAATTACCCGGATACTTTTCAAAATCCGCAAACATGTGCCTCTGGGGAGGCTTAGGGGTGTCGGCAGTGACTTTATATCCCTTCTTTGGATACAGGCCAACAAGAGAAGCCAGATTTCGATTCAACTGACCAGGGGTGATGCTCTCGAAAGTCTTCAGATCGATTGGATACCGTCGGAGAACTGCGGTCTCTCCGGAAACTGGATGGCGGGACTCCAGACATGTGTGTAGACTGTTGTGGTTGAGAGGTATCGCCTCTCCAGCCATATTCCACAGCGGCTCCTCTGAAATGACCATTGCCGGGACTCCATGACGTTCCAGGAACATGTGAACAAGGTGCTGGGTCTTTGCGGCTGCTGCATCATCGAGGCCTGAGACAAAGAGAATTGCCACATCCGGTAGAGTCCAGTCCGTTGCAGATGTTACATGGTAGTCAGACTCCTTCCAGGCCGAAGTGCAAACAGGGCGGTTCTTGAACTTCAGGTTGAGTGAACTGGGTCGGTCCGCGTGGGCATCGGCCGTGGCTTCCAGACATTCGTCAACCACAAGCTGAACATGAATTGGGAGAAGTTCCGCGAAGTTGGGAACAGCTCCGGCGCCAAATGAGGTTGGCACGACATGATATCGGGAAGACTCGGCCGAGCTGGGCTCTGAACCGGCACATGAGCTTGATACCAGAACATCGCCGATCTTGTCCAGAATTATGTTTCGGAACCCCGGTTGCCCGACGTAGAGCACGCGGAAAGGCTTGTCCAGGTCTAGGCCCTCCTTCGTCATGGTCTGTTGAACCGTGGCCATGAGGATGGAGTCGGTTGAATTGTAAGGCAGCCGACTCTTCAACTCTGAGGCTGCAGCACCTTCAAATATGCGGATAGTATGCTTGAGCTCCACCCTCTCGATCTGGGGCCACTTCTCGGGCTCCACGAATTCGATTGAATCACTGGTGCGGGGGAAAGAGGGCTTCGTAGTTGTAATGCTGTCGTCGATCGTGGCTCGTCTGGCAGCAAAGAGGGCGGGCAGCTCCTGGGAAGCCGATTCGGTGCACTGCACCTCATCCCTGTCCATTCCATCGTCCTCTTGGTTGTCTTCATCCTGTGCTTCGGCCTCGCTACCGCTGTAGTGTCCATCGAGGCTTGAAACATCGTCAGGGCTGGCCTGGTCGATCAACGAGCATGCATCAGTTTGTTCGGAGTGGCTGCCATCCTCTGAGCGTATATCAGACACACTCAAAGTCGCCCAGCTATCACTCAGGGTCTTGTGTGAATGGTCAGAAAATCGATCTGACGTCATATTGGTAGGCCGTGAACGGGATAACCACTCCTCGACAGAAGCTGTCAGGGGTGGAAGTGTTGGATATTGTAGACTCGAAGCAGTCTGGGCACGGGAATACCGCCTATGAGGCGAGTCTGGATCGTCAGTCATTTCGTGGATGTAAACTTCATGGAGCGGGTGCGGCGGAAACAGGAGCTTAGGGACAGCCCAAGCCGGGAGAAGATCAAAAAAAGGCAAAGTTAGAGACAGAGAGATATAAAGCAAAGAAATAGGGAAAGGAAAGGGTCAGAAGATACTAGGAATAGGCAGAGACTCAAGCCCAAATAGAGCGATAAGGCGGGTGGGTCTGCGGGGAGCCGGATGTTAGGAGAGTCAGGTGCGTGTCCGACTTGAGGAAGGAAGGGCCTGGAGAGGGAAAAAAAAAGATGTGAAAACGTTGAAATGCCCAAGTGTTAAGAAACACGAAGAGACATCAAAGAGAAGTGAAAGGTAAGAAGGGTTAATCAGGGGTGTGTTGCGATAAGAATGACCCAAGTGACAGTAATGGCGGGGTAGTACATGGTACTTGAGTGTTGTATGGTGATGCCAGCGATGATGGCGGTACCAGATACCATCACAGGTTGATACCTAACTCGCAAAGTCCTTTGTGTGCTCTCGATGCACTCCAAATGTACTCCAATTTAAAGAAAGGATCTCTTGAACCTATCACATTCCTTTCAAAAGAGCTACTTCTTATACTTCTATACTAAGGAGCTCCACTATGCCCCACCATGATCAGCCGTTAAGCCGCTTTATATACATCTGTACCTCCTTTGATACAGTCTACACACAAATGAAAGTTGGTGAAAAAGACTACATCTCGGAATCACCTCGCTTCACTGCCTCGATTTGAGATCTTCAGCCCTCTAAAAGCAGTGTCACACTAGTCCGAACTCCCCCTCGCTGGACAAGATCCACCGGCATACCCGAATAATCCCTGCACGCATGATCGACCCGCTTCTCATGCAGAATGAAGACAGCGGCATAGGGCCATGACTGCCCAGGGATATGGCTGAGCATTAACAGCCCATTTACGGCGGCTCGGGACTAACACCAAATTTCAAGAGGCGAACATTATCTTCTTTGAGCGCCCAGTTAACATTGTTCAGTGGGAAGCTGTTGTCAATGTGAACTTCGCCTAGGTAGATGCCCGATTGGTTCATTACGCAGCCGTCTACTCTTGGACCGATAAATCTAGTGCAGAACGTATCTAGAAACTGATTTGAGAGCTCTTGTAATGCCTATTGAGAGTCACAGGGCTCGTATAGTGCTCCAACACGAGAGAACTCTTGACAGCCCATATAAATACCAACAAGCCTCGACCCACTCGGGGCCTTGTATACTCTGTCATACTCTAACAGCCGTTCGCTGTCTGCAGACGCATCATCCTTGCACCACACCTCTCGACAGTTGTAATCGACATTATGGGCCACGTCCAGGGGCGGAGATGTTGAAAGACCAAGCTTATGGTACCAAGGCTGCTCATTTCGTTCAACATCAAACTCGATCTCCATAAGCTTGTGGTGCGCGCTCGCAAAAGCAGCTGAGAAGCCAACAATCCGAGCATCCGGCGGAAAATGAACTGTTTGACGGGCCTCAGTGTCGAGGTCACCTATGCTCGCTGTTTCACCTGACGTATAGACGAAGACTAGTCCGACAATTGTCCGTTCTTTGAAGTGGGCCTCAGCTGTAATTATGGTCTCTATGCAGCCATTGTCATTCTGCCTCTCAAAGTAGAGATTCCGTACCTGGTCAAAAGGTACCACTTGTTTGGGGACCATTATTCGGGCTTTTCGGCGGTTTCCATCCGTCGAAATGACAGCTCTGACGCGCTCACATGATAGATTCAATATCCAAGAGATAGCTGTGAGTTTCTCATCGGAGTCAGCCTGATACTGGTGGTGTTGTAGCGCTTGGGATGATATAGACTGGAAGTCTGGAGCGCGAAACGTCACACTGCGAGAACGCGTTGTTTCAAGGTGTATGGCTGCAACTTGGCCTATTTCCATCCCGGGGCATTCAGTAGAGAATCCCGTTTGAACGAGCCAGATAGTCAAGGATTGTATGTACTCGTCTTGAGACAGTTCAAACCCATCATCTAGTGGATGCATCCATTGCCCTACAATGCCAGGGCTTGGATGGCCGTAATACTCGAGCTTCAGGCCGGATATGCGACTTCGAGATCTAGACCGACCTTGTATGCCTGTGGATGCCTGTATTTTCCGGACATTCTTGAGGCACGCATAGGTCTGATAGTTACCGGGATTGATACTATTAATGAAATGAGAAAACTTTTCGTCATATCGCAGTTGATCCTCAGGTATTTGATGGCATTCGCGATCCAGTGTATCTGGTATATTAGGTTGTTTGCCACACTGCTGGGACTGAATGCCGACGCGCTCAAATCGAGTCGGGGTTGTCTAGATCTGTTTAGCTGTTGTCTGTGTCTGATTGAGAATTCGCTACACACCTTTTCAACTGCAACCAATCCGGTGATGATGTTGCTGGGCGACGAAATTGGTATGAACTCAACAGCTGCTTTGAGCCGATAGCGAAGAGGAGCGAAAGTAGCAGTTCGTCCATAGTTCGTTGACATCTGACCCAAATTAGCATCTTACATACACACGGGTCCAAATAAGGCGTAGGAAATACCTGCACACCACCGAGACCCTCTTCTGGATGGGCTCTCCGAATGTTTGGCAGTATCCCGATTCGATTGATACGCTCCCCATTTGATCCGTCGACAAAGAAGGAAATCTCGCAACCACCGCTAGAACCGAAAATTACAGACCTCCCATCAGAGTACGATATCTCTATTCCGATGAATAGGTGAGGGTCAGAATCCATATGAAGCGTAAGCCTTGCCAAGGATGCGAGAAACAGGCCCCCTGGACCACCAAAATCAATGTTGGTCAAGGGTGCAAAATTCCGGGAAGACTGGGACGGTAAAAGAATGCTAATCCTGGATTCCTCTTGTCTTGGAGGATGTGGCATCCATAAATGAGACTGTACATAAGATGAATCCATAACATGTTGAGAAGACTTCAGAGTTTCAAAGTGAGGTGCCACTTCGCCGAGGCCGAATGAAACGATTTTGTATCGATCCAAACCTACAAGCAACTGGTTTGACCTCTCTGAGATGTTCAGTGTCCCATGAGCAACTCCTGGGCCGTTGGAATCTCCAATCCAGCCCGATGAATTTGACCCGGTGTATATAAATTTGATTCCCGTCAGCCCTTCAGAGCAAAACGCCACGCCGAGCGCTCTCACGTGGAGGGTGTTTGGTACTTCTACCCAGGTCTCAGAAGCCGAATTGTGATATCCGACTCGGCGGTCAACCATACTGCGCTCCTGGGATTGGAATAGATTTATTCCAGATATAAAGATCTGTGCACCAAATTGGATGGTTGAGATACCTATTCGTTGTCGACCCTGCTGAATTGGGGTAACAAACGATTTCGTCCTGTGGTAAAGCATGCGGCATCCCTCATATAATGGGCTGTCCGTGCCAACAGAGGCTAGCTGGCCGGAAAAGAAGCTGGCTACCTTTATGAACCAAGGCAGCTTCTCGGCATTCTCATCATCGATGGGCTGATAATATCCATCTTGGCTTTGCGCCGGGTGGATGGCAGACCCGTATAGTCCATTTCTCAAAAGAGGCTCTAGACACACAAGAGCAGCAATGGGCTCCAGCAGCTGTCGGGTTCTTTTCCGGTTGGTCAATGACAGGGTGCCTATATTGAGGGATTTTCTGGTCCCAAAGAAAAGCAGATACCAGTCCTGAGCACCCATAGGATCCAGGAAAAGAAAGTCTGCTTCCTGGCCCAGAAGAAATCTACTTCGCCAGTATGACTGTGGAAGCATGTTGACACTTGCAAGTACGGCTAGATTCCAGCATACAAGTCTTACATTGAGGAGTTCTTCACAGGATAAATATGAGAAGATCTCGAATTTCAGCTCAAGTGAGAGTCTATCCAAGATGTAGTGCTTAGGTCTGTCCGAACTTCGGCACATTTGTTTCGCCATAAGAGCTGGCTCCACGGAGCTTGATCCAGACGTGCTCTCTTCGCTGTGACAATCAATCCCTGCCGCGGTTGTAGTCGTCGGGCGATTCCCATCTGGTTCTTTCCAGGGCGAAATATCACGCATCTTGCGGAACTCAGGCGCGGCTGTTTCTAACTCCTTGAGAGAGGGAATTGCACAGGGGTCAGCGTAGAAATGTGAGATCGGATCCACTGCCTTGGGGAGCCCGAACGATTTGTGTGTTTGCGCAGCTCCATCATAGTCGTGGCCAAATTTGAAGATGGACGCGTCGATACAAGGGGTGCAATACAATTGATAAAAAACCGACTCTGAGATAGTCGCTTCACTCTGGCAGGCATCATCCGGTTCACAAGCAAGCCTGAGGAGAAGCAATTTCCAACATGAGTCGTGGAATCCGAAGCACCAACGGCTTTCCGAGGATCCACAAAGTCTCCATTCCTCTAGCGCCTCATCTCCCACCTCGACATAAGATTGATTGCTGTCAGGCGGCGCAAAGAGAATGTTCCGGCCGCGTACTATCCCCAGCCCAGTTGTGGTGATATCGCCAGCACACGCATTAGTCGAATAGAGACCTCGTACTTCTGCATACCAAGGTCGAATGCGAGAGTTTAAAGATACTGGGTCATCATCACTGTAGGGGTCGGCCAGCAGAACAACTCCACAGAGTGAACAGTAAACGTTGGGAATCAGATGCATCAAAATAGGGGTCATGCGCTTCCGCGCCCTTGTTTTTCAATTTACAAGCCCCTAGACACAGTAAGTTAATTAGTTAGCATTAAAGAATGGAGATGTAACCCGGATATTATATTGATATCTCAGCTAACACCGACATAACGTGGGATAGCGATATATACCCGTGGACCTTCTGTGGAGACGCCCCTGACTCATCCGCCACCATCGGCCTAGAGCAGTCCCGTCCGCTATCCCATCGGTATCCCATCGCTATCCCGTCATGCCGGCATCCCAACACCATCTCAAACATATAGTCTTGTTAGACCTATTTATCTGGCTATAATTACACCATAGCTGCTGATGATCAACTGTAGGGAGACACTCTATCGTTAACCTTCGGGTCATTGGGCTTAAACAATCTTCGGTCCAATTTTTTCAGTCTATCGCTCCATCCGTTGTCGCCATCATCTCAAGAGTCTGGATTTCGATGACAACACAGCAATCCCGTTTTCAATGTTACCATCCCGGGTGTGGCCTAAGCTACCGACGGAAGGAACATCTGACTCGGCATGCTAAGAGTCACTTCCAACCAGAGTTTTTCAAATGTCCGTTCTGTGATGGCGTTTTTACCAGGAATGACACGCTGCGGCAGCATGTCCGTGCTCATCATAAAACCAAAGAGCTACAAACCTCCCGAGCAGTTCAAGCTTGCACCCTTTGTCGCTCACGACGGTCAAAATGTGACGGACAGTCTCCCTGCGATGCTTGCTTCCAGCGAGGAATTCATTGTTCATATACCCAAAACTCACGAGGCCGGGCGTTGGAGCAAAACAGGTCTCGAGGAAGTCACACACCTTCTGCAGTACCAGCATATCCTATGCAGCGTTCGGGAAGTATTGAAAATAGCCCATGTAGAATCGCGCCATATGTCCAGGCTTATTTCGACAAATTCCACCCAAAATGGCCATTCTTACACCCAGCGACGTTCGATCCCGATACTGAGCTGAATTTTCTTACTCAATCGGTGGTGATGATGGGCTCGTGGGCGATGGCGGAGAGCAATACCCAACAGATCGCAAAAGACCTACATAAAAGACTATCGTCCTCGATATACGAGCAAAGAGTTAGTTCAGCCCTTTCTTCGATATCGTTACATGTCCGTTCTTGTTATTAAAGATTTATTAAGCAAATATGGGACATATCGAATCACCATGACGAGCCACACTCGCAACATCACGAAATATCCTCATCTGGCCCCACACCCTGGCCAATGGCAACATACCAAGGGATCTTATTACACCTCATCTTCTCTCTCCTCGTCAACTATGACCAGTCAGACCTGCAATTGACTCGGGTTCTCCCCGAGATTCCCTCTCAGCTTCTCGTTTCCCTTGTGCGCAGCTGTTTGAAGCGGCACATGTTCTTCTATCCTTCAATACTAGCCCAATTTATACCAGGAGTGGACCCCAATGTCTTTATCTGGCTCGGTATTGAGGAAGTAAAGCGGTTCGACTTGTGCTTGTACAGGGTATGCAAGCATGCGCGGGTACACGACACCAAACTTTCAGAAGACGCGCCCAATTTCAGCCCTCGGCCTGGACCACAATCACCGAGCGGTAGTCTTCTTTCTCTCACGGACCTACAATTTGCGGTGCCAAGCAGTGATGAGCTCTGGCATGCTACTTCAGACTTGGCTGCGAAACTCGCAGGAAACGAAGCCGCGTATACCAATGATAATATCGAAGAGAATTGGATTTCTCAGACTGCACGACTTTTGCAGCCTCGTGAGCAGCAATTTCAGTGGATGTAATGATATTCAATTGCAAGGGCGTTGTTGTGTATATACCATCTTCCATTCGTGAAACTAAATATAGAGGTACCTAGTGACCGATTCGATTGTTAAACATCTCTTCCTAGATATTTTTTTGAATCGTCACCAGTTCACTCCGGGTCCTATCACTCTTCTCAGAAGTAGTTCTCTATTGTCACAACTACCAGCAAATTTCTACCTAGCGTGAGAAAATCCTAGATTTTTGATTTTTGATTTCTTAAGCCTCAAATGATTATTTATTTGCTACCACACCCAAAAAAATTGTTGATATGGCTCGCCGATAATATACACTTAACCGTGCTTTGGAATTGGGCTCCAAGAATGAAAAGAAAAATATATATAGCGCATTTGGTCGTCTGTCATCCCGGCTCTTTCTTAAGTCTGTCAACTACTCTCAACCAATTTGGTAACCCAGAAGAATGTTTCAACAGCCACCATTCGAGGCATCATCATCAACAAGACACCCATACAATTCAGCAGAGAGATAGAACGTGTTGGACCGCTTTCCGTCGACCTTCTCCTTCATACCAACCCAGCTATGAATGCCACGACCAGCCTCCAACGGCCGACGCTGCACGGCGCTCACGGCATTCCTATACCTCTCTCGGTAGAGCAGAGGCGCAGAAATGGCATCCATATAAGTCTCGATGCGCTCCTGTGCCTGAGCGTCATTTTTTGCGTGACAGCACATTGGGTATAGGATCGTACGAGCCGACGGCCGAGACGGGTCTTTGTTTTTGAAATGGAAACAGGATACCCCAGGTTCTCCACGGTACGGGCCAAGCGATCCACCCGCCATGATCGAGTAGAACTGCTCAATGTCTTGAACACTGGAATTGGGATCCATTTTGACATGCTTTTCCGCGATTTGCGTTGCGGATGCGCCAGGGTGTGCAACGTAAACTTTGGCTTCGGCCTCTTCTGGGTTTGGCGACAGGCCAAGCGAGAAGTAGATGGGATAGTCGTCGCCAGTCATCATGTTCTCCAATAACTTCCATGAGGTGGCCAGCCCCAGACGCTCTAGGGCCTCTCGGGTCACGTTGAAGGCGTTTTGTCTCCCCGAGGCTAGTGGGCTCAGGTAAATCTTCCACTTTTCAAGTGTACTTGAGGTAACAAAGCTGTGCCATGAGGCTAGCTTACCCTCAGGTCTTGAGGGGAGAAACAGGTCTTGAACGAGGTTCAAGCGGTCTAGGGAGACCTTTGTGGGGCCGTACTCAGTCGCTATGTCTTCGGTCAAGCGTGAAGTTCTTTCTTGGAGGGCAGCTAGGCTGTTTTCTTCGGGTTGGGCCTCAATCAGAAACCGCAGCTCAGATGCTCCAGTGTGTTGGGACAGAGCCAATGAGTACTCAAAAGGTGAGTGATCATTACTCACGTCGGAAACCCAGGCCGAGGTATCCAGCTTCTGCGGTACGGCATTTTGGAACCATTCTCCACCGGAAAACTCCAAGGCGTATAGCAGCTTCTCTCGCGTGGCCTCGTCTTGTCCAATGGCTTTAGAAAGACGTTCCACTTGGTGATGGGCCTCGTTAAGATAGGTACCGTTAACCACCTGCTTTATGGGGGCTGGAGCAGACGGCGCCGGCACAGTAGGCTTAATTGAAGTTGAGGTGTGCTGATTCTGGTAGACGAACTGGTGATTTTGCGGGTACGACCAGGCTTCATGTTGCTTCTGGTCTAAGAGAGCCATATTTGATATAATATTGCGACTATCAACCAACTAGGATGGGCGCTGTGTATGCAACGATTACATTTGGCAGAACGTGATCTTATATAGAATCGAGATACTATTTATAAATGATTCCTCTGAGATCCGGTGTAGACAAATAAATCGGATTTCGAAGAAAACCTGTAACTATCAGGCTAGCCAAGGCGCTCTTGCTATTCCTAGTGCAAGCTGGGCGCTTACTTTGTGCAAATAAGAAAGCATTCTCTGTCAGATACAGTCAGACAGACACGGCACACGATACATACGTTTTTTGCTAGATACCCAGTCATGCTTACTGGTCCTATATAAGTGATACCGTAGGCCCACTGGACCACATGAGGATGAACCGGATTATCCGTTGCTAGCCGGGGTAGGAATTTATATAGACTATGTGAAGTTAAATGTAATGTGCATTTACATGCCAAAGTGCTCTTAGTGCCTAGTTTTTCGCCCCTAAGCACTAGTAAACTAGAGCGTTCTGATTAGGAATATGGCCTCTATTGCAACATTACCACATGCAGCAGGTCAGATTAATATCTACAGATATTGTTCTACTGCTAATAACCACAATATCCTAGAACCTACCTCAACTCTTCGGTTGGTCACATATTATCTGCAGCTATACGAAGTATATGTATCTCACATATTAAACAGTAGCATGGTAGTGCTTATACGGTTACCCATACGTGCATGAAGCCACCAACTATATTGAAATGACACCTTCCCAAAACTTGCCTAGCTCTTGAGAAGAAACAGGGAAAATGTGCCGCTGTTATCAGAAAGTACTGAGCTCAGATAAATATTCCTTATGCTAATATTGCGAGGGCTAAATTCTGTTCTGCAGCCACAACCAATCATTCATCAGTTTATTTGTTCAAGTCAGCCTTTCCCGGAGAGGCTATCAAATGAAACCTCCCAATGACCAACGATTGTACCTATTTGACGTCGCTTGGCCAATACAATGGAAGGCAGGAATATGAGCCCTATTGCCATTGTCCAAGTATTAGCCTTGAAGCCTCAACCCCTCGTGACATGGACGAGCGGTGTATCTGCACTTACGGTTGGCCTCACTACCCTACAGATTTGAGTTATGTTCTACCACCCTCCAAAGCTTCACGTTGATAGTTGTAGTGTATTTGGCTTTGTGTTGGAACGTCTTACCCCTCTTCAATCTTCATTACTGAGACACCCCGATATATAGCGCACATGCCAAGTACGATGCTCCAATTGACGTCCAGTTACTATACCCCACATGGAACGATCGCGAGCCGCTTTTCTTGTTATTCTGCGCCATCGGATCCTTTGGGGCCTAGAAGGGCTGACGATTTTCTCGGCAGTCAGAATAAAGCTTTTTCTACGCCTGGCATTGGACAAAATTTCAAAGCAACGTGGGCTGTGGCTGTGGGACGCCTAGAGTCCTTGGCTACAACAACCAAGGTAACATTGCATATAGCCTGGAGTTAGTGTAGATCCGTAGTTAGTACTATTTCTAATTTAAAATCAAATTTTAATCAACGCATCAATTCGTTTGCTTGAATCATAGCGTGTAAACCACCCAGGGTATCTAAATTAGAGCGTAAAAGCCCAAGTGGGTATTCGAGGCATCAGCAATTTGACAGCCGAAAACACATGGAATCTTCTTGTATACACTCCGTACCGAGGATGTCTTATTTTTGAATATTTTCATAGTCCAGCCACTTACAATGCTTCTTCATAGTTAAATATCTTTTCAGATATAAGTATGTATATATATATATATAAATATATATAAAGTAACGGTAACGGTTGTCCACGGGTAGTTCACAGTCCCTGATATAAAATGTTGCCTTTGAGCGGGAATGCCGGTGGTCTATTAACCTGACAGATACTAAACATTTTCCCCGATGAATATCCTCCTGGCCTTGACCTTGAAACCATATGTTTTCCGTCTCAGCACTTGGTCAAACATGGCCATTTATTGCGCCGAGATGAAATGTGTGGCGTCTTACTGATGCACCAATCACAGGGGTACCGCTGATTTTCACCCAATTAACTGCGACAATGCCCAATGAGGCTTATTCGATACTTCTCAGCCCCCGGGGCTTCTTGTCAGCTCAAACAGCCCTGGACGGGAGGCCCGTGATTACTCCGTACATGCCTTATCTTTCCCTCCATCCATGCAGGGTGATTTAACCTGCTTCTGTCAACACTCTTAATCTGGTTGCGCATTCTCCCAATTTCAATGTATACAGCAACAATCATAGCCATTGCCGGGCTGTTAATAGGCACTTATATTATCACGCGGCGTAAATCAGCGTCTTTGCCCCTGCCGCCAGGCCCTAAGCCATTGCCAATCATTGGCAATGTCCATCAAGCTCCCAAGTCCCACGGCTGGAACACATATCGCGAATGGAGCAAGCAGTATGGACCCATTGTTCACCTGAACATGCTTGGACAGCACGTCATAATTTTGTCTACGTCTGAAGTAGCCCACGAACTACTGGCGAAGCGTGGAGCTATGTTCTCAGACCGACCTCGTCTTTTTGCAAGACTCTCTTCAATATCATTCGTGGAACATGAGCTAATCTAAACTGCAGTTGGCGACGGAGTTGGCCTTGAAAGGACTTAACATTCTCATGATGAATTACACCGAGCAATTCCGACAACATCAGAGGCTACAGGTCTCGGTGTTAAATGCGACACCGGTAGCCGCCTATATTCCCCTCCAAACTCTAGAGTCACAGCAATTGATGCACGATCTCCTGGAAAGTGCGGGCGGCGCTGGTGCTGAGGTTCAAGGACATTTTCAGCGCGCAGTCGCTAGCATCATCCATACATTACTGTATGGTTTCCGTGTTAAAGACTGCAACGACCCAGTCCTTCGCACCGTGGTTAAACTCAACGATGAATTTTCTCAGTTTGTTCAGGTGGGCGCGCACATTGTCGACCAGTTCCCCGTGCTTAATAACCTGCCTGGCTTCTTGGCCCCATGGCAGGCAAAAGCTGAGAATCACTACTCGACCAAACATGATCTGCGGGACAAAAACTTCCAGCAGGGCCTGGAGTCTAATGCCTGGAATATATCGAAGTATCTCAAGAAGTCTGTCGAAAAGGACGGCCTCGAGATGCCCTTGAATGAGCTAGCGTTTGAGCTAGGTACCATGATCGACGCCGCTTTGGATGGCACCACAGATAGCTTGATATGGTTTGTAGTGGCTTGTGTCACGCAAGACCAGGGCTTCGTCGCTAAGGCACGCAAGGAGCTAGATGCCGTTGTCGGGCACGACCGACTCCCAGCCCTAGATGACAAGCCCAACCTACCGTACATCACCGCGATTGTCGAAGAGATATTCCGTTGGCGACCCGTTGGCCCCGAGGGCGTCCCTCACTTAAACAAGGAAGAAACTACCTACAATGGATATACCATTCCCAAGGGATCTGTTATAATACCCAACGTTTGGACAATCTCTCGGGAAGAGTCTGTGTTCGGCCCAAACCCCGACAATTTCATACCGGATCGCTGGCTCGACGAGCATGACGGAAAGCTCAAAGACCTCCCCGCTGCCGGCTTTGGTTACGGAAGGCGGACCTGCCCTGGGCGGTATTTCGCCCGCAATTTTATCTGGATCGTCGTTGCTCGGCTTGTATGGTCATTTGATATTAAAGCTGGTCTGTCCGAGGAGACGGGCGAGCCCGTCGTCATTGACCCTTCTGCATGCACCTATGGCCTGGTTATGCGGGCCCTGCCTTTTAAGGCTTCATTTAACCCTCGTGGACCTTGGGTGCGTGACGTGATTGCCAGAAATGGTGACACTTATAGCAAGGACCATGTGGCCATGCTCAACCAAATTGGAGCAGAGTTCGCTAAGTTTTAGCGAGCCCTATTCCTCTTTTCTCTCAATGTACACACATATGCAAACATGAAGTTTGATCTGAGTAATCTCGCGCGCAAATAGTCGGTCTTACTATGACAGAACCAGATGGGCAATACAATCTGTCGCTTACACTGCGAAATGGCGTTAGAGACGCTGCAAATGACTCATGTCGGATGGCTGAACCAAATGAGTGTGCTTGGAACTTTCGATCTGGGCTCACATATAATTGAATATCATCAGTCAGACATTTAACATAGAAAAATTTGCTTTTCCCGCCTTTTTCCGTCATCTAAAAAGATCGTTGAAAAGCCTTATAAAGACGACGTAGGGCCGCGCGAGCGGCCGTCTATCTATTCATGTGTTCCAATTACGAAAGTCTACCTATTCTATACCAAAAAAACTGATCCATACATAGGATTGATAGTAAGCACTCCTCCATTCAGAATGGACAAAAATAGTCGCGCCCGGGATCGAACCGGGAACCTTCTCGGCACAGAAATGTGAGCGAGACGCCATGACCATTAGGCCACGCGACTTGATTAATAATGTTCTTTCCCATCAAATGTTACAGGTAGCATGACATCAGGTAAAGATTTGTGCGCTAAGCAGCCCCAAACATGTAGTGAATGCGATAAGTTCTGTACATATATATCAAGTTTTGAGTACTAAATGGCATTTAGATAATTTAAACGCTTCGATATCTCGATATCGACAATCGCATGCTATGATCTAGTGATATCTCTCTCAATTAGTACGTAAGAAGTAGAAATTCTCTAGGCTGCTCGAACAGGTAAATTTTGCTTTTGCTCATAGTATTCAAAAATGAATCAAATTCCATCTAAAGTCGCGTGGCCTAATGGTCATGGCGTCTCGCTCACATTTCTGTGCCGAGAAGGTTCCCGGTTCGATCCCGGGCGCGACTATGTTTTTGTTCGTTTGTGTGTGAATAGTATGCACTCTAGTTTAGCCTCGGTCCAGATCATGATCCATTCTGTATTCGGTCTTGCTAGGAGTAATGTTTTTAGATTATATTGCAGACTACGAACATGAATGTTTATCGGCTTAGTCAAGCTTCTTTCTAGTTACAAAAAAAAAGTATATAGTTTTGACTAACACTGAGTGACTTGAATAAGACCCAGCTTATATATTTGGTCTAATCCATGGCCTCTCGATCATAGATATATGTATGGAGTAGTATCTTCCAGATTTGGTTTGAGGAGCACGATAAAGAGTGTTAATTTTATGTTAAGTCGCGTGGCCTAATGGTCATGGCGTCTCGCTCACATTCCTGTGCCGAGAAGGTTCCCGGTTCGATCCCGGGCGCGACTATTTTTGTTCGTTTGTGTGAGAATAGTTGAGCAGCCTAGCCTGGCATTTTGTCGTGGTCATGATCCATTCTATCTTTTTACCATGCTTATTGCATATGTAATCGCGGTAGGTATATCAAATTTTTTTGCATGTTGCGAAGTTATATATTTCTTAGTACACATGACATGAACATCTATAATGAATTATGATTTATGATTTATTGGGCCAGGCTCAGCGACATAAGCCAATTGCCCACTGGAAAGCAGAGTCCAACCCCCAGATGGCCCCGTTAGCTATGTTACTCATTGCGGAGTTCTGATGACAGGTAGTTAAATTGACCGCATCCAGCTGTTGGACGTGTTAGTATTTATAACTCAATGTTCGGGCTATATAGCGCAGCCCCCTTCACATTACTACTTCTGCGAATACGAACAGACTGTAATAATGCTTCCTTGCTCTTTACCAAACGGAGTTTCCCGATGATATTCCCACTTGACGGCCAGATAATGTGCCTAGTGGATGCTTATGCAATATCAGAAAGGTTCCCATAAAGGAGCTTCTCTCAAAATCTTGGAGAGACGTTTAATCAATTCTCCAAAGGATTACGGCACATGCCTGCACGCTGAGTCCTTCCTTCTTGATATCGACTACTAGTCTAGCAAAATACGGAATAGGGTTGATTGGGATATACGCAGACATTACTCGACTATTGCCATTGCTTCGGGGACCTAGGCTTTGAAGCAGAGTACGTTAGCGGTACACATAGAATATACACCCCGGTGAATTTCTGTAGAACTGTACCAAGACTCTCTATAACACCGAGGGTGCTGTCTCTATGTCTTTTAGTAGAGCCAGTTTTACCTAAACTTGCAGCACAAGTATGTACGCTGTTAGTGTTCATTCCATCAACCATATCGGGTCGGCTACTTGAACTGGGAACGGTGCCATAGTGCTACACATGGTAAAACCCATGACACGGAGACCGGGAGTAGCGACAGAGCGACAGAAGTGGGTTCAGATTTTGGTACGCTATCATCTTGGAAATCCATTGGTCTGGTGGGTATATTTGATGTGATATTAGCTTGGTGATTAAACTATGGTGATACATGGAACTTGGATCAGGGGTTTGATCATTCGAGTATTAAACAGCAGACTGACATAACATATATATATATTTATATAAGATTTTGTCGCTACCCCTTGGCGCAAGCTGACACTAGTTGAATATTTGGTGATTCCCAAAAATCGACAGAAGAGACAAGCCAATAAAGAAGGCTTATTGATCAAACCCGTATATTCTATATCTAACCTATCTCAAAGGACGGGGTTGATGCGTCAGAGGTAGATGGTCTATACAGTAGGCTCCAGCACAGGGTTACCCCGCTAACATCACACCTAGTCCTGTAAGTATGCTCTGATCAGACATCACTTACTGCCCAGGTGGCTGTACCTGAAATACCCCAACCATCGTCTCTCTTCAACCTGACGATGACCATGGCCACCTCCACCCCATCACTCCAAGACAATCTCGCCTTCATCTATACAATGCTATCAACGAAGTCACACAACCCAGAAGCAGCAGCCCAAGACATCTGGCAGACAATCGTGCCTCAATGGTTCACTCCCTCCGAGGGTTATAGATGGGCCATGAAGGCGCCCAATCTCACCAACAATAAAACGCCCGATAGTACCGTCATCCAAGTTATCCAAGTTATCGAGATACCAGCAGTTTCATTTGAGTGTATCGAACATCCAATCTTCATAGTCGTTTGCAAGCACTCATGCAGCGATAACGATACCCCACTAGACTGGGATGAGACCATGCAGGTTGAGTTCATCCATCGTATTTCCGAAAACTCAAACTCCGGAACGGAAAGGATGTTTGGAGCTGTTGCTATTGGCAAGAAAGCGAAGTTTTATCGATTTGATAGGAAAGCACAGCCTGATCAACGATTGGCTGGGCTTCACGAGGATGTATTTGATTTGGAGAAGGTGGATGGATCTTCACAGGTTGAGGGTACGATGAATTATATCAAGACAAATGCGTGGAAATGGGTTACTGGTTGAGTGATTTTGGGCTATTGTTCTGACGTGTCATGGCTTCTTTGCAGCTCTCACATCCATGATGCACTTTGATTTGAAATGGGGGGGGGATACCCGAGGTTTGTAGACCGACTTACTTTGATATGATATAATCCTCTGTTACTTGAAGGCGAAATAGTTACGGAGATTGGTAGTGTAGGTGTGACGGTCGTTCTAGTAAGAAGACTCAAGACATCGGCTTGGAACGGACAAGGCTGTGGTGTGCCGACAAAGGAATTGTGCTTCAACCGCGATCTTGAGCACAATGTCCTATCTAGCCCCTTAAAGCAATACATTAATTGCCATTACTTCAACCTGTGGATAGCACCGCTGCAAACCACAGCACCTTTATTCTATTTAAATATAGTCATGGGAAGATCCGAAGAAACAAAGTGCATTATACTGATATCATTCTTCACGTAATTCACCTAGTGATTATTCCATACTCTATAGACAACCATGCTCGATCTGGTATTTGCGAGGGTGAAAGGTGGGCAATGCGAGAAAACAATCCGTGGATGTATGCCACGGAATCAACGGGTGGGGAGAGGGGAAAGGTATGTACATTTCATGAATGCATGCTGCAAGACCACAAAAACTGCGCACACGGGGATAGGAAGGGGAAAAGAAAGGCGAAGGGACACGTCGAAGTAGACGGCGGCGGGATTTGCTTTGGGCCCAGCCCCCGTATCAATGGTCTCCTACCACCGAGATGAAGCTGTGCGCTTGGTAGAACAGGACTATAGCGAGGGAATCTAGTTCCAGGGAAACTAGCGAGAACATTGGATATAAGGCTTGTCCGAGGCCATTTGAGATGCCACGTAAACCCACAATGTACGACATCAATGTTCCACTGCCGACGCACACGTTTTCTTCCAAATGCAACCAAGAGATGAATCACAACAGCCAGTCCCAGTGGTACAGCATGCTTGATGAATGTGTCAACAATGATGATGGATTTGATGAGACCATCTTCCGATAATAAAAAAAAGCCATCAAATCCGTTAACGCCGCCCAGAAAGAAAACCCCATGACCAACATAACATGCAGGCTCCAGCTGGAAACTCCCAAGGGTAGACCCAAGAGATGCACACAGCCGAATGAACAGACAGGGGAAAAGGAGACGCAGGAAGATGCGACGAGAACTGAGCACTACGGCATGCTCGTCAAGATCTATGGCGAGGCCCAGCCACCAGCCACTTCCACCCATTCGGGGAGACAGCTGCCTTGCTTGCCCTCGACATCGACAATGTCAGTGTCGCAGCGGCATCGGCAACCGACACCGTTTTCCTTGACTGGATCAGGGTTCGCCCAGTACTCGTCTTCCTCAATCCGTTTCTTCTCGTCATCGGTGGTCTTCTCAAGGTAAGGGATACGAGTGAGTTGGCGGGCCGGAGCGTTGGCTGGGCAATGCTGGATGGTAGTGTGCCGGTAGCCGAAGTCACGGAAATAATGAATATCACTAGGCGCGAGGAGTGCACCGGCGGCGAGAGAGTGAATAGGAGCATCACCCCACTAGTACAGTCAGTAAAGTTCCCTCAGCAGATTTCAAATACATAATATGACATACTCGTTCATTCCAAAATCCTCCACTTCTGTCCATCATAGTGAAGAAGTCCTCATACTCCTTGCTGCGGAACCAATCCAGACGGGCAATCTCGAAATTACTCCAGAAATGACACATGTTGTAGCTCTCGCCTTCCATGGCCTCTGGGTCCACGTCCTTCAGATTGTTGTCACCGGGGTCGGTCTGCAGGATTTCATCCGGCAATTTATCCTTCTTTTCCTCGGGAGGAGTTTCTGGTTGCGCTGGCTGTTCTAGGAACATCTCCCACAGACCCTTGGACTTGAGGTTATTCTTGCGCTTGTAAGCGGCCGCGTACCGGAAGATGTTGGGGACAGTCTCGCGAAGCTCTTTCACTGCAATTGTGAAGCCGTAGGTCTTGTTTGCCTCGGCCATCTTGAGGAATGGGTCACTAAATAACAAGTTAGCAGATTGACCAGAAAAGCATGTCACAGTAGATGTCTTACTAAGTGATGTCGCAGAAGTACTTGATCTCGGGCTCCAAACGCCAGTACCACTCGTACTTCATGAGGAGAGGGTGCTTGTAGAAGTGTCTGTCATAGAGTTAGCTTTATGATCCAATTCGTCCTAAGCCCGCCATTGAATACTGACCCCGAGTAGAATCGACACATGTGGTGATAGCTTTCCATTCCACCGTACATGATGGCGGCATCACCCTGCTTCCTGATGCCCTCCTTGGCAACATCATGGTCCACCCAATCAGGGAAGCCCCACATGGTGTTGTCAATTTTGCCGAATTCAACGTCCGCGCTGGTGTAGTTCTTGACCGTTGCCTTGAATTCCTCGTCAAAGTCACCATCGTTGAGGAAAACATAGGGGTAGTGCCACCACCGGTTGAAGTGTCTCTCAATCGACTTGAGTGACTGGATCACGCCTTCCAACTCCTTATTTCGAGCAAGGACGACGAAGGCGGCATTGGCGCGAGGAGCCTTTGCGATTTGCTCGGGTTCGATGGGCATACAGCCCGTAGCAAAGACTTTATCGTGCTTTTCGCTGATTTTTCTGTAAAACGCAGGAGGTTAGTCATCGCACACACGATCGTGGATTGAGAGGGCGATACGAACCGAATAGAAGGCGGAGTGCCCGCTGGAATTAGGATCCCCCCGGGAGAGGCAGGGTGTCGGACAAAGAGGAGCAGAATAAGAACAATTACAAGACATGGAAATAGTAAAACAAGACCCAGGGGTATAGAAATAGATGAATTCCCCTTGAGGCGAATCCTCCGTCGGAAAAAGGCGAATCTAGGATGGAGGCGGCCTTTCTCGGTTGGGGCATCTTCCAACGGCAGACTCGGCGCGCTGGGCAGCCGTTTCGTAATGCGTTGGATGAAACTCATGAGTGCGATTGTCGTGAGACCTCACAAATAATGGTCAAGGTCAGCTGTCAGGCCCAAGCGACAGCACGGGGCCGTTAGGGGGATAGCGGAGAAATCGTGTCGGATATGTGATCAGAAGAGGGATGCGTCTTAATCGCGGAAGAAAAAAAAAAAGTGGTGAGCACACGATCAAACCGAATTCGAACGGTATAGATCAGAGGAATATCTGAAAGTCAAAAGTTCTCAGGAAGTGACAACGGAGAAAATGACAGCGAAACGAGTGGCCGGAGGAATGCCTCCTTTCCTCCCCCAACTTTCTCAGTCCCACGGTCAATAGATGGGTAGAGCGTCGGGAGCAACGCAGGTAACTGTGAACGGCAAGGTACACAGAGGAGAAATCAGGAACCTCAACGGGATGAAGGTGAGGAAGGAAGAAGACGGATGGGGAATTGGAAGATGGGATGGGTTCCAAAAGGTTGCTTGCGCCTCCCTGGTCTTGGCGAAGTCCGGTGGCCTCTTGTCACTCCAAGACGGTTATTTTTGCCCCTAGTTGCAGTGCCGTGGCGCTCTAACCCGTATTGTATGGTATTCCTGAGAGAATATTTCTTTTTGTGCGATTGTACAGGCCTTTTCTAATATCTTATGTATCTTTTAAATATTTTCTTGTGGGATCTGTCCCCTACATTTGCGATCTGGACTTGGGTGCACTCTTGCGCGTCCTTTGTTCTTTTGCCGCAACCGTGATTGGCCCCGTCTAGGGGGGTGATTTTAACAGGGTACCGTACTCTATCCTAGCCCCTAAACTAACGAAGAAAGCTTCTGTGGGATTTAAATTGCACCTGGAAGGATGCTTGTGCTTGTGTATTTTGTACTTTGTACAAGCTCTCCCTCGTAGAAATATCCGATACGGAGTTCAATTTCACATATTATACATGGTATACGTAGTCCACTTGACTTGATCCACAATTGTTCCCTTTGGGGCAATCACATATGTATATGCAAAGTAGGCAATAGCTATTGTACCGCATATTTCTGAATGTTTGGTTCTAGAATCTGTCTAAACCCTTCTTTATTCGAACTAAGGGTGAATCGATTTGTCGCACCGTGTCTCTATGGATGTTGTAGCCAATATCATCTCTAGAATTAGCGCATGACGATCGAGGATCCAAACTTTCGCCCGTTAGACCTGACAGTAGCTGTAATGATTTTTCGGCACCTGCAGCCTGTGCCTATAATTGACTTGAGTACTCTAGACGGAGTACCCAGTACATAGTATTTCCATACTCACAGATGCATATATGCAGGTACTGAATACATCTCTCGATCTCGCATATAAGCATTGCACGTGATACGACCGTGTAATTTCTGTAATTTCTGTAATTTCCGATTGCCCAAATTAAATTGCAAATTGAATGTCTCCAAGGTCTGGACCCTGTGTATTTTTCTCTTTTCTCCTATATATTCGCCTACACCCAAAACATACGCTGCATACTATCCACCGACAACATTCCTAACATTACGTACACATCATTTTATTCGTTATATTCGCCTTAGGTTAATATAGTCAGACGCATATCGCATATATAATTTCCCATGCATATTGTAGATCCTAACTTTGCCGTTGAAGCCAAAGGGTCAGAAGGCTTGGTTCACCCCCCCCGTCATCCCCCCATCATCCCATCATCCCTCCGCATGATAAACTACATGCAGGCGCCGTGGGCTTCCCCCTTTTCTTTTCTTTCCTACCAAACCTCAACATGAATGCAGTGCTGAATCGGCCCTTCTCTGAGGGCAAAATTAAACTCCCCGAACCCGGCCCTTCATCTCATTACCGACCTCATAACAGTGGAACTTTGGATCCCTTTTCTCCAGTGAACGAAAATGGAAGCTTCGAATTCGATCGAGTCTTGAAGACAGGGAAAGTCTCTCGCCGAGTCAAACATAAACATGTCTTTCGCGCCTCATGGAAAGCAGCCTACCTCGTCCTCCGACCGAATCTCCTGTCCGTATACAAGGACGAGGAAACCACCCGCCTCCGAGTCTCCATTTCCCTATCTGAAGTGACCGCCGTCGCCCCCGTCAAGTCTCCGCGATCAACGCGGCGACATGTCTTCGGTGTCTTCACTCCATCTACTAATTACCGCTTCGAAGCTCTGACCGAACACGATGCCGAGGACTGGATCGCTCGCATTCGTGCCGAGACCCCAGGCGACGAGGACGAGCAAGCTTTCCTGGCTCTCACCCAAAGGCCCCAACCCCCCGCCATCCACAAACAACTCGTTGACGAGACAACCGAGCCCTCCGATTTCGATCACATTGGCCGCGCCAGCTCCCCGAGCCACACCGTGCACTGTCTCCACGCAGCAAAAATGCCCAGAGACTCCCTTACATCCAAGATTACTCGGGTAATGAAATGACCTCATTTTCAGAGTTCTCTGATGGACCTGCGCCAGCACGCGATAGCCGCCTACGATCTATGCGCTCCCTCCATTCACTGTCCGTTCCAGCAGAGGATAAACAAGTATCCCGCCCGTCAACATCTTTACCTCGAGACGCAAATAAATCGTCAGACCTGGGGATCCGGCGTGACCCAGAGCGGGTCATCTGTCAGGGGTACCTGCAGGGGCTGCGCATCCAAGGGACCGTGCGCCAATGGAAACGACTCTGGGTTGTGCTTCGACCCAAGAGTCTAGCCTTCTACAAAAATGAATCGGAATACGCAGCTATCAAGATCATCCCCATGTCTCAAGTATTTGATGCCGCAGAGGTGGACCCTTTGTCGAGATCCAAGACCTTCTGCATGCAGATCATCGCCGAAGAAAAGACCTATCGACTTTGTGCCCCAGAGGAAGAGTCCCTCGCGCGCTGGCTGGGTTCGTTGAAAAGCATTCTCGCTGCGCGCAGGAGATTGGATCCCGCTCCGGGAACTTCTGTATCATGAACCTCACTCTACGGAGCAGAGCCTGATATATTACTTCGCCTATCCCTATTTCCTTCGCTTTATTTCCTTTACATTTCAGCGACCCTCTTTCTTCATCTCTTACCTTTGATACCTCTTCTTTCAATATACCCAGGTTGGTGATTTCGTTTTGACTACTCGTCTCGTGGTGAGCTTAGGAGTTTTCAAAAAACAGATTGGCGTTTATTACCTTCGTGCACGTCAGGTGGGCGAAGGGGAGTTCTTCTTCATCACAAAGCTATCTAGCTTTTTTGAACATTTCATTTCCACTACACCCTTGTCTCTTTTATCTATTGAGACGATGCTCATTGTGCATCTATCCTTGTCACTGTCACGTCTGACATTCCCCTTTTCTGTCTTCTTCCATTTCAGCGTCTATATTGAGCACCTATTATGTATCATATTGCTTTAGGCTTTAGTACTCTAGTGCTTAATACATAATACCCATGAGGAATATCACATTCAAACCTTTCCAGCGGGTGACCCTGTGTGGTACTCCAGCTGTCTTTCCTGTTCATAAGATATACTTCAATTCGACAAAACGCTATCACCATAGCTTTGGTTCATACGTGGACATTCAACCCCAACTTACGAAATGCACGCGCAGAAATAGAGTTGTTGAGGATGTTGTTGAATGACTCTGTAATCTATATTCGGACTACCAGCTCATCGGCTAGGTAGCGAAGGGTAACCGGAGAACATGCTAAATTGTTATGTGAACAAGCTACAATGTGTAGCAATAAATACAAAAACCTTTGTAGACTCAAACTAACGCATTTCCTCTTCTTCAACAGGAATGCTGTTATACTCGCCTGAGAGGGCCCCGCCTGCTCCAGGAGTAGTGGCAAGATCGTCCTGAGGTTTGCTCTCGTGTTGCACGACCAAGAACGACGATACCACGATAGCTGCTCCAACCCAGTACAAAGGGCTGGAGTATTGCGACTGTAGGACCATCTGTCCAATCAGGGAGAGCGGGATAGTCATACTGAGCCCAACTGTCACGATGAGCGGTGTGGTGAGAAGCATAGCATAAGCCCAAGCGATGTCAGAGACAAATGATGCAAGTGCATTCGACTGATGGGCGTGAGGTTAGTCAAGGGTCGAAGGTGAAAAAGAGGGCTGGAAGACGTACTAGAATGATAAACCATACTCGTGACGTTTCGGGCAAGGAGAAAGTCTCTATTCCAGTCCAGTGCATGATGAAGAAACCAGGCCACAAAAGGATGATGTTGAAGAATCCGACTAGTCCGAAGAACAGTTGCATATTTACTCGGGACTCGTCGCCAACTTGTTTCTTCATCACAACAGTGTAAAGACCGTACATGATGGCGCTGAACGCTGCCATGGCGTCGCCGAGAGCAATCTCTCCTGTGGATTTGTGGGGGAATGAACCCTCGTTGCCATCTCCAGCATCACCTGTGTCAGGCGTGGAGAGGTCTACACGTGAGATCAAGATAATACCAACCAGAGAAGCCAAGACACCCATGAATTTCCGCATAGTGAATTTCTCAACACGGAACAGGGCACCAAAGACCATGGTCCATACACCTAGAAGAGGGAGAGTGAGAACTGGAGTTTGGACATATTTAGATAGGGGGGTCCTTACCACTGGTGGAAGTTAGAATGGTTGTACTTCCAACTGATGTAAATTGAAGACATCCCATGGCAAAGTAATTTGCCTATTCAGAAATACTTTGGTTAGTTCACTTCCAACATACAATGTACCAGATCTTGAGGTGTACGACATACAGTAAACTATGATAGGTTAGCCAGCTGGTCAGATCCAAACTTCAAGGTTGGGCACTCACCCATAGAAGACAAAACTGAATACTGAGTCTAGCTGTTGCTTTGAGCCCTAGCTTTCCACTTGGGGAATCCTGTCTCTCCGCCAAGAATCGCCCGCCCTCTTCATCGGAGGCGCTGCGCAGCATGCTCTCCTCCTCGGCCTTGGGGTCATGTGAATCCAAATGATTCAAGAAGCTCTTTATCGAAGTAATCTTAGCGAGCTTCCCGTGGCGCCAAAGAGCGAATGTTCGACGAGCGACGATTATCAGGAGGGGCATCATGAACATGGAGGTATTCGTATAAGTGACGAAGAAAGGTTTCGGATAGGTTTTGTCGGCGAAGATGGTCTGGATGGTAACCGCTGTGTAATTAGCTCACTGTCCTCAACAATAAATGCCTTACGCATTTTAAAATTCCAAAAAAAAAAAAACAGGGCACGCATACACTTCCAAGGAAATTCGAGGTTGTCCATAACACAACCACCACTAGGAGCAGGATGATTCCTAATGTCCGCCGCGCCACCCCCAGTGGCATCGCGCCAGCTCCTTCAGGCGTGGCTGAGACCATGATCACTGTAGTTGAGGGGTTTGGGAGAACGGGTAAATTTGCGAGACTTGTCAAGGTGTTATCAGGAGCCTGTCGCTGATGTCGCAATCGTTACGTTTGCAGCCGAGGATTCCGAGTTGGACGGAGTATCGGCTGTCACCTAAAGCACAAACGATATATAGATGAGGGCAAATGAATGAGTGCCACGAGACTTCTTGCCTAAAGAGTGCTTGAAGAGAACACGGGGTTAGATGCCAAGCATTCTCGAGATAAGGGTCCCGGGTGGGGAGAAATGTAGTCGCCGATACTTTGCATTAGGGGCATATTCACCGTCACGCTATCTAACGGAGTTTACCTTGAATCGCCTTTAACTCCGCGGATTTGAATTATTGGATGATTTACCTATAGGATATATAAACTGATTTGATCTACAGAACCTCTTATGACAGGGTATGATGCCAGATGTAAAATAAAGACCGGACAATACGATTGTATAGGTCGAAAAGAACCAGAAATTCTAGTTTTAGCCTATTAAAAGGGTTGCCCAGGATCACCACTACGCTTCTAAACAATAGACACATACACCGAAGACAGTCGCGTAATGCGGTTAGACTTATTGCAGTAATCACCAACCACATGTGGTAAATACACATGAACAATGGCTGTGATCAGGGGTAATCTTCCGTGATAATGGGTCTGATACTATTGGATCTAGTTTGGGACATTGGAAAATGAAGTTGGTATTGCATAAGTCCAAAAAAGACACTGCCTGCATAAAACTGTACTGAAAGGTTCGAGATGTTTCCCTCTCAGGCAAATTCCACTGAAACTAAGACATCTACAAGACACCGGGGGAAGGGCAAGGTCACCCATAGCAAACCCCCTGGTCTCCTATACAGACTCAGAACCGGAGACCAAACAGATAGTATGAAAAATGAAAGACAAAGGAAATAGGTCGCTGGAATATCATGTGAATGGGAAGGGTATATCAACAGGCACAGCCATCACGGTCATTGTCTAGATGGATGTTGATTGGGTCGCTGAATTCACCGCTGAATTCCTCAGCCTCTTCCTGGGCAAGTGCACTCCGCGCAATAACTAAATTGTGGTCAGCAAACTTGAAAGAGTACAGCGGTTCTTGACAAAACAGTGGGGTTTTACTCACCTTCAAATGCTTGCTCGACGTTGATTGCTTCCTTGGCACTGGTCTCGAAGTAAGGAATGTTACCCTTCGACTGGCAGAAGGTCATAGCCCGTTTTGAGGAGATCATGCGCTTGTTCTCCTCTACATCGACCTTGTTGCCGATCACAACCTGCACATGACCATCAGCACGGACCAACATATCATTCTTGCCTGGTGCTGCTGCTGCACACGAGATAAGGAACAGGAATGTGTAGGAACAACTTACGAATGGAAAACTCTCTGGATCTCTCGGGCTTGCTTGGATCAAGAACTCATCACGCCAACTGTCGAGGGCCTCAAAACTCTTAGAGTTGTTCACGTCGTAGACCAGTACACAGCAGTCAGCTCCACGGTAGAAGGCGACTCCCAATGACTGGAACCGTTCTTGGCCTGCAGTATCCCAGATCTGACAACAAGTCAGTTATTGCCCCTTATCACGATGGGGCTAGTGTCTCCAACGCCTTACCTGCATTGTCACCAGTCGGTCGTCGACAAGAACTTCCTTTGTGAGGAAATCAGCTCCGATAGTCGCTTTGTAGCTTCCACTGAACTTCTTATTGACCTGTTCATCGCGGAAGATTGCATGTTAGCGATTGGAGGAACTCGTCACCGACCGCGGTACGGCCGCAGAGAGGTATTTGGGGGCGAGGTTGAACAGACATATTGGTTCATCAAACTTGTTTTTCCGACTCCGCTATCACCAAGGATGATAACCTAGATTTTCGAAACGGCACCAGTCAGCAAAAAGTCCACTTTGTGAAGGATCCGATGCTCGTAACACGGAGCAGGTGCGGAGATTGTACCTTGAGGAGGACCTTCTTCCTTGACGCCATGCTTAGGGATCGGTCAAGTGACCAAATGTAAATGTGTGGGGGATAAACAAGAAATTGGCTATTAAGCAAAGAGCTATTATCAGCCTTCACTAGGCCTCTATAAACCAGATAAGGGCAAGGTAGTTGGAGAGTTGGGTCGGGTTGCAGCCGGATTCGATGATGCATGAGGCCTGGGCGGTGGAGCGGGCGGTGGGCAGTTGATAACGATTAGCACCGCATCTCGCTCCCGAGGCGGCAACCAACTCCACTTCATCACATTCAGGTACATCCCCATTTGCTTGAGAAGGCTTATGGCCCACTGGAGGGAGGAATACTTGGCTGCCCTGACAGTCAGAGATAACCGAGAGAAAGCAAATGCTCCCCTCTACGCTGCCTGTCAGTTTATAAGTGATGCTCTCTTTGTTGACCGATCGCAACTGACATCATTTACCAAATCTAGATGCCCAGCTTGCAGATCGCACCAGCAACTTAGAAATAACAGCAAAATGTGCCAGTCCTGCAACAGCGCAGAGTGAAGCTCAATCCACCGTTCCTTCTCCTATAGTTCCACTTTCCAAAAAGCAACGGCCGGCTGAGCCAGGGTTTCCCCCGACCGATCTCCTCAATGCTACTCGTGCAGATTTGTCCGAGGCGCAGCGACTCCGCTCAGAATTACAAGACCGCTTGAATCGAGTCAATACAGAAGTGGAAACACTTCGCAAGAAAAGTTCGCAAGAGGGTCGACGAATCAATGCTTTGGAAAGCGAGAGGGCGCATCTCAAGCTACGATTGCAAGACAGAGATGCGGAGCTGAAAGGGAAGGCTAAGCTGCTAGAGGTAGGCTGTCTTGATTTTTACATAAGCTTTCCAATCACGCAGGGGTGGGCGAGGGAAAGTGGCTAACTTGAGTTATGTGCATTTCTTCAGGATTTCCAAGATGAACTAGCGACACTAAACCTTCAGCTTAATATGACCGAAGAACGGTCAACTCGACTTAAGAATGAGAACCAAGATCTAGTTGATCGTTGGATGGCTAGGATGGGGCAAGAAGCTGAGGCTATGAATGATGCATCAAAGTATTCCTGATTAGTCCCAATGCACCGAGCAGGTGACAGGGCAAGTTTGATGGAAGAGACTAGATCATAGCCTTTGTGACATTCAGATCTTGAATTGTAATATTTTGCCCCTTACATGGCACGTAAAAGCTATAGATACGTGATCATGCGGCTTACATCACGGCTTGCTGGTCCTTCCACTAAGTGCTTGGATAGCAAGTGCTGTACCAAGGCCGCGGTTCATCATCTTCTTTCCTTCAATTGGAAGGCTATATAGATATCCAGCCTCCCAACCGCCGTCCTCCATCTGCAGGTCCTTGAGTGCCTCAAAGTCCTGGTAATTGTATACCGCCATCGAGTTACATACGACAAGCCGCATTGCCAGGGCAATACTGTCACCAGGGAGTCCAACACGCTCTTGAACTCGATCCTTCAGTAGTGGCCCGATAGTTTCCGCCAAAGTTGGATCTTTCGTAACCACGAGCAGTCGGTTCACATAGAATAAGAACCAATCCGGGCAGCGGTAATAATACGCGCCCTTTGAATATGCTCTGTGGTAAAGGACGTTGCGGACCCAGTTGAACATTTTCTGGACCTGATGTCCTCGCTGGTAAAGATAGAATGAAGCACATAGGTTCACACTAGCGACAGCATCGACCCTTGGTCTGTTGAGGTCATGATATAGCTAAAATGTAAAATCATGAGGTGTTGATATGAAATGCTGGAGTAAAATGAGTAGACTTACAATCATGATATCGTCTACATTCATCCACTCAAGCATCTGGTCAAGAAGGGAGTGTGCAATCGCATCGTTGTATTTGACAACTTGCAAGGCCAGTGCGGTAGTATCATTGTCATTTGGTAAACTTTCCAAACCAAAAGGAGGTGTTCCTGAATATTCCCAGCCATTATTATAAAGTCACCGAGCCGAGTGATCTCAATGGCATACCGCAATAGAAGTTCCAAAATTCTGCCTGGCGACAATCGGGCTTGTCCAGAATCACAAGTTCTCTTTCAAATAGTTAGATATGTGTTGCTTGATAACCATGGGGGTATCCATACTCATCACCCGTGGCCTCCAAAATCAGCAATTGAACATAGTTTTCCATAAAATTAACACCACTGTCCGTGAATGAATTCAGCTGCTTTGCATTGTCTTGCAAATAGGCCTTCCCACGAACAATTGGGTCATGAAGGATGTTTTTCACGGTTCGAGCTAACACCGACGTATCTTCGAAGAGAATACTGTGCATTCCTAAAGATTGAGCAGCTGCAAAGTTCTGTATCTTATCGTCCACAAAGATGATTCTCTGAGGCTCTATTCCAGTGGACTTCAAGACGTGCTGGTAAAATCCAAAATTGGGTTTCCGCATACCAGCGGCAGATGAAGTGAAGATATCATCAAACAATGACCAGAATGTAGCACCCCATCGGGTATGAAGGGCATCAAAGTCAGGCTTGGAGATGTTTGACATGGCAAAAACTTTGAGCGAGGGGTGCTCTTTTCGCAAAGCTCGGATCCAGGATACTATTTCCTGGTCATATTCGACTGTGGTGCGTGCGAGACCAACTGCCTTGCTGAGCTCTGATGGATCGAACTTGAACTGCTTTCCAACGAGCTCGTAGCATGTGGTCTCTTCAATCTCACCACACTCATATTGCATCCACGGTAAGGTTGAAGTGTAGCGTTTGTGAGGTGGGATGGCTTCGTTAGTAGAGATACGAGCAGGGGTCTTGATCAAGACCCCTCCAAGGTCTAGGACAATAGCATCAAATGTCGAGGCTGGTACAGTCATTGTGGGGTTATAGGATTGTAGAGTTGTAGAATAGTAGAATTAGATCTAAAGCATCAAAAATTACCGCTTATATACTGCTATTCTATGTGATTGGGCTTGTCTGCAGAAGAAAGTCCTGATGCATGGTATGATCTATCTTAGACTGTGAGCCAATTGCTGACACGCATCACACATAGATCCGGTCGAACATGGAGGAGTAGGGAAACTGAAAGAATTTTCTCACCGTACACGATAGGTTTTGGAAGCTATCGTGAATGCACATCGAGTAAGGGCCTGCTTTGTGCCACTTTGATCTCGCCTACATACCCAGACATGTACTCTGTATGCTGCCTTCGCTTCTCGCACGGCTATACTTTCTCATTTCGATTTCCATAGGTTTTCCCCTGGTTCATATCTATCTGGGCACCGGGGTCGCTTTCCCGGCCCCGGTTGTGCCTACTGAGAATCTTGGTCACACCTGCCCAGGTGGGCTGCGCAATGCGATGAAACCCTGCAGTAACCGTAAGGACCTGAACTTGAAGACACGATCCAATTTGTACATTCAGGTTGTCGGAAAATAGTATCATACAATAATTCAACAGCGAAAATATATCCAATAACGGACAAGGTAATGTACAAATGTGCCGAAAATCAAAATAAAGGTATGTGCAATGCCAAGATACCAAGCTAAGCAGCCATTGAAGACTATAGCGTACTATCAATGAAGGCTTTTAGCCGAGAGCTGTCTTTAGTGGCAATGAAATATGTACCGCCAACGTCAGTCCAGCTCACGTTGTTTGACCAGTATTCCTTTTGCTGGACCTTGAGGAGATTGATCGGAGAATTCAGGTTGCGAGATTGGATTTTGTGACCAGCGGGAACAAAAGACTTAAGTGAGACAATTTTGCAGCCTTCTTTCATATCCAGAAAGTGGTTGATCAGCTCATTGTTCAGTTGGGGGGTGAAAGCTTGATTGTTGATGAGCACCACATCAGCCCGCTTCAAGACGCTGGTGATACTCTCCTGCTCGAGGAAGTCACCTCGGACAAGATGAGTTTTGCCTGGTGCAATGCCCCATAGCCTGCATCGGGCTTTGAACTCTGATTGCTGCATATCTGCCAAATCACATGCGTTTGTCATCATCTCGCAACCCCAACTCTCACAGCCAACCTCAAGTGCCGCTTGAAGAACGACATTACCTACGCCCGAGCCAAGATCGACAAAGACCTGACCAGATTTGAGCTTGGTTTCTTTGAAAATTGTGCTGATAAAGCGAGGGAGAAGTTCTCCGTAGACATTGTCCGTGCCATTCTCGTATTGCCGGAGGGACTCCACATGAGGGGATACCGTGCGCGAGTAGATTTGTGTGAGAATTCTTTCCACCCAAGGTAAACCAATGCTTTGTTTTGCATCCAAGTGTTTCGCAAGGCTGCCGTTTGTCCTTAACCGCTGAATAGCCTTGTTGTAATCATCGACAGCTTCCCGAAACTGGGGTTCGGATGTTACAGCCAGAGCCCGGCGCAATCGACGCTTGATCCCGGTCGTCTCGTCGTTGAACAGATCCGCCTCCTCGCTGGGAATGTAATTATCGGCGACCGTTTCGATGACCTGAACAATGTCGTCGATAGGTCGGAATTCGTCATTTTCTCGGGGAACCACGGAGTCATATCTGGCCAAGCAGTAGATTAGCATTCTAGTAATTATCAAAGAAAATGGCACAACCAAACAACGTACCTCTCCTGCTGCGAAGCACTGGGGTATTGCAGGAGAATCTCTTTGGGCTTGCCCTCGGCGCCAAAAGCGGGCTTGAACTTGCCGGCCTTTTTTCCCGACGTTATATCCGCGGCATGTATCATTTTAAACGGGCGAGATCCTTCTTCCGAAAATGCTTTCACCGAGCGGAGACGCCGCTCCGGGTCGGGTTCGGCGCTCGCGCTGGTCCTTGCACGCTTATGCACTTCAAAGGAAGCCTCGCTGTCGCTTGCGTCATCGTCGCTCGAGAGTCGTTGTTCGGGTGTTGGTCTTTTCCGAATGCGCGAGGGCGTACTCAGTCGTTTTGCCGAGCGTGTGTCCAGGTCACTTGAGACCGATCGAGATTTTGGGGCCTGCGCCTTCCGGTTCCGCTCGGTCGACTGGACTCGAGGTGATCGACTTTCCGATGGTTGTGTAACCGAGCGTGTAGGAGCTGCAGGTCGAGTCTGTACGACCTTGCGAATTTGCGCCTTCTTTGGCTGTAAAGAGAAGGCCCCGGCCCCTCCTTTCTGAAGGTGGTCGAAAAAGCCCATATGGATAAGGATAGATATAAACAATCGATACAGCAAGAAAAGAATGTATGTAAAGTATGCAATAGAACCGATTTGAAGAATATAAGTAGAATGCGAGCAAGATGGGAGTGGGAGAAAGAAAAGAAACGAGCAGGGCTTATCGATTAAGGCGCCACTGGGGAAACCACGCGATCCCGCGTTCCTTGGCATTTCTCGGGGCTTTTGTCGACAGCGTCATGGATGTCTGCATATGTTTACCTGGACCTACATGTTCTATATTGAACAATCGGTGAAGTCTGAAATAGATATTGAGATACTTGTGGAATGAACCCTGGGGTATCATAATTATTTTTGCTATGTAAAATTGTCTGATTCAAACTATGAACACACCCTCTATTTCCCTGACTTCTTCTTTGCCAGTCTCTTCTCCGCACGAACATCCTTCTTCATACGAGCATCGACAATCTTGTATTTGCCCTTGACACCCTTAGGACGGCCAGAGATACCACGGTTAGGACCCTTGGCCACCACAAGCTTGACTTCCTGCTTGGGCTTCTTCTTGGTTGCTCTGCTCATCAGTCTTGCGATGGCGCCCGCCTTGTCCCGCTCGCTAAGAGCGTCGTCCTCTGCCAGAAGGGCTGACTTCTTGCGGAGTTTCTCAAGTCTTTGGGCCGCCTTGTACTTCTTGCGTCCCTGGGCCTCCATGACCTTCTTGATCGGGCGGGCATTGATGGCACGCATCTTTTCTCTGATAGCAGCTGCGGCAGCCTTGGTGATGGGGCGGACAGGCTTGCTGTGCTTGCCCTCATCGTCGAGGAACCATTCGGGAAGACCGTCCACGTCGCGGAAGGCGAATCGGTTGAAGCCATCATCAACAATGTCAGATGACCTCTTTTCTCCAGTAGCCATTGACTGCGCAAGAGCCATGGCCTCCGCAGTGATGATATCGATGTCTGTAGTGGAAAAACACATGTTAGTCAGGATATCATTCATCTTGGGTATCAACTGCAACTTACCCAGCTGACCATTCGCTTTTAGCGGATCTTTCGCTTCTGTGTCTTCAGCCTCGCTCTCATCGGACTCATTGACCCAGTCATTGTGGTTCGTCTTGCTCTTCTTCTTTGCGTCCTTCTTCTTGTTCTTTTCTTTAGTGGCAGGAGCCTTCTCTTCTTCCTCCTCATCTTCATCCATCGCAAAGATGTTATCGCTCTCTTCCTCTTCCTCCTCTACCTCCTGTACCTGGTCCTCTTCCTCGTCTTCCTCCTCCTCACCTTCTAGCCCTTCAAAGATATCTTGATCGAAGAACATGGAGGCGTTGTTTGAAAGTTTCTTAGCCTCAAGTGCTTGATTAGCAGCAGTAGCTTCTTCGTCCGAGTCCTCCTCCTCTTCTTCATCACTACTGCCCTTCTCTCTGTCCGAGAAGCCCTCCCACTCGTCAACCTCGTATTGCTTGCGTGTCTTCTTAGCACGCAATTTCGAATCTTTGTCTTCCAGACGGCCGGTATACTGGCTGTACATGTCGTCGAGCTCCCTTTCGAGGCGGTCCTCCTCGTCGTCGCTCTCTTCGGTTTCAGACTCAGATTCGTTTTCACTTTCGCTCTCAGCGGGAATATCACGAGCATGGACAACCGCGTCTCTGGCATTCTCCCGGTCCACGCGTCTCAAAGTGAATGTGGTGTCGTCGCCTGTCATACCAAGCTGCTCCATACCAATTTCCATGGGGGTAGTCATGTTCATCTGCATTCGAATGATATCCTTGCGCTTCTTTTCATTCTCCTTGCGTCTTTCCTTCTTGCCCTTGGCGGTCTGCTGCTCTCGCATGCGGATTAAGTCCTCCTGGATCTGCAGCTCTTCGTCCATAGGGGCCACCTCGGCCACTTCTTCTGTCTCGCCTTCTGTGGTTGGTTTCTTTTTGACGACAAGTCCAAACTTCTCACGACACTTGATACGCCATCTGAGCAAGTTGCGGAATTCCTTCTTGCCCAGGATTTTCAAATCCTCACAGCAAGTTCTGATCTCATCCGTTGTTTCCTCCAAACGTTCGAGCGTGGACAACGCAAGGTCACCACCTGGCGGTTGCTGGAAGCTAAGTTTGTTGTATCCACCCAAGATAGCAATAGGATCAATAGAGTTGATGAAATCCGTCACTGGGAGCTCCTTGTGTTGGGTATAATCTCCTTCTTCGTAACCTTCACGCTTGCGCTTCTTCTTTTCCGGGTTGAAAACCTTCGCTTCGTAGTTGGGAGTAGGAGCGGCAAGTTCAGCAAAGACGTGCTTCGGGTCGAGGAACTTCGGGTCAATGCGCTTGGGGGCCTTGAATCCGCGGCAGACGACGAAAATTTCGGCAGAGACATTTCGGGACGAAGGAGGCTTGGTTGCCTCAACGGAGTTGAACAGCTGCTTGAAAACCCACAGCAAAGGGTTGTAATCCTTGGAACGGAAGACCTTAGTAACAAAAGTTCCGCCCTCACCCAAGAAATCGGTAGCCAGTCTGAGGGACTCCAACACCAGTTCGGCCTGGGAGAAAGCATCCTGAACCCACGCGGCACCGACGTTGGGAGCACCATCGTGAAGCACGACATCTGCTTTCCAGTGCTTGATATGAGATCGAATTGTTGCGCGACACTTGTCCGTTGTGATATCGCTCTGGAAAGTAATGGCTCGAGGAATCGGCTTAATAGGGGAGAGATCGACACCAATGATAAGACTCTGCGCAGGCATGTACTCTGCGGCGACTTGACACCATGACTGCTCGGCTGTTAGAGAAGGACTTTTGGGAGAGAAGGTGCCATTTGAGGATACTTACACCAGGCGCAGCGCAAAGATCGATACAAACCCTGCTTTTCTCCAAGAACCCATATTTTTGATTCAACTGGATCAACTTGAAGGCGGCACGGGCTCTGTAACCTTTCTCTTTGGCAAGTCGATACCACTTATCCAAACGACCTTTTCCATGCTAAAAAATAGTTAGAACATAAAGTAATGCCAGCTGAGATGAGATAGAACATACCTTTTTCTGGATCGCCATTTTGAAGGAAAGCTGATCTCAATAGACCAGAAAATCCTTTTCAAGTGACTGGGGAAACAAAACGAAATGTATACTTTTTCTATGTAAGAGAATCCGAAAAAAAAAAAAGTTGCAATACTTATCGCTCACCGCCTTTGAACCGGTTCTCCAGTTTTGTTGCCTGAGGCCAAAAGGTTGGTGCCAGACATGTGACGTGATATCACCAGGCACCCCCCAGTCACTTGTGGCGCTTTGTAGATGCTTTGTTACTTGGGTTTAACCGTCTAAGTATAGACCTGATGTTTTTACCCTACCTCCATGACGGCCAAGGGATCTCGCAAGAGAGTGAAGACCAGCCCCTCCGGCGTGGACTCACCAGCTGGACTGAGCGGTGATGGCCGAGACCGTTCAGACTCCCAGCCACGGGGGTACAATGCCGTAAGCTCTTTGGGATCAGAATAGCTAGTTCTTCTGTCATATTTACTGATTACCTATCATTCATATAGAGCTGGTACCCCGGATCATGGTCTTCCATTGCAAGAGTGTCTAAAGCAGCCCCAGTTACCGAGGTTGCCCGTGAGAGCATTTCAGCCGCCAAAACTGTAGCATCGAGCGTCACGAACCCAACTTCTCTTCTTGATAGCTCAACAAAGAATCGGCATCCTTCTATTCAACTTACGCGAAAATCGGGCACCTCGACCAGGTCTTTGCCCGCTGACGCTACCACCACCCGAGTCAACATTGCATCGGATGGTTCGACTTCCACGACGGGCGCCGACAGCATCGAAGACTCTAGGGACGTAGAATTTGCAAAGTCCGATAAAGAAGCATCCAGCGAGAGTGATACCAAGCCACCGGAGGAACAAGCTAAGGAACAGGAGGCCGCTCCTAACGCCGATCCCAACATATCGCATGCGGGGCCTGCGGAGGCCCCCGAACAATCTAGTGGTTGGCTTTCATGGATCTATGGGCCCTCGGCTACTTCTGAAGCTGCTGCGAATCCGCCGGAATCTACACAAGTTGAGGAACACCCGCTGACCGAAAACCAAACGGCAGAGCAGGGTCCTCAACATACTGTGGAAGACTACACAGCGCGGGAAGAAGAACAAGAACCGGAATCAGAGCAGACAAAAGATTCGGTCGAGGCCACCACATCTCAGAAGCGATCGTGGCTTCAGATGTGGTATGGTACAAACACACCCAGCAAGCAAGAAGACGCACCACCTACAGAATCCACGATCCCCCCTTCCGTGAATTCTAACGAGGGTCCCGGCACAAAAATGGCACCGCAAGATCCCCCAGATCAGCCAACAGAACCAACTAGTGGGTCAAAAACCCCAGTCGGAACCACGAAATCATCTGGCTGGTCGTTTTGGTCCAAAGATCCAAACAAACTTGGGACCTCCGATGAACCACAGGAAGGTGAAGCTATCGAGGCATCAGTGGGACCAACCCAGCCATCAAAAGATACAGCACTTGAATCAAATGCGGATTCCAATGTCAAGATAACCCAGAAAGGCAGTATCAAAGTTAAGCCCCTAAAAGACAATCGTTTGAAAAATGGTACTGGGCCCATCATTGAAGGGTCTGCTACATCTACGCCGCCTCTTGAACCTCGACCAGCCGATACTGCGGCCTCAAAACAATTACAACAAATTCTCCCCAACCAAGTACTACCAAAGTTTGAAGAAACCTATCCGTTTGAGCAATCACCCTCTATATTGCAGAGCCTCGGTCGACTCTTGCATTATGGGAAAGGACCAGAGACTAGGCACGTCAGCAGGGTTAGAGATCCGTTGCAGGTGAGACGCGCTTTGGCTATTGGTGTTCATGGATATTTCCCTGCCCCATTCATTCGAAATCTTCTCGGACAGCCCACAGGGACATCCATCCGGTTCTCCAATATGGCAGCAGATGCCATCCGGAAGTACACGGAGGGCCATGGCTACTCGTGCGATATTGAGAAGATCGCATTGGAAGGAGAAGGCCGCATCACGGAGCGGGTGGATCTTTTGTGGAAGCTACTTCTGAATTGGATGGAGGAGATCCGCAAGGCTGATTTCGTCATGTTCGCATGTCACAGTCAAGGTGTGCCAGTAACGATTATGCTAGTTGCAAAGTTGATACAGTTTGGCTGCCTTGACGCCAAGCGAGTCGGCATCTGCGCTATGGCAGGTGTGAACCTTGGCCCCTTCCCGGATTATCGTTCTCGATGGATCAGTGGGTCGGCTGGAGAGCTATTCGAGTTTGCGCTACCTTTCAGCAAGGTCTCAAAAGAGTATGAAGCTGCTCTTAAATGTGCTCTCAATTTTGGTGTCCGCATCTCTTACATTGGAAGTATCGACGATCAACTCGTTTCACTGGAGGTGAGTACATATCTTGTACTCAGACATCTATCAAATAGCTAATCCGCCCCTAGTCCTCCCTCTTCTCACCCATAGCCCACCCTTACGTCTACCGCGCCGTCTTCGTGGATGGGCGAGTCCACGCCCCAAGCTTGTAAGCAACACCCACCTCATGTAGATCGACCATGCAGTGCTAATATTAGAAACACAGCCTTTCTCATCTAGTTGGCTTCGCCCTCAAGCTTCGCAACCTTGGTATCTCAGACCATGGTCTAATCCGCGAACTAAGCACCCCATTAGCAGGAAGTCTATACTCAGGAGAGGGACATTCTCGGCTGTATGATGATGAAGCCGTGTACTCGTATGTAACAGTAATGACACCCTACGCACATGCAAAACTGACACCATTTTCCAGCATGGCCATACAGTTTGCACTTGAAACTTCTTCCGTCCCAGACTCCGCGCTTAGTATCAAGCGAGCCAGCAGCTCCGTCACACCGAATCCGTATATTCTCCCATTCGCCATGCGTGGTCTCCTGGAAGAGGAATATGTACGCCAGGAGCTGCATAACGAGACTATGGAATTGCTCAGACAATTCGACGACTGGAAACCTTCTAGCAAGGTTCTGAAAGATGTAAAGTTTCGACTAGAAGGTATCCGGTCCAAGCTCTAGCTAGGCTTGTTCAGAATTAGAAAGTATCTTGCTTTGAATGGGGATTTGATATTAGCGGTTTATTAGATATGGAAATACACGTTCTCTTTCTCAATACTTGCTGCCGGTCCGTATATAAATACAATTATGATATTCGTGGATACCAAGAGTGGATACATGCCCGTATTGGTTGGTCTTGTTCGAATGGTGATAGAAGTTGTATTTCGTATGCGTATCAAGCTGTCTATCAAAAAAGGGAATCATATTTGTGTTGCACCATAGATCCTCAAAAACGCCGTTTTCCGTTGAGCATGAGATGAGAATAGTGGAGAATCGAATCGTGAGAAGAGAGGAGGGGATCATTATTAGAAAATTTAGATGGCTCAAAAGTGCTGAAAATAAACAAAGCCCAGAATGGCGAAAGAAAAGAAACCCCGTCGTTTAAACAGATGCCAGTGGGAACGCCGTTTTATATGCACCTTCAATTTCATCTGAAACAACGTTAGCATGAGAACCGTATATCACAAAAGATGGAAACACCAACCTCTCATTCCATCTAAAGCCTCGAAAGCAAGCGAGTAGTTCGACACAGCTGCAATGATCCGCTCTAAACCCTGTCGTAATTCCTCGATGAGCTGGCCGGTCGAATCTCCGCCATGCTCATTCTCAGGGGCGTCGGGTGCGAGCTGTTTCGCTACGCGCGCCTTGTAGTAGATCATGAACATAGCATAGCTACTTTGCATCAGACAGCATGCGAACGAGGGCATGGTTCGGGGTAATGGTCGACCCTGTTGCTGCTGCGGATCTAAGAGAGGCTGTGGGACGGGCAGGCTGTGGAACATGCGGGAGATCATGAGTGCGGCCTGGAGACAAATTTTCGCGGACTGCTGCGTGCTGTAGGGGAACCCGGAGGCGAATGGATACACGTATTGGGATGCGTATGGCTGGGCGTCGGTGTGGATGTCTGATGAGGTGGACGAATCGGATGGGGTCATGTATTCTGTTGAGGATGCTCGTTCAAAGGAGTCGAGGTTCGAGCACGAGCAGGAGACGTTTTGGATGCCGGGTTTGGTGCTGACGGGTGTGGTGGCGGTATTTGGATTTGCTGCGGTCAGGTCGCAATGTCTTTTGATGAAGATGGGGATATCTGAGAAGGCTCGGAAGCGATGCGTTTTTATTTGTGCACTAGGGTCATTGTTAGTTTAATTTGGGTATGAGAAGGCGAATGGCTCGAACCTGGCTAGTTTGATTCGGGATACTGCGCGTATGCTTTGGGCTGTGATGGATTCGTTGTGATCGCCGAAATCTGACGTCTGGGGTAGGAGGGGGAGTAGCTCCGCCTGTGCTATCACGGAGTTGGTCCAGGCATCAAGTTGCTGCATTCGTTCAAACATATAGTACATCCCTGATTGGGACGAAATACATTTGCTCAGATCACCAATAAACTGAGTTGCTGATACGAGCACTTGTTGAGCTTGTATCAAAATAGCCCAACCCTAAAGACCGGTTAGTGGGTAGAAGATAATGAAGAAGTTTTCGAGTGCAAACCTCTGTATCTGATGAAAATGATGGATATGGTGTCGTGAACTGCGGGTCATTGATGATGATAGCAGGCACCTAGTTCTTTGTTAGCTCTAGTCATATTTGAAGAGTTATATCACTCACTGTTGTGCTAACAATAGATCCTTGAATCACACAATAGTACTAAAAAGATTAGATCAAGAACCAATGGAAGAAGAGGGATACAAACCGTCATCCACCAGGCTCGCCGTCGAGCTTCCGACAATTCATCATTCCCCGTTTGAGCATGAAGCGACTTGTCCAAAGCAATTGCAAGAGCCTGGCCAGCACGATATCGCATCTTAAGTAAGTTACCACGTTGGGAGTACTCATAGACCGAAAGCACCAAGAGAGCCAGGAGACTCTCATAGTCCACCGGAGCTTGTGAGTGAAATCTTTCCCGACCAACAAAAGGGCGTGCGGTAGATAATGCCTGGCCGGGATCAGTTGTAGACAAGTCAAGATCACACTCTGCTTCGATTGTTGAGTTGGCAAGTTGGGCGAAAGTATGCGCGTATTTTCTACGCTGGAGTACAGAGGCCGCGGACGACGGCTCAAGGTCACTTGGGTGGGGAATCAATGCCAAGATTGCAGATAGTGCAAGACTCAGAGGCGAACGGGGCCGGTACATCATCATCGGTTCAGATGTGTTGGAACCTGGAATAGGGCAGTTCAAGGGTCGATCTCGGCACGGTGGTGATGCCCGTGGCGGAAGAATGGGGAAATAGTTATGAATGAAGTCATAATAGGCATTCAATCTGAGGATGTTAGCAAATGTATAATATTTATCGCAGTAAAAATACCTACATTTCTGGTTCGCTTCCGTACGTCCTTACAAAAAGTTGAGTGTTGTTCAAAGGTGGCGATATCAAGGGCACTTGCATATGCGACTGACTGCTATCACCAGTGAAGAAGTTTTGGAACATGGAAGGAACATCGGTTTGGAAATCTAGATGTCTCAAACCTGCGCCAGGCATAGAAAGTTCATCGATTTGGTTGAACATCCCCGGAGCTGGATTTTGGATAAGTATATGGCTTTTGTTTTTTTGGGGCATGAGTGCGACGACGTACCTTCTTCAAACTCCGGGGGTGAGGGGATAGTATTATACAAAGCATCATCTCGCCTCGATTTATGTTCTGGTGACTGGGAGGACTTTTCCTTCTTTTTGCGTGGCCCGCCTCGTTTGCTGGGTAAATAAGAGCATTCTCTGTCTTTGCTAACACACTGTAATATATGTCAGTCTATGCAATGAACATGGATCGACCCCAGATCCACAATTACAATAGCCCCTAGCATTCAACACGCAAAGCACAAAGACAACGTACATTCGCGCATGGCATCTGGCCGCCACATCGTGTTCTTGAAGCTCGGCTGGAGTAACCGATTAGTGGAGAAGTTCCTCTTTTTTTTGTTCACGGGATTTGCTCACCAGGGAAGACAGGCTACCTTGACTGGCGGTTTAGCAAACTTCTTGCGAACCGACCGAGGCGCTGTCGAGGCAAGCCCGTTATAATCCAAAGTATCGGCCATGACGACACTAAAAATGAGAGCCGCAATAATCTACAGTACCATTAATTTGAAACTGCCCGACTCGGATGTCTTTGCAACCGAATACTAGTTGAAATGGGGCATTCTGCTGCTCGAGTAATAAGATCGCAAGTTCGAAAAAAGGGCGCTGATATAGAGACTTCGGTGTGATTGCTTGATCTTCGCAAATCCCGAGCCGTGGGGAGGTTCGGGATTTGCTTTTCGCAACTAAGCAAAGAGAGATCAAGCCCAACCCCGAATTGGTGAGATGATATCAGGACGCATATATGCAGGTTGATGGGAAGATTTGTTCATGTTTCTTTTCACACCACATGGAACCCTGGGAAGGAGAGGAATGGAAAAGGGCATTTGATATTCGCAGGGTTTGGGGGAGATGGAACTTACCAATACGATCGATACCCGTATGATTCGACTCTTAAGGGTGGGAAAGATATGTAATACCATCTGAAACAGTCAATCACGTGGATCCACAATCGGCCCACTATGATGTCGCCTATCGAGGCTTTAAGAGACGCAACATGATCTATCGAATCAACGGACATTACTCGGAATCAAATTCTAACTTGACATACTACCATCAGGGATAGGCGATGCAGGTGCACTACATAAATGATTTGGAATACTTTGTTCATACTTTGTTCATAAATATTATGTACATATCCATTAGCGGCATCTCCGATTAGAACTTAAGTATGACCCTTGCCTTTGCGAGCGAGGGGTAGTTTAATGCCAACATGCCGTACACTCTCCCAAACGCTATCTCGAACTCTCACAGGGTTCTTATGTCCCTTTAAGTTCTGGTCGATTAACCACATTCCAACCACGAATTCCTCACGTACCAAGAGCCCGATGTTTTGATGATCGACCAGGTCCCAAATTTGCTCTAGAGTCGTCTCTGGCAGACGGCTACGGGACCAAATCTCCCGGACCACCAAGTTGAGAACCATATCCGAGGCATCAGGTGGCCATGACCCGTCTTTACTGGGACCGGGGCCCTCGGTGTTGATGAGAAGCCCTTTATTAGAGGCCCAGACACCTTCGTAACGTTTGCGTTCCCGTTCAAGGACTTCGCGTTGCCAACGTTTACGGTCCCCCTCCTTGTGCTTGTGGGGGTGTTTGTGCAAGGGGTTCCTGTGTCTTCGGTGGTTGACATCGGTGGGTTTCGGCAGGCCACGAAGGGTCATCGGGATGCTCTTCGGTGGACTTGGTGATCTCGATAGGTCAGGTTTGGGATGTGCGTGTGGTAAATGTAGAATGGATCGGGCCCGTCGTCGTTGGGGAAGCGGCGGGGGGACCCCCTGATAGATGGGGATGCTCGAGTTGATGCTATGGATGAGGCGATAATAGCATTAGAAAGGGCTTCCTCGCTCATGCCAATAGAGTCATCTATTGTGGTGATACTCGTAGGTGACAGGCTTGATAGAGATACATCGCTCGGCGTCGAAGGGCTCAGTTTAGAGACAACTCCATGGTTTTTGCTAGACCCTCGTGGTGGAGGCACACGCGGCGGAAGCTTCGGTTTCGGTTCGTCTGATAGCAGAGACGAATTCCGGGACTCTAGGGAGGGATGGGGGCTCGATTCTCGACTATCCTGATAATCTAAAGTGGTGCTGGATTGTTGCGATGAAGAGCGCCCGTAAGTAGCCAGATCCGAGTCAGACATCAAGGCTCTTTGGTGCAGCGGGCGATCCAAAGAACTTTGTGTCCCTCGGATTGAGCGGACGGGGATTGGTGGTGGTGGCTGTCGCTTCTCCTGTGAAGGTGGCACCCGGCTCGCATTTCGTACTGCACCTGCACCAGGTCTGGCGGTTGTCGACGGAGTGGTATCTCGTCTAGGTGACCTTGACGCAGCGAGCCGTGCGGCAATTTGGGAGGCCGAGGAGAGAGGCGCGGCTGATGGTCGTCCCCTCGCACTTAATGTACTGGGTGTAGGCGAAAGTGGCCTAGCCAACCTCCCGACCTTATCCTTCACGGATCCCGCTGCTGGGTCAGATCCAGTCCTTTGATGACCCAGAGGATCTGCCATTGGGGTGGTGATAGAAGATCCAACTTTCACGGGCGAGGGATCTCTGGAGTGGAATGCAAGCGTGGCGCCTTGTAGAGCGTCATTCCGCACCCCCAACCGCTGGTTCGCGGAAGCTCCATACATGGGAATCGATTCCCCACAATTGAGTTCGGTAGAGTTATGCGACTTGAAATTTATATCAAGTCAAGATTGTGATCATAGTTCATCTTGCAAGAGTCGTTTTTTTTTTTAAGATGTGGGAAAATGTAAGAGGCCGTGCACGCGACCGTACACGTTTCTTCTACGCGACTGCATTAGAGTAACGTGTACACGGAGTACGGAGTACGGAATATAAAAGTATTAAATCATTTTTCGATCCCATATAAAAATTGATTTCACCATTCTCTACATATCTCTCAAATTACTATGAACGGTTGTCAACGGTCAACCCCAGATTTCCAATTAGCCGAACTAATTTCGCGTTTGGAGTCTCCACTTTGCTTTCCCCTCTTAGTCTGCATCTGCTATGTGACCTGCATATATCAACGGGGAAAATGCTATCTGCTTCTCTGGAGCACAGTTGGTGCCATGCTCTCGGATAAAGACCACGATCCCGAACGTGGATCCAAAGTTCCTCAGGCAGAACTGGTTGCCGGTCATATTCAATGCTCAGTGTGTAGCAGTACCTTTCGACGACCGGAGCATCTGAAACGACATCTGCGGAGTCACACGAAAGAGAAACCTTTTGAGTGTGTCCAGTGCGGTCGGTATTTTTCAAGAACGTATGCGCGCTTGGGTGATAGCTATCGCGTCGAGTCACACGCTAATCTACACCCAGTGACACCCTCCATCGACATGAATTGAGTCATCATGCACCAGGGACGGGAGGGAAAGATCGCGCCCATCGGATCACTGTCAAAACATTCCGAGCATGTTTTAGTTGCGCAACAGCAAGAGTAAGATGTAGCGGTGGCATGCCGTGCGGACGGTGCGACACTCGCTCGCTCGAATGTCAATATCCCACGCAAAGGCGGTCCAAAGCAAAAGCTATGAGAGATTCAGCTGGACAAGAAGCCGGGGCGGAGACCGAGAATCTCAACCCCAGGCACCAAGATTCGAATGCAGGCTCTAGCCAAAGCCAGTTGTCTATATACAGGCAAAATGAACCGGTACCATCATCCAAAACTTCACTCAACGGACCATCTACTTCCGGCAGTGACCACACAAGACGAATGTCTCAAAATACACACGGTGTCACAGGCGCCTCGGCTCCTGGTTTGTATCTCCCAAATGAGATACAAGGGCCGTCTGAACCACTGCCACCAGGAGTTTACCCTGAAGATATCAACCGGACATATGATAACTCGAGCTCCAACATCCCCAAAGCGTTCCCGGTTAATTCATCTGACAATATAAGCTCTGAAACGAGGAATCCTCACCTGGGGATGTCCAATACAACAGGTGACATTGAATTGACCATGGAAAATGACCCAGAGGTGTCGCTAGAGTTTGATCCCACACTATTTGACCAGTCCATGCTTTCCACCATCAATTGGTTCCCTGGAGAGTTGCCCCCTGGTGCTCCTAATGGCCACGAACAGTCGACCAGTCTTCCCTCGCATTACAACCAATCTCTTAGCCCGAGTGCCTACTTCTCTCGGGCAGCCTGGAAACCACCGGTTGTCAGCGGGCAAATGAGTATTTTGCAAAGAGAGCGGGTCTCTCAAACTCCCCCTGTGCATGTTTCTCTAGGAAACAATGTGGGAAGGCCCAATCGAGATTCCCATCGCATGAGCGAGCCTTCACCGCATAATGAGTCAGTGGAATCCGCCATGGGACCAGCGGACTATTACGTTGATGGTGCGCCATCCAGACTTCCAAAGTATAAAAAGAAACACACGCCTTGGTCCGGCTCATCTGTGGAGCCGGTCGATATTGGCAGGCAGCTGGCCATTGAAGATAGTGAGCACCGGTTCAGCTTCCCTCTCATCTCCGAAGTACGAATAGATCGAATACCGGAAGATACAACCCGCTTCGCACAACGGATTGAGACCTCCACCTACGATGAGCTTTATCAGCACTTTGTTCAGCTATGCTGCAATGAAAGCCCATTCTTTGAGGTGTTCGAATCGGAGAGATTTCCCACCATGGACGAATGCAACCAGTTTATTCTCTACTTCTTCGATTCATTTCAGGCCGTCTATCCGATTATACATCTTTCCCAGTTTGATCCGAATACAAGCCATCGGCTCTTGACTTTGTCAATAATAGCACTCGGGTGCCATATGTCCCTCATTCCCGAGATGGAGCAATGTACAACTGCTCTCCACGAGCTGATTCGGCGGGGTGTCTACCTTGAGGTGAGAAAGGCTTTCTTATTCTTGTTCAGTCCTTTCCAGCTAATTGTTTTGTACTACCAGAAGGAAAAGAGTCGCCCTGGTCAGGCTTCTCTCGAGATATTGCAAGCCATGTTATTCAACTGCATTGGACTTCTTCACAGTAGCAGCGAGCGAGAGAAAGCCTCGGCCTTGAGCACTTTTAGTGACTTGGTGACACTCATGAAAGCTTCCCGGTTATTGGCCCCAGTGCGAGCAATACCCAATGAAGCGTCACTAGACGTAACCTGGGTATCTTGGATTCAAGATGAGGTCAGGAGACGCACCGGCTATTGTATATGGGTAAGCTTTGTCGAAAATGGGCCCTCTACTTTCATTGACGATGATAGCTTGTGGATTGTACACTTGCGTACTACTTCGATAATCGACCTCTGCTCTCCCTAGATGACGGGCTAGCTGCGTTGCCTGCGCATGAGAGGCTATGGCAAGCAAGTTCCGCAGAGACATGGAAGCCACTGTGGGCAGATTCATCTGGTAATTCTTCTTCAGACCCAAAAACCGACCAATGTCTAATTCCTCCAGCCAACGAATCCTTATACGATGCAGCCCACATCCTCTATATCGAGAAGCGAGTAGTAACCGGGATAGGAGAATTCAGTCACATTCTGCTCATTCACGCTCTCTACCATCGAATGTGGGAAGTGGGAGACTACTTTCGCCGCCCACTATCCTTCTGGAACCCAACAGCAAAGAAGCAATCCTGCGAGACCGCCATTCCAAAAGGCTCAGTCTGGCTCCCGGGAATCCCCTCGTACTCAAAATGGCGCAACAGCGCGTGCGACTGTCTCGACATCCTCCACTGGACCGCCAGCAGCACCATAGCCAAAGCTGCAGGCTTCGAACACCCAACCATCCTCCACCTTCACGCCGCCCGAATACTCCTCCTTGCTCCATTCCGCGAAATACGCTCCCTCGCAACCTCGCTGGCTACAGAAAAGCAGCGCTGGAGCAAGCGACACCAGTCCCTCGAATGGCAATACATTTGGCGCTGGATGAAACACGACCAATACAAAGCCCGGCTTTCAATCATCCACGCCGGCGTCACTCTCTGGCATGTCCGTCGCTACTCGACGAACGCTTTTCACGAGCCTGTCGCAGTGTTTATTGCTGTGCTCACATTGTGGGCGTACGGATCCTGTCATGCAAGTTCCTCCCATGAGTCCAGTCCGCATTCGCAGGCGCGTGCGGAGCCGCTCCATGAACCGAGATTTGTTCATCTTGATCGGCCATGCGATGATGAGCTTGTGCAGCTTTTTGTGAGAGAGGGCCATGCTATGAGAGGGAATGTTACTGGTGTTGGTGATATCTGTGGTCTTGAGGGTCCAGAAAGGATGCTGCGGGTCGGATGTGAGATCATTTCGGGCTTGACAGCGTGGAGTGTTTCGAAGAAGTTTGCGGCTATTTTGACGCGGTTGGCGGATTTGAGCTCGTACCACGCCTCTGACCAGAATTGCCGGCTTGATGCTGAGAATGTCTGATTTGTGTCAGGGTGAAGGATGAATGGTCCAAGGTAGGTAAACGCCTCTCTTCGTATGCTGTACAATAGCTTTTGTATTGGCCTCTTCATCTGTTTTATCATGAATTGTATGTCGGGTTCAAGATTTGTCTCTCTATCACTCATATCGAATTAGCCTAAATATCTCGTTGTCTCCCAGTGACCAAATTTATTGAGCTTAGAGTATAGTTAGTCGTCTTTTGAGAGGTCCCTCGGCTATTTGAATAGGTCGCCTTAGCCAGAAAGTGTAGCAAGCTGTCATTGCCCCTATCAACGTGCCTTCCAACGTTCCTTCTTCACAGAAGTTTAGTCTCGTATATTTCGAGGAACTTAGTGGGGCTTTCCCTTATCTTATAAGTAGTCGCAGTAACATCAGGTATTATATAAATTTCAATGTTCTGGCTTCTCTCTCTTCACTTCTTTAACGGCTTCCGATGAGACCTTGGAACAGGACCTCAATCTAAAGAAAAAGATAGTTGTCAAGGTGAGGTTTAGGTATATTCATGATACAACTGAGTGCAGTCCGATTCAATACTCTGTAAGAAACAATGCAAGCCTCGAGAAATGCTGGCCAAGCAGTATGGAAACCCTGCAAATTTGGGAGCACGATGCAACTTCCAACGTGCCAGAGGTCGCGTGACTCGTGTCGTTTGCTCCCAGCAGATCAATCCTCCCATCTGCATACCTAGGTAGAGTTCCTTTCTCTCTCTCTACACATCTCACATATTCTCCAAGGAACCATTCTATTTGCACAGTAGGCTTTGGAACCTCTGTATGCTCACAACAGGATCCCAATACATCAAAAAGGCGCCTCCTTAACTCACCTGGATATCTCCAAAATCCATATCAGTAGGGAGATTATACGCTCCGATGCGTCTTCTATCTTTGAGGTGGATCTGGACGGAAAAAAATATACACTGAAGGTTTTCCACGACAATGGCGACCCTGGATATGCCGAAAATGGCCGTGATTTAAATCGATTTCGATGCGAATCCAATGCATATGAGAAGCTCCGAGCTTCTGGTGTCTGTACCCACGGTTTTATCCCAGAATTCCACGGCTATATCGATCGAATAGATCCCGTGGCATTCAGTCCTACCTTACAACATTTCGCCCACGACAAGCTAAAGCCGAAAGCAATAATACTAGAGTACCTCCCAAATGCCGAGAGTCTGAACTGCGTGAACTACTCGGATACACTCTATCCCCAGGCAATTGAGGGTATGAAGGAGATACATAGGGCGGGCGTTCACCACCGAGACATCTACCCTAAAAACCTTCTCCTCGTCCGTGGAACCCCCGACAGGCTGGTCTGGATTGACTTTGATGTTGCAACAACTTTTACCAATCTTGGTCCTGAAGAATTGGACCTCTGTGAGTACGAGATTGCGCTTGTGAAGGGATTTGGGGAAGCACTAGTAAGGGCTCCATTCATATATTGGAAGCACATAGCATCATGACTGACAAATACAGAGAGATGACCAGGCCGAGGGACTCCCACCGAATACAAAATTTTACTAAGCGCTTCGTGTCCGGGGCTATCAAGATCGAGACGGATCGATGGACAGGAGACCGGTTTACGTGGAAATTCAAGCTGTTCGCTGCCAGTCCAGTAGAGGGAAGCGGGGATGGCTTTTCTAGGTCACAACGTATGCTCACCTTGGAAGTAGAAATAAAATCGCAATGAGTTGGGTTTGATGATTATTTCAACCTTGAATGGATAATGAGCCTTCGTCTGGGGCCACCGATATGTTCCCCAACTGAGATTCTATATATCTTGTCCGAGTTGTGTTCGTAACGGGCATCATGGGATTGAATAGAAGATCTTGAGTGAGTTTTGAATGATCCAAGCTTGGTAAAACACATTTAGACCCCATAATCATCAAATACATAAAGTGAATATATGTAGAAAAGGCGTCTTCCCCAAACTCCAGTTTTGTATAGTTCGAAAAAAGTTGGTGGAGCTCTTATCTTATCAGCAGTGCAGCCTAAAATCATCTGGGGTAGTGCAACCTTGGAGGTTCCAACTTCCCTCTCTTAACCTTTCTAATGAATTCCGACGAGATATTAGAGCAGGATCTCAAGCCAGAGAGGGAAGAAGATCTGGACGAAAAGTGAACCAAAACTCATGACATGATATCATCCTGGGTAGATCACTGATAGCTGGCAGATACCCCAACAGGCCTCACAACCGAGCTCCGACATTGCCGTTCCACGATCTATTCCTGGACCTATTCAATCCATTGAGCGAGCTCAAGAAAAAGCCTTCAGGGCCTACTCCGGCTCGCCGAAAAGTTGGTCCCCATGGAAAAGGTGCTGCGAGTCTCAACCCGTTCGAGCGCCGGCGTGATGTGATTGAGCGCTTCATTTCGCGGTGGCGCAAGGATGTCGGCGACGACATTTACCCCGCCCTTCGACTGATTCTTCCTGACAAAGACCGTGATCGACCTATGTACGGGATCAAGGAGAAGGCCATCGGCAAGATACTCGTCAAGATCATGAAGATCAACAAAGAATCAGAAGATGGATACAATCTTCTGAATTGGAAGCTTCCTGGCCAAGGGGCTACAGCACGTATGGCAGGTGATTTTGCTGGAAGATGCTTCGATGTTCTCTCGAAGCGGCCCATGCGGACCGAGCCGGGCGACATGACGATCGAGGAAGTCAATGAGAAGCTGGATATGCTATCTGCTGCCTCGAAGGACGATGAGCAACTTCCAATCTTCGCGGAGTTCTACCGCCGGATGGACCCTGAGGAAATGCTGTGGCTTATCCGCATCATACTTCGGCAGATGAAGATTCGTGCTACCGAGCGAACACTCTTTGATGTTTGGCATCCCGATGCCGAGAGCCTGTACAGCATTTCTAGCAGTCTGCGACGTGTGTGTTGGGAGCTGCATGATCCCAATATCCGGCTTGAGGGAGAGGAGCGTGGTGTCGCGTTGATGCAATGCTTCCAGCCTCAGCTGGCCCAATTTCAGATGCATTCTTTCGATAAAATCATTGCTCGTATGAAACCAACAGAAGATGACAACGTGTTTTGGATCGAAGAGAAGATGGATGGAGAGCGTATGCAACTCCACATGGTGCCTGACGAGTCCATCAAAGGTGGTCGGAAATTTGGCTTCTGGTCGCGCAAAGCGAAAGAATATACCTATCTATATGGAAATGGTCTTTATGACGATAACAGTGCTCTGACAAGACACCTCAAAGATGCTTTTGTGGATGGGGTACAGAGCATTATTCTCGACGGCGAAATGATCACCTGGGATCCTGAACAGGACGCCATGGTTCCTTTTGGCACGCTAAAAACCGCGGCGCTAGCGGAGCAACGCAATCCTTTCTCGAATGGTCCACGACCATTGTTCCGTGTGTTCGATATCTTACATCTCAATGGACGCGATCTAACAAAGTACACCCTTCGTGATCGTCGCAAGGCCTTGGAGAAAACTGTCCGACATGTCCATCGCCGATTTGAAATTCACCCTTACGAGGAAGCCACCACCACCACCGAAGTTGAAGCGGCTCTGCGAAAAGTCGTGGCTGAGGCGTCAGAAGGTCTCGTGCTGAAGAATCCACGCTCTCCATATCGACTGAACGAACGCCATGATGACTGGATGAAAGTCAAACCAGATTATATGACCGAGTTTGGAGAGTCTCTTGACGTTGTTGTGATTGGCGGATACTATGGCTCGGGTCATCGAGGAGGTGCGCTGTCCAGTTTTCTCTGCGGACTACGAGTTGACGACAGCACACAAGCGCCCGAGAAATGCTGGTCTTTCTGTAAGGTCGGTGGTGGGTTTACAGCCGCTGACTACCAGGAGGTTCGCCACCATACAGATGGCAAGTGGAAGGTGTGGGATGCGAAAAATCCGCCGACTACCTACATCGAACTGGGTGGCGGAGACGCCCAGCATGAGCGTCCAGATATGTGGATCAAACCATCCGACTCAATTGTGCTGTGCGTGAAAGCTGCATCTGTCGCAATCAGTGATCAGTTCCGCATGGGATTGACATTGCGCTTTCCTCGCTTTAAGAAATTACGCAAGGACAAGGACTGGAAAAGCGCACTCTCGGTTCAGGAGTTCCTTGACCTAAAGTCCAATGCAGAGCAAGAACACCGGGAGAAAGAATTTTCTGTTGATCACTCTCGGAAGAAGCGAGTAAAAAAGGCCACTAAGAAGCCGCTCACAGTTGCTGGGTACGACGATAATGTTGATGTCCAGTATCTTGGACCTTCTGGACATGTCTTCGATGAGCTTAACTTCTGTAGGTGGCTTGACTGCGTGCCGTTCCTACTGCACATAATACTAATAGATGGCCTTCTAGTCATAATGACCGAGTCGACCGTCCCAGAAAAGAAAACAAAGGTTCAGCTAGAACAACTTGTGAAGGCTAATGGTGGCAAAATTTATCAAACCAAGACAGCTGCCGTGGACACGATCTGTGTTGCCGAGCGAAGTGAGTTTCATTCTACACATGAAATAACCAAGCTAATGTTTCGGCAGGAACGGTCAAAGTAGCTTCATTACAAAAAAGTGGAGAGCAAAATATCATTCGGCCATCTTGGCTTATTGACTGCGTCAAACAGAATGAAATAGATGCAGGTCTGCCAGATCTGCTTCTCCCGTTCGAGCCAAGGTATGTTTTGACACTCAAAGGAGGCTCAGGGATCCACGAAGCTAATCCATCGATTTTTGTAGACACATGTTTTTCATGACAGAAGACAAAGAGGAAGAAGTCGCAGCAAATGTTGACAAGTTCATGGACAGTTATGCCCGCGACACAACCGTCGACGAGCTCAAGGATGTATGACCTCTAGCGAAACAACGAGAAACAAGCACGGCTTTGACTAAAAAGTATTCAAACTTGCAGGTGTTCAAGCAAATGGAACAAAACCAAGACCAGCCCGACCATGCCCCGGACTCAGGAACCGTTCAGAGAATCGAGACTCTCATCCAGGACAAAGTAAACGCCGGCTACACAGTTCCCTGCGGATGGCTCTTCCGAGGCCTCAAGTTCCACTTCTACTCGAACGGCGATCAATCGGACAAACCAGCCTCCCGAGAATTGAGGAAGGAATGCCAACGCCTCCACTTCGCTCGCAACACAGCCCGGTTCGCGAGCGCCGAGATTGCCAGCTTATTAAAGAGCCTGAATACCACACACGTGATAGTCGACCCGGAGACTCTGTCTCCAGCGGACATATCATCTCTCCGGAAATCTTTGGCCGCGAAGCCGGGTGCGAAAATGCCGCATCTCGTGAACGTGAGCTGGGTGGAAGAGTGCTGGAAAAACCGCACTTTGCTAGACGAGGAGAGTAAGTTGTAACATCCTTTCCGTATCGGGCTATTCGGGGCGTTCTAACGCGTGGCAGGATTCCCGGTTCCGCGATGAAATCGTCCGCGTTCAGATCGCTTGATGAATTATGCATTTTCTTTCATTTTGTCATTTCTTCTTTTGGCGCTGGACACATGCATGTCTATGCAGAGCGAGCGAGTTGAACTAACGGAGTACGCGGATATAGCAAGTCACATTCAATGGATCATCTGATGTTAAGCCAACTCGGCTAGAAGAGTCTGGAGAGGTACCGGCATGGCCGAAATGACCTACCGCGTAAGACCAATAAATTGTCCTTTGACTGGACATGCTGTATTATTCGGACCATGTGGCTTTGGGCTTGGTCAAAGAGCCCAATATAAAAGACCCGAGACTCATCAGGCCACGCGAGGGTGATCTGGGGTGATCTCCTGTCATGGAATGCAAGATGATATCACGATACAGAATGTTTAAAGTTAATCTAGCGTTTCTTACACGAGAGTTGACTATGTACGGAGAGAGTATAGCTACTCAAGTAGGCGCTCTCCGGTAATTACAAGGATCTCAGGTCTGCTCTCAAGGCAGTCACGATGTATTTTGCTGTCTTCTGGCCGGATGGGGCGAACAAGCACGGTCCTCCCGGAAAAGAAAGAGAAAGGCTTTAATTATAATGACCATTTCTTTGAGATACAATATCCCATATAATACGTAGTATGTTATGACTTGATTATAGTTACAAGACAAAAGAAGCATAGTTTCACAGATTTGATTCAAGTTGAATAGATATCTTAGGTGGTGATCGGAAGATCGATCTGAAAAAAGAAAGAAAAAGCAGCCATAGCAAAATCATAGCGCTGTCAAGGTAGAAATGGGGGTATGTAACAAAAGAGAGGAATATTTGCGCCAAAAAGGGCACCGTCCTAGTCCAACGCCGCGCTTGCAGAGAACCGAAGATAAAGAAGAAAGAAAAAATATATATGTACTGAAGTGACGTGATCAAAAGGGAAGATGTATTGTGCCATATCTTGCGCTCTGCGCTAAGACAGGACATCTATCAAAACCTTTCATTTTCACTGGGCTGAGACACCCACCCACCGGGACGGAACGGTGTTGTTATCATCGCCGTCCTCGTATTGTCCCGACAAGTGAGAATTGGTCTTGCGTGCTGGCAGCCAGATGCGAGCACGGGGTGGGATGTCATCGCGGAGTTTGCCGCTGCGACGCATGTTCATTTCAAGAACGACCACGCGCAAGAAATCGCTGTTTTCACGAATTTCGCGCTGGCGCGACATGGGTGGAACTTCCGGGTCGAAAGTGATGAATTTCTGATCCTTACTTGCGATGTGGAAATGGCTTCGTCGGTTTCCACGACCACCGGCTCGGCGATATGTCTGCATTTGGATCGAAACTGGGGATGTACTGGAGGCCTTTGGCTTGTCGTCGGGATGATCGTGATAGACATACATCTCTGCCGGTGACATCGGGGTGGGGTTCATCGGGGGTGGATTCAAGTAGCGTCGTAATGCTGGAGAAGGTGTTTCTTGCATCGGCAAAGGACGGCGATCATCGGTCATCTCTGGGGTGATGGTGAAGAGAGACCGAGTGAGGAAGTCCTCAGGTTGAACAGAAGGGGTGGCAAATGTAGAGACTGACTGCGCAGCCGATTTGATAGCCCGTAAAGATGCTGTGAGGTTCGACTTGAAAGTAGATCCGAGGCGTCCAAATGATGCAGATCGCTTTGCAGGCACTGTGTTTGGTGTGACAGGCTCATTGTCGATCTTGATTTCGATGTATTCACATTCTAGTTCAGTTACAAGCAGAGGGTGGTCCAAGGCACAATCCTCGGAATGTGAATACCGAGGCTGTCGTCTTTCCAGTGGACTTCTGGGCGGACTTCTATGGCTGGGAGGGGTTGGCGATGAGGGAAGACTGGGTGGCGATGATAAGCCATGGTCTAATGAAGGCATCGAATCGCTCGATGCTGACCTCACTGACAGTGGTGATTCGTGCTCGGTATCGTGACAAGGCAGGTGTTTCTCATTGTCTTGATCCGGTGGACTGAGAAGGATGTCGAGAGGGGAGTAGGCGGTCCCATCGAGGAAAGTCTCTTCTTTCGACTTAATCTCTTCCTGCAGCATGCGCCTAAAGTCTTCCTCGTGGTTTCCACGGGGTAATTTCCGTGGTCTGCGGCTGGTCCAGTTTCGTCGCGGGACGGGAATAGCCGTTGCATCCAACATCGAGGTGAATGACGTAGGTATGGGGCGGTCGGTGGATGAGCTGGAGGAGGACCGACGAGAGGATTCCGAGGTTTTAGATAAGGTACGTGAACGCATCTCTCGACGTGCTGGCATCGTCCGCGAGCTACAGCCACGCTTTGGAGGGATTACCACTGGGATGGTGTTCATCGACCCGTGGGTCTCGGTGTTGGGATCAGATAGATGCAGGCCAGAACCCTCCGACGGCATATATGGATTCCTCCTATGAGGCTGAAAGGATTTCTGCGGTAGCGCCGAGGTAAACAGGAATGCTCTGGGGACCATCATGTTGACTGCTGTTTCATCACACGACCACGGTAGTTATCGAGGCCTTAACCGGAGGAAGCGCTCTGGTCGAGTTTCTGCACGAGATACATGGAAAGAAGAAAAAATTGAAGGAAGTGAGAAGATCCCAGGAAGTCAGACGAGAAACAACCAATCGAAGGGTGTATGTGTTGGCCCAAAGAGATGCAAGGAAAGCGGATAGGGCCGTGAGACAAGGGTATGCAGGGACGAGCGGAGAAGGTAGAGGTAGGCGATAAGATGGGAGAGGCGGGGGAGATGGGAGTGGGAGAATCCCAAGGTAAGGAGGATACTGAGGATACTGAAATAGGAAGGATAGAAAGAAGAAATATGAAGGTCAATTGAGATAGAGAGATAATGGGGAGAAAGTGGATGATCTCAGATAAGCCGTATTGGGCAGGTAAACGCAGGTAAAGATCACGGGAGGCGCAGGACAGTAATTTTAGTTTTACCGTATCATTGATTGGCTGTGCGGGGGACAATGCGGGCTTCCGGGTTGTCTCCGATTGTAACGGTAAGTTTGGTAATTGCAATTCCCATTACTCATGGAACATTCCGCCGGTGGAGTCCGGAAGGGAAAATAATTTTCTTTTATAGATATTTCGATATTTCGTTCGTTTCTATTTTGGACATGTTTCAATACATTGGGTATTTTCATACATTTGTGACATGTATATATGACTGGCAATATATCAATGCACTCAACCTATTATAGTAAAACATCAACGTAGTACATAGTCTGTGTATACAACATCAATGTATAGAAAATCCAGCCTTCCCAATGTTGAATAAAACCGGTGGGCCCTTTAAGGTTGCTTTTAGTGTGGTGCTCGGCAGATGCACACCGTTCCCCCCAGAATCGAGACCGAAAAAAAAAAAAATCAGAGATCCATTTTCCTCATTCTGACTGGTCTTTCAATCTTTCAACCTTGGAAGGCTGTTAGTTTGTTTATACAATACAGAAAAAGAAATGATAGACATCTTCCAGATCGCTTTCATAGATCGGCAGGTACTCAGGAGGCTCTCATATTTTAGGGGAAAAGATTACTAATAAAAAATGAGCGGGTGGCTGCAGTCCCAAAACGTCAAGTCGAAGAGACCCTACGTGGCTAGTGGAGCGCCTTAAGCGAGGAGAATAATTGCGGTGAACCCCCTATTTTCCTGAATGGCTTTTAATGGTGTCCAATTTTGAGTCATCGTACGTACTGTATCAAGATGGAAGTCATACCACTTCCAAGGGTAGACATATAATTTTGTAAATATTCGACATGTAGGTATTCTAAAGTGATAGACTCCATTTCTCCATTGTATTTATGTACATGCAAACACTTTGACCCTGAAAATCAAACCAAAAAGGAGACCCACCTTGCTATCGAACATCCTTATTTGGCCGAGGGAGTCATAGATGTGAAATGTAAACATCAAAATGTCCATGTCCAAAAAAGCAAAGTTGAGATATGGTGGAGCGCCTTTAGCGAGGTAATTGCGGTGAATAACCATGACACGATATGTAAATGGTACTCTGTACATTCCTCTGGCTTTTTATGAGGTTAGGCAGTCATACATGGTATTGGTTTTATCTATTTGCGTCCGGCCATATGTAACCTCAATTTATGTAACCGACGGTATACGGGCCAAAAGTTGAATCCTTCAGCCGGAATCCGAACTGTGTATCGGAGATGAAAATTACTTGGCAGGGGTCCAGTAAGTTTTGTTTTTCTAGAACGATTAATATGAACATAATCATATGGAAGAATTAACCTAGAATAAAACAAAATGCCATATACCTCGGTGTAGGTGTCTAGGAACCACGTGAGTATATTAGTCAGCGGCTTATCAAAAATGGACATGGGCACACCGGGGCAGCCATCCAGAGGCCGGCGATAACCTCTTGTGTCGTCACGGATTGCACCCAATCATTTCATGTCCATCACCAATCCCAAAGACCCCTAATCTCACCATCTTTTACACTGGGCTTGTCCCCGCCTCCACTGCGGGTCGTTACAATCGTGGGGTACATGGTCATTCCTACAATCGCCATCGGGCCTGTGTAGATCTTCAAGCGTAGCTGGTGCGTTCAATATTCCCTAAGGCGCAATATCCGATCTTAGCGCCTGACTAGGCGGACCGGATCGCAACCGATGGCCCTATAGACTAACATGTCGATAGCCACCGTGTGCACTCTCGATCTAGCAAGCCCACCATGTTCTACTAACGAGCTTTGTACTCTGAAAGATGGATATGCCATGCCGAGGGTTGGACCAGTCACCGGCAAACACGACAACTAGACATGCGAAGAGACTCCGCGGAGAATCAATCACACGCACTTCTTGAATTGCACCTATCAAAGTAACCGAAATCATGAGTTCCGAGCGTGCCCAACCATCCAAAAGACGATGCGTCAGCACAGCTTGTGTCGCCTGCCGAAAAAGGAAGTCAAAGGTTGGACTTCTATATTCCGATATCGAGATGTCACATTACTAATATGATCTGTGTGTATCTGTGTAGTGTGATGGAAACCTACCCAGCTGTGCAGCTTGCTCATCAGTATATCATACACCTTGTATGTATCTTTGCAAAGAGCAATGCCAACCTTGCTAATCCTTCTAGGTGTATATGACCCAAACTCGGATCATCGCCGCAAAGGTGTTTACAAGAAAGACACCGATACATTGCGGACCCGCAACAACACCTTACATACATTGATACAGGCCATATTAAACTATGAAGAAGCAGACGCATTTGAACTAGTACGTCAGATTCGTTCTTGCGATGATCTTGAAGATGTAGCGGCTTCGGTGGTCGCCCAAGAAAAGGGACTTATGTCTACGGACAAGGCAGCAAAGGAGTCAGCTAGCAATGAGAACATGGCTGAGATAGATCAATTCGAGTCAGAGCTGGCCGGGAAGATGAGTGAGCTCATGCTTGACGGTTCTCGCAAATTCATTGGAGGTACATCGAACCTCATCTTCTTACCGCCAGGCTCAGAGCTGCACGAGTCTGCCTCATTTCAAGACAACCTCATCTTCGATGCCGATAATCAAACACACGCCGTGAATCGATGGACCGAAGTCACAGATGACGACTCTCTAATCAGCCATCTCATGACCATGTACTTTACATGGCACTATCCGTTCTTCACCACCCTATCCAAGAATATGTTTTACCGGGACTACATCCGTGGGGTTTCCAGTTCATATTGCTCTGCATTACTTGTCAATGCTATGTTAGCTCTGGGTTGCCATTTTAGCTCGTGGCAAGGTGCTTTTGATGACCCCCAGAATCCTGCAACCGCAGGAAATCATTTCTTCAAAGAGGCGAAGCGACTCATATTGGAGAATGACGAACATGAGAATGCAAAGCTCTGCACTGTCCAGGCATTTGCACTCATGTCTGTCCGAGAGGCAGGATGTGGTCGTGAAGGAAAAGGCTGGGTCTATAGTGGTCTCAGTTTCCGCATGGCTTTTGATCTGGGGTTGAATCTCGACTCAGCAAACCTTGGGGCCCACAGTCTCAGCGATGAAGAGATTGATGCTCGACGGATCACCTTTTGGGGTTGCTATCTCATTGACAAGTTAGTCTCCACAGACTTAGTCATTTCCAATGAATCTAACAATCTATAGATGCTGGTCGAATTACCTCGGTCGTCAACCCCAGTTGACCTCGATTAACGCTAATGTACCAAAGTTCGATGTGTTGCCACAAGAGGAAATAGAGTTGTGGTCTCCCTACACTGATTCTGGAGTTGGCCATGAACACACGCAACCATCACGAACCAGAGCTGTCGCGCTTCAAATATCCAAACTGTGTGAGATCAGCAGCGATGTACTTGTGTTCTTCTACCATCCAACTGAACTCGAAAAATCCCACCCCAAACAGTCGGAACTGAAGAAACTGAGCGATGTCCACACTCGTCTTGAGGCTTGGAAAAACAATTTGCCCAAGGAACTTGTGGCAAAAGACGGACAGCTACCACAAGTGCTTGTCATGCAGTAAGTTGATACTAGGCACATAGTATTTCTCAGCTAACCCTTGCCTCAGTATGTTTTATCAGCTTCAAATAATTCATTTATACAGACCATTCCTGAAGTATACAAAGACGAACACTCCGCTTCCTTCCCATGTTTCGCCTCGCAAGATCTGCACGCAGGCCGCTGCGACTGTTTCAAAGCTGCTACGCATGTACAAACGAGGATATGGACTGAAACAGATCTGCAACATCGCCGTCTACATTGCCCACACTGCGTGCACCGTCCATCTTCTCAATCTTCCCGACAAGAATGCCCAGAGAGACGTGATACACGGTCTCAGGAATCTCGAAGAAATGGCCGAGGGCTGGCTCTGTGCTCGACGTACGCTTCGCATCCTCGACATATCCGCAAACAAATGGCAAGTGGAACTACCATCCGAAGCAATCTCCATCTTTGAGCGAACGCATAATAAATGGGGATCATGGGGCTCTTGGGACCAAGCAACTTCTCCTTCAACATCCGACGACTCTCCTAGAGCAAACCTGATACATCCCCCTACAAGTCCAAGCCGATTTTCACCATCTGCACTCCCATTCCCACATTCTCACACCGACCCTATCGCCATAATTGATACACAAATCGGCTCTCAGTACGGACCACTCGCCGATGTCCCAATTTCATTCCCTCCGGTGCAAGGAATGCATTCACCTCAAGCCCAACGACCAGAATTCGCCCCTCCTGAACCAACATACCTCCGGCCTCAAATGGCCTATCAATTCGCACCATTCCCAGGATCCGTTCCGGCTCCCTCTCCTCCCAATCCGAACAAGTGGTATGATGGCTCTGGGGCTCATATCTCACCCCAAAACGCAACGCCAACGTCAATTGCATCACCCGTGTCTGGGTATGATGGCACGGAAAACCTGGTCGAAGAGAGCCAGGACTGGTGGTCGAGAAGTGCTAATGCATATGGCATCGGCATGGATAGTTGGAGTGGTACTTGGAATGCTGCTCAAAACCAGCCTTCTCCCATGCAATACCAAGACGGCAACCTAATGTCTGTTCTTCAGCCTTCTGGTCCCGGCGATGAGCAGCCTCAGGCTCCCGGGGGAATATCGACAGTCGAGTCGCCCTTAAATCCCGATGACACGACTGGGTATGGGGATAGATGGAAATAATGCATGGATCTTGTGACGTTTGACTTAAAAGAACATATCTCGTTCGATTTTTGATACCATTTTAGGGGATTTTGTCTTGTCCCGGCGTTTATGGGCCATCTACAAATTTGGGGTTTATGTTTATCTCACGATCAATATGAAGAGGACATTTAGAGGCGTATCAAAAAATTTGTCATAGATGATCATTAGTTTTCAAAAACCAACACCAAGGCGCAAAATGCTACTTCCAACGGAAAAGAAAGAAAAAAAGGTGTATGGGATGGTATCACTAGGCCTGGTGTTAGTAAAATGATCTGAGTCAAAACAACCGAAGAAAAAGGAGAGCTTACCAAGAAATAATCAGCGACAGGCTTCTTCGCAGGCATGCCCCTTGTGTCCTGCGCTGCAGCCTCAAAAACACGGTATCTCCTTCCAGGACTGACAACTCTATTATTTGTAACGACGCCGTTGCTCCGGCCATATTCGCCATTACTGCGAGCAACAGTGCCACCGCCGCTAGTATCTTCACCCAGCTCAAGGATAGCGGCAACATTGCCGCAGCGGTAGCAGTAGTTCGGAGCAGACCAAACAGTCACTATACCGCCATCAAACATCTCTTTGTATCCCTCCATAACAAGTTGGTGGGCACGCGCGACAAGAGATAAGCCGTTGAGATGGTTGAATTGTTTGACGATATCGCCGCCGAAAAGGAACCCAGCTCCACGAGGACTTAGCCCCCAGCCTTCGATCTCATCCGGATCTGACCAGAGCAAATCGCACATGGCACCTTCATGTGGCACCTCTTGCTTGCGATCGATCAGCCGAATTTTATCGACAGAGTCAATGAGCGGTGACAATCCACCATGTACACAGAGCACCGCACCAGTCCGGCTAGTCACGGCGCTACCGTTGCCATCACCGCTCGCGCCTGTCCCCGGTGCCCCCGATCGTGAAGGCGCGGCAGCCTGGCCTGGGGCGGCTGAGATGTCTCGTGGCGGCGATATGTTTCTAGAATCTGTGGATGCATCGGAAGAGGAGCGCTGTCGCGCGCGATACGTACTCATCGTGACCTCGCCTCTAGAATTCAGGACTTCTGTTTCAAGCTCGCTGTCGTCAATCGGCATACTTGATAGCGCTGGGTTGGAGGTGGGTTCTAGCTCTGAGCTCGCGCCGAGCACGATCGCGCCCAGGGCCAGGTAGTCGAATACTTCGCAGCAATACCGCCATACGTTCGCGCTGCCGTATTTGCGAATGCACTCGTCGTAAAAACCATATACTGTTGTGATTTGGCGTGATTCGTGATTGCCGCGGATCAGAGTGATGCGGTCGGGGTATCGAACTTTCAAACAAAGGAGAAGAAGGAAGGATTCAAGAGAATAGAAGCCACGGTCGACAAAATCGCCCATGAAAAGGTAGTTGGTATCGGGGACGTCGCCGCCGACGCGAAATAGTTCCATCAAATCGTGAAATTGGCCGTGAATATCGCCGCAGATTGTTACGGGAGCGTCGACAGACACAACATTGCCTTCTTCGATCAGAAGTTCACGCGCCTTGTAGCACAGTTCGCGGACTTGGCTTTCGGGGATCAGGCGGCAGGCCCGCAGCTGCTCGATCGCCCTGTTAGACGCAAAACGTTAGTTTGACGATGAACGATGAAGGTCTAGAGGCTGGAGGGGTTAGTGCCATACCGATCTAGGTCGCTCATGTTGTCGAAGGAGAAAGGGGAAAAGAAAGGAGGACTATATCAAAGTCTAGAAATCCCAAAAGAGATATCAAATGGCTCAGTTTCCCCTTGAAAAATACAGTCTCATCTTCGCGAAGCTATCATCCGCGATGCATACGGGCGACTACCTAGGTAATTATGCCACCGAAACTTAACTCTCTCATTGGATAATGCCTCACCGCTGTCATCACCGCCCCCTCGAGCACTGTATAGGTATTCAGGTTCAACAATCCCATGGCACTTAAATTAATCAATTACAATTTGAGTCTTACAATTGAGTACTTAGATTTTAATATCTATCCCTACCCCTATATCTATATATTTACTATATCAATAACCGCGAGCGAAGCATTGAGCGGCGGCTAGATTAAGCGTACGGGAGTGATAGATAGGGAATTGTACGGAGCTTAGTCGAAAGGCTTTAACGTCGAGAAATAGTTATACACATGGATCTATAAAGTCGGAATAGCTTCATTCTTTGAGACTTCCCAACTTTACTGATGAGGCCCTCTATTATAGTAATTAAGGTATCCTAATTTATACCAGTCTAAAATAAGGCAGAGGGTACGGAGTGTATTCAGAGATAATCCCTACAAAACGAGGCATTTGAGTCTCCAAGTGACCTACGCGTGACTAAAGTACTGCCAGGTAATACCTCCTAGGTAATCAGGTATTATTCAATAAGAGAGTTGAGTTTCGATAGCGTACATACGGTAGCTAGAGTACTCCGTATGTACTTCCCAAGTCGTGCGTAGACGCCCTCGGCGCACCCCTCGAGTTTAAGCCCCACGCCGCCATCCGCTCCCGCACCCCGGCCCTAACGCCGCATTCCCTCGGACCCTTACCGGCGCTTCCTCTCCTAGGCCCCTGGCGCTACCACTGACGACAATGACCTCACAAGCGGCCGTTTCCCTCGCCTAGCAAATTGACACTGCTGCATAAAGCGGAGGCACAGCAGAGATCCTTGCAATATTCGAGGGTTGAAACGTCCCAATATTGAGGGCTGCTTGGTAGCCAGAGGGGCAGTCGAGAAGGCATAAGCTGGCTTCCGTGGGAGAAGGATTCGTATTCAAGGAGAGTACAGTAGAGGTGGAGGGCTCGAGCGAGACACTGGGAATTCTAGCTGAAAGGAAAAAAGGTTGATGTGGGATGGACGGAGAAATTAAGCTCTGTTGGTCAACGTGTGATCATTATCGGATTACTTCGGTACTCTTCTACCCTCACACTAGTTTTATCCTTGATCCCCACCTCCAAGCTTTCTTCCATGGATTCATCAATGGAATATCTCACCGATCTCGAAGGAACGCAGGTCACGTTTGATGCTGTTACAGAACCACCACCTTTCAACTTCCCTGCTCAGAAATGGATAATACTTGAGAATCTCGGCGAAGAGTCAAATCGCTTGACAAAGCAAGATATTGCCGCGGAGCTCGGGCCTTCAGATACCTCTGGGAAATTCCTATGCCGACCTGCCAGCGAGGAAGATGATAATAGGCGCGCATTTTCACGTATTTACCAACAGGTTCCTATTGCCGGAACTGAAACGAAGAAGGCCGCTATACGAGCTAGACAGGCTGTCGATATCCCTCCTAACCACCCAGAGCTGATCGTTTTCCGGAAATTCATGAAGCTAGGCTGTGACGTTGTCCCTCGGCTACTAGGCTATCAACAGCGCCAACAAGACCATGATGAAGGTGTTCCGGGAGGATATATCACGTACATTCTATGGGAAAAAGTCGCTGGCGAGTCTCTTAATTTGACTGAATTCTGGAGGCTCCCCTTTGCTGATCGCAAGGCCATCCGCGATAAGTTTCGCCAGGTCTATACGTATAACTATCTAGTGAATGTAGCGAAACATTAGGCTAACAGAGAGCAGAAGATTTTTACCGTGCGGGTATATGCCATGTATGGCTGGTCCATCGAAGATTATTTATGATAAGCCTAGTGGCCGAATGTCTGTCTATACGAGATTATCTATATGGACTATAATAGTCTGACATTCATCTCTAGGCATATCTGCGGATTCAGACTCGCATCTCCATTTGACGAACCTCAACAGTGGGATGATGTTATCTACTTCCAATACGGACTCATCCAGCCCTCCGACAGCCCATTTTACTGGGAAGGAACACCACCCGAAACGGCGGATTGGATCGACGATGTCAACGGCTGGACGTGGTGAATATGGAAACAACCGGCGGATCACAGCGTGAAGTATGCTCCGCCATTTTGTTCCTCCCTAGCTATCTCAGTAGAAAAATATGAGCCAAGGGATTACTGCACTAGAGTACTGCCTGGCAATTTTATTAAATGAGAGAGCTAAGTTTCGATGGCATATTTAGTCGCCCGTAGACGCAGAGACTCTTGAGAGAGGCGGAACATCCAATCACGCGGGAGCCAGATAAGATTAGATGCACCCAAAGCCCTTTCGCTGCCGTCCACGGCTCTTCTCTCCGCACGCTTTCCCTTGAAGTTCCCTCACATTTGCAGTCGGAGGTTTCAAAAGCTTGTCGATTTCAAAAATTATCACTGGAACTTCAATTGGCATCCTTGCCTGTTCTTTCTTCCCGACTACACCAGCCAGCTCAGTCCGAGCCCTCCGATGGCCTGAAAAATTCCAGAAACAGTCGGCCACGCCCACGTTGTCTCAATTGAACATCAACATTCGTTCTCGCTCTCATTTCATACACAATGCCACCACATCTACACCCTCGGTCACGGTCGACCACCGGCCTATTCGCCGGCACCCTCCTCGCATCTCTCCTCGTTGTCGGCATGCCGCACGTCTTCCCTTGCCCGGCCCCACGACGCACCTTTGCCGATTCGGAGATGACCATGACAGCCGACGGTCAACAAGTGCCACGCATCCGACGTAGACGGCGGAAGGATCTTGAAGTGGCCCCAGAGGGCACTCAGACGGGTCAGCCCACACCAGTCGTTGTGGACGAGGAGGTCTCGACATTTCTTCAGATGGAGGAGGAAGCAGAGAAACTCTCACACATCAATCGAGAATGCCCCGTTCCTAAACCCAAGGGTGTTATAGGGGAATTGCTGGGCTTCCGAGCGAATGCCCAGCATCAGCCCACCACCTTGTCTGAGGGAGACCAATAATGCGTGTACATCGACACGACACTCCTTCGAATTTGTTGCGTTTATTTTCTCGGCTTGTTTAATGATACCATGGATTTTGACAATAAGGGTTGGGTGGTCCGGTGGATGTTTAGAAGAAAGGCCATGCTCAAGGTCCAGAACGAGCTAGACCTACACCATATGTATTCTCTATGTACAGTGAGATGTATAAAAACAAATACCAATTATATCTAGACTAAAAAGAATCAAGAGCTATATCCCTTTTTCAAACAGAATGTGTACTCTCCAACCTAAATGCAATTGCAGGCGTCTGGCAGGCGGAGCCAGCTCCGGCCACCTTGAATATTCCCCCGTCAACCATCGAGCGTATCTCGCCATGGCATTGACAGCCAAGACCGTCGTCTACGACGTGCTCACCAATCAGCGACATACAAGATGGATCGCACCTCTACTTATCTTAGGCGATGCGCTACTCTGCGCCCTCGTCATATGGAAGATCGCCTGTAAGACCGCGTCCAGGTGTCGCGTACTGAACCAGATCCAGCTAACCAAGCAACCACAGACACTGAGATTGACTGGTCCACGTATATGCAGCAAGTCTCTCTATATATCTCTGGCGAACGCGACTACCTCCTAATCAAAGGCTCAACCGGTCCCCTCGTCTACCCCGCCGCTCACGTATACATCTACACCCTCCTCTACCACCTTACCGATGAAGGCCGCGATATTCTCCTGGGACAGGCGCTCTTCGCCGTGCTCTACCTGGCTACACTGGCTGTGGTAGTTGCCTGCTACAGACAGACGGGCGCACCTCCCTACCTTTTCCCGCTCCTTGCTCTGTCTAAACGGCTGCATAGCATATTCGTCTTGCGCATGTTTAATGATGGCGTGGCGACTTTTGCCATGTGGCTTGCTATCTATCTATGCCTGAGACGCAGTTGGACAGCGGGAATTGCAGTGTGGTCTTTTGGGGTTGCTATTAAAATGGCACTTGTGTTGCTTGTGCCTGCTATTGCGGTCATCACTCTCCTCAGTTTGGGGTTGGCACGAAGTCTTTCGCTTGGAGCTATGGCTATTCTTATCCAGGTGAGTTATTAGCAAGTCAATTGAGTTCCGGGAGTGGACTAACGCAAGAAACTACAGGTCCTGCTTGCGGTTCCCTTTCTCCAGACTAATAGTACAGGCTACCTCTCTCGGGCATTTGAGCTATCCCGGCAATTCATGTTCAAATGGACAGTGAACTGGCGGTTTGTAGGAGAAGAAACATTTCTCTCAAGGGAATTCTCTGTGGGTCTGCTGGTGTTGCATATATCCTTGTTGGCTATCTTCTTCAGAAACTGGGTAAAACCTTCAGGGTCGAACATGGTTCGCTTCCTCCAGGATACTCTCCAAGGACGCCAAAAAACAGTTCCACTCTCAAAATCCTTCACTATGACCGTGATGCTGAGCTCACTCGCCATCGGTTTGCTATGCGCCAGATCCTTGCATTACCAGTTTTTCGCGTATCTCGCGTGGGCTACCCCCTTTCTTCTCTGGCGCGCTGGTATCCACCCAGTTCTTATATACGGCGTATGGGCCCTGCAAGAGTGGGCTTGGAACGTTTTCCCCAGCACAAATGCAAGCTCGGCGGTTGTGGTGTTGTCGCTCGCGGTCCAGGTCTTTGGCGTGTTGTTCAATGGCTCAAACGAGGTAGATGAGAACGGCAAGGGTAGCAGTCGCGGCAAGAAGATTGTCCAAGAATGAGAGATACCCCAGCCCCAATTCGTGAGGCGTGCATATTTCGAGCATCATCGTTGATAGCCCAAATTTCCTTTGTACTGTAGCGGCTGCCATTGAACAAACACTTTGCCTTCGAAAGACAATCACTCAGTCTGACTCGTCCGAAGATGGCATTTGGCCCACGCGAGACTCTTCCTCGTCGTCAGAGTCGGACACCATTACAACCTGCTGCTTCACAAATTCCTTAGGCCTGTGTAAAAGCAATGCGAATTAGCAAACGTGTTTATGGCCAATTTGAACCGAGAAGTCATACCAAAAGGGTGCCTTCCTCCATGCTTTCTCGTCCCTGACGATATTGACAATTTCCCCTCCAATTTTATTGTCCCGCTCCTCCTGGCCCTTGGTGTCGACGACGACGTACGAGCTGCGCTTGATCCAGATGGCCGAGCGGAATCGTGCAGGCAATTCAACCAGCATCTGCTTCTTGTCTGCCTGCTCGATCAAGTAAATGTTGTTTCCGGTGGCTTTGATTGCTTTCACGATCTGTTGAGTGTCGGATAGCTCGTCCGGAGGGGTCAAAGTTCCCTCTGCTGTAGCCAGCATCTTTCGGCGAGGCGGACCCATTGTTGCAGATGTGCAGTATTGAAAATGAGCGATGTTGTAAATGCTGGGGCAGATCAAGTGCAAGTTGGAGGGGAGGAAAATCTCCGGAAATAATTTGATCTTATCGGCGGGGCGGGTTTCCCTTTACTCCAGTTCCAGCGCGTGATTGTTTATCGGTTTAACGATCCGCATCTTCGACTTGTACAATAATAACTATGCCTAGGGGCCCGAATTCAAACGGACGCGTCTCCAAGACCTCTGCCCCTACTCAGACGTTGAATGAGCCAAATATCGCCGCGTTGGAACGAGAGATTACCGCGCCTAATGATCAAGTGCAACAACAACTGAACACCCCTTCGGCTCGTCCAATTCGTGTGGCTTCCAAGGCACTTGATGAAGCTCAAGAGAAAGTCTTGATTCAGTGGATTCGGCAGGTGAAGGAGCTATTCTCTCTTCCTCTGGGACCCCTCATCACGAAAAGTGCGAACCAGATATTGAACCGCGACGGGAATGACGCGACTATCAGCAGGGCATGGGTTGAACGCTTCATCAAAAATCTACCAGATGACTTAAAGCCCCCCAAAGCGCGCTCGGTCAAGAAGAAACGTCTCGATGCGTCAGACAAGAGACTCTGGAGCATTGGTATGAACGCCTGGGGGCTGTGATTGCCGGCATTCCCCCAGAAAATATCTACAATTTTGACGACACCATTTTCCAAATCGGGCAGGGAATGAAACCTCGAATGATCGTTACTAGCAGGGCATACGTCCCTCCCCTGACTAGAACCTACTGTGAATGGATAACCACAATCGAATGTATTGCCGCCGATGGGTGGGCAGCCGTTCCATTCATTGTTATTGAAGGCGACCACTATCTCGATGAGTGGCTGACTCTTGAAGGAACTCCTGATGAGACTATATTCATGATGAACTCAAGCGGCCGGGTTGATGAGCAGGTTGCATGCGAGTGGCTCGAGTCTTTCCATCGTCAGACCGTAGATCGTGCTGCAGATGGTCAGCCTAGGCTTCTATTATTCAGAGGCCAACCTCAATATCTCAGTTACAAATTCCTCGAATTTTGCGAGCAACAAAAGATTATTCCCTTCAGCTTTCCGCCCAATATAGGGCATCTCATGCAGCCTTTTGACGGCAAACCCTTTGAAGATTACAAGAAATTCTGGAGGTCTCAAGGCATTCTTTTTTCCATGATTGATGATCCAGATGAAGAGAAAACAATCTTCCTCACGGACCTCCCTTCCGTCCGTGAGAAATCATTCAAACCCGATGTCATCACAAACGCATTTGCCGACAGAGGCATTGTGCCATTTGATCCGTCCAAGGTGGGACAGCCACTTTGAGATCATCCACTCCCCGCGGTGGTAGATGTGCGGTATGATGGATGCCTAGATATCATCCCAGGGTAGATCCAACGTGTTTCGTATCTCACTAGGCGCCGGGGTTATTAGGTCAGGGGAGACTAAAGGCATAGCCCTGCTAGAAATGCATAGACAGCGTGATTTGATTAGCCTTCGCAAGTCGAAGCTCACCAATATCCAACCGCCTATCCGGTTTTGTCTACATATACTTTTGGTGACAAGCTATCCCCAAATGCGGTTCTTATAGAACACCCGTGGACGTCTTGTCTGCATAGCCAATAGATCTTTCCAACTTATCAATGCAATATCTCTGTGGATTTAATCATATATCTGAGGAAATTCTTCTTGCAGGGTTCTCCAAATACGGCGCATCATCGATTAACAGTGACAAAGGCCCAAGATTACGAAGTAAACTACACCATGCATACTCTTATTGCTGCGATTGGTTGATATGAAATCTTTGGATGCTTATATGCGAATGTTACCAGCGAGGGATAAGACGCAGGATTCATTCACTGCATCATTGCATTGGGTGGAAACCTGCTTTGGGGTTTGGCTCTTGACAACCAGCCCAGCGTACTGCCTAGTATAGGTAGTATGCATAGCTCTCCGCACTTTGGGGAAGGTTGGATCTATCCTTGGTCTAGGACCTTCGATCGAGGCAAGTATATCTCAAATGAGATTCCAATACGGCGGCTAGGGCGGAAAATGGACAATCTCACTCCTGCCTCATCCATATTTACTATCCCAGGTTATACATGGGGAAGTCGTTCTCTCAAATTAAGCTTCTAGAACCTAATTCAGGAAAAGACATCTAAACAGAATATGAGTGAGAAGACTACTGAAAAGACATCACCAAGCCGCTGGCCAACTACTGTAATCTAAACCGAATATATAAGGCGAGGGAGTTAGTTCTTGGTCTCGTGGGCTAACAATGTACGATCTAATGCTCTACGGATCAGGTTCAACATGGCCATGGTAAATGTAGCATCAATGTCCGTCGCATTCAATTAGAATCGTAGTTTTATGCATTTGTCGCGCCTTCTATTAGTGAAACTAGTGACATCACCGGTTTCAGCCGAAAATACAGCGAGATGGCCAAGTCATCAGGTACGAAGACCCCTAGAAGACATGGCAAGCAATCTCTATAATTCCTCAAGTATGCAGATGTGCCTAATGGCAAAGTTTGGAAGTGGTCGTGAATTTCAAGTTTTTGCAATATACATAGTGAACGTGCCCAGTTGAGAGCGTTCCGGCTATTATTGAAAGGATTCGGAAGTATGAGGCGTGTCTTGCGATACGATGTTAATGCGATGTGTAGGAACAACATCAACAGATATACGGGCAGATATATATATACATATAGGTATATGTGATCTACTATTATTCACATGTTATACTGTTCAACGTTCGCCACTTCCTTATCGGAGAGGTGCGTGGTAGTATGGACCTTCCCAGTAACCCTGTGGGCTTCTTTCCGAAATCTACTCTATCTGGTAAAATTCGAGGATTCCCATTGTTTTTATCTCTACCAATTTAATCCTTTCTTTGTGTTCCCAGATTTGTATCAATTTGATTTCGGCTATTAATCGACCGGGCGATCATTGCGGGCAGTCTGTCTCACATTTTCCGAAGTGGCATTACCCGCGCCCGTTGCGCCCCTTGTCAACAACAGCCCCGCGAATCCTCTCTCACCACCAACCCACCTTGACCTGGCGCAAGCGCACCCTTGAATTTTGAGTCAGCCTTGCTCTTTGATCTCGTCATACCTGCCATCATGGATGGGGACGAGCTGATCGCATCGGTCTTCCGCAAGATCGAGCGGGAGAAGGCCCTCATCACCGCTGCCAGTAACATGCGGCAGTCGACCGACAATCCCCTTGTGCAACAGAGAGTCGATGCCAACATTCGCGATGGCCGCAAGAACATCGCTTACCTGGAGGAGAAAATGAGAGAATTGCAGATTCGTCAGATGAACCAGGAAGGCGGCTCACCTGGCCAGCATGGAGGCCCGGCGCCCCCGCCCAAAGACTCCGGATACGCTGGCGAGCACGGTGATGGTCGCTATCCCCAGGGTGGCTCTGGCTCGATGCCGTCCGGTGCCCCATACGCCGATCCCCGACCTTATGCTCCGATTCCGAAGGCGAGGCCCAACTACACAAAGCTAGGTGCGTTCTTGTATACGACTCCTGTCAAACCCCTCAAAAATGCTGCGTTGAGTTTAAATTGCTTGGGATGCTAACGTGAATGGCTTTGTCTCAGATCTGATCAAGTATGACACTCCGTATCTCGGACCGAAGATCCAACTCATGCTGTCTCAATTGGAGTTCAAGCTGAGTGTGGAAATGCAATATAAAGCCGGTATCGAAAAGATGGTTCGCTTGTACCAGGATGAGGGCGACCGAAAGAGTCGAGCTGATGCCGAGGGTCGTCGCATTGAGAGTAATCAAAAGATTCAGCTTCTAAAGCAGGCTCTGAAGCGATATGAGGATCTTCATGTTGATATCGAATCCTCCGATGCGCCAGACGGTATGCAAATTATAGCAATTTTGCTGCGGCCATAAACTTACATGGTTACTAACTGGCGTGCAGATGAGAGTCTGAGTAGCCCGAATATGCGCAAGCCGCTGACGGGTCTTCTGACAATGCGCATCCATGCGGTCAAGGACGTGGATCATGCGGCTGGCTCGCGATTTTCGCGAGGACCAGAGACGTACATTGTCGTCAAGGTTGAAGACACTATCAAAGCGAGAACCAAGGCCACCCGAAACGATAAATGGCTGGACGAAGGCTTTTCTATGGATATCGACAAGGCAAACGAGATCGAATTAACTGTTTACGACAAGTCGGGAGATCGCCCAGTCCCAATCGGTATGCTTTGGGTGCGCATTTCTGACATCGCAGAGGAGATGCGTCGCAAGAAGATTGAGACCGAGCTCAACGCATCTGGCTGGGTATCCGCAGATAAGATGGGCGATAGCGGATCCCCTCGAAATGACCATACTGGTTCTCCTATGGGTTCTTCCCATGGCCCTAGTTCCGGAGGACGCCCGGGAACCTCGGGACATGGTGGACATGGACATCACGGTGGCGAGAACTCCAATGCTCCCCCTACTGTGATGATCGATTCATGGTTTGCTCTGGAACCGGTTGGCCGAGTTCAGCTTCAAATGAGCTTCGGTAAGACTAACTCGTGTTAACCCCAAAAGAAGCAGACTCATGTGCTGACTGGATATAGCCAAACAATTGAAGGACCGCCGTCCCTTTGACATTGGTCTTAACCGTCAAGGTGCCGTGCGCCAAAAGAAGGAGGAGGTTCACGAGAAGCAGGGCCACAAGTTCGTCACGCAGCAGTTCTACAACATTATGCGTTGTGCACTGTGTGGAGAGTTCCTCAAGTATGCTGCCGGCATGCAATGTGCGGATTGCAAGTACACCTGCCACCGCAAGTGTTACCCCAAGGTTGTCACCAAGTGTATCAGCAAAGCCAACTACGAGACCGATCCGGACGAGGAGAAAATCAACCATCGCATTCCTCACCGATTCGAAGGCTTTTCCAATATCTCTGCGAACTGGTGTTGCCACTGTGGCTATCTGCTTCCCTTTGGACGCAAGAATGCCAAGCGCTGCTCTGGTAGGCATACTACTGACTCTTATCTTGTTTTCTAGTCCATACTGACCTCTTTTATAGAATGTGGTCTTACGTGCCACGCTCAGTGCACTCACCTTGTGCCCGATTTCTGTGGAATGACGATGGAAGCCGCAAACCAAATTCTCGAGACTCTGATTCGCACCAAGCATCACAACAAGTCTGCTTCTGTTAGTTCTGGCCTCAGCAACCGCACCCTTCGAGCAGGCGGTCCGCCGCAACCCGCTCAAGACAACGCTGCCCTCTCCTACCCCCAGAAGCCGATGGAAGGACCCTACGGGGCCATTCCTAGACAACCCTCCGCAGAAGCGGTAAGCGCTGCCACTAACTCCTTCATGACCCCACAGTCACCAACAGCTGCTGCACAGGCTGCACAGCGCCAACAGATGCCACCGAAATCGCCCACTGGACCTGCCGCAGCCGCCGCCGCCGCCGCCGCAGCTACCGGACTACGCAGCCCCCAGCAAGCCCCAAGTATGTGATTTCCGATCATGCACTGAACAGATGATATTGGTACTAATCAAATCTTAGCCGAAATGGCCCGTCCTATGCCGCCACCCCAGGCACCTCCGCAGCCTCAACATGCCCATTATGACCCATCTGCTTATGCCAATTTCCCGCACCAGCCTCCACCCCAGGCCATGCAAAAGGTGCAGCCTGCGGCTTACCCAATGGCACCGCCTCCGCAGCCCATACAGCAACAGATGCCCCCGCAACAGCAAGTTGCACCTCCTGTCAAGGACGATGCTGCATCGCAGGCAAAGGCTCGCATTGGATTGGATCACTTCAATTTCCTTGCTGTTCTCGGAAAAGGTAATTTCGGAAAGGTCATGTTGGCTGAAACAAAGAGCTCCCGCAAGTTGTATGCCATCAAGGTGCTGAAGAAGGAATTCATTATCGAGAACGATGAAGTGGAGAGTACCAAGTCCGAGAAGCGTGTTTTCCTAATCGCAAACAAGGAACGTCACCCATTCCTTCTCAATTTGCACGCTTGTTTCCAAACCGAAACTCGTGTCTATTTCGTCATGGAGTATATCAGTGGTGGTGATCTCATGCTACACATTCAGCGCGGACAATTCGGCCTCAAGAGAGCACAGTAAGTTCTATTAGTCTTTGCTCTGTTTTTGGTGGCTGGGAATGCTCACATGTTTTAGATTCTATGCCGCCGAGGTCTGCTTGGCACTCAAGTACTTCCACGAGAACGGTGTCATCTATCGTGACTTGAAGCTCGATAACATTCTGCTGACCCTGGATGGTCACATCAAAATTGCTGATTATGGTCTTTGCAAGGAGAACATGTGGTACGGTGGTACAACTAGCACATTCTGCGGTACTCCTGAATTCATGGGCCCAGAAGTAAGTGGGATAAATTTTGGTTGTGTCTTCTTTGAAGTCCCGCTGAACTGACTTTTGTTATAGATTTTGCTGGACAAGAAGTATGGACGTGCTGTGGATTGGTGGGCGTTCGGTGTTCTCATCTACCAGATGCTTTTGCAACAGTCTCCATTCCGTGGTGAAGATGAGGATGAAATCTACGATGCTATTCTTGCCGATGAGCCCCTCTATCCTATTCACATGCCTCGCGACTCCGTGTCGATTCTCCAGAAGCTGTTGACTCGTGAGCCCGAGTTGCGTCTGGGCTCTGGTCCCACAGATGCCCAAGAAGTTATGTCTCATGCCTTCTTCCGCAACATCAACTGGGATGACATCTACCACAAGCGGGTCCCCCCGCCATTCATCCCCACAATCAGCAGTCCCACCGATACAAGCAACTTCGACCAGGAGTTCACCAGTGTGACTCCTGTTCTGACGCCTGTACAATCTGGTAAGATCTTTGTGACTTCGTGTGCTTGCTGGAAGATGAACTGTAACTGACCGATTCTTTTTATTTAGTACTTTCGCAAGCCATGCAGGAAGAATTCCGAGGATTCTCCTATACAGCTGACTTTGCTTGATTCCGCCGATGTGTGATCGGGATAATTATTGCTTGCCTGGACACCTGTCACGAGTTGTTGACGAGCGTGTCAATTCGGTTCACCAAGGATTTAATGCCGACATGTCCGGTTTCTTCAGCGCGCCGCGGGTCTCCCCCGCCAGCACCTCATGCTCTTCAAATTGCTTCAACATACCCAATCGCAGTTTCGTTTTAAGTGCCGGTGTGGACTGGATCTCACTCACATGCTTCAACCGCCGGATACCATGGTCAATGAAACCTCCAGTTTGCTTTTTCTCGATTTCTTTTTGTGTGATTATCTAAATTGCTTGCTCTATTTTTTCCCCTTCCGATTTTTTTTTTTCTTAAGTTTTCCTTCCGACTGGTCGGGTTTATGACTCTATGCTATGTCGGGCATTTGATGTCCAAAAAATGAGAGGGACGGGTTCCTTTATGGGAACAGCATGAAGTGGTTCAAGAGAGTTTGATGAGAAATGACGAAGTTTAAAGATCTATGAAGACACCGTAGGTTCCTTCAGGGATTCGTGCGTGTGATGTCCGGTATGTTCTAGCGGTTCGTGGTATGGAGGAGATACACATCGACCTGATATATCCCCCCTGTCTTTTTTGTAGTTTTATATGTCCTTGGGGGCACATAGATCTGATATCAAATTCCGGGATGCGCCTGCCCTTCCAAGTCGAGCCCTCGTTCCTTCCCAAAGAGGAAGCCAAATATCGTGTCTTCCTCTCCTGAGAAAGCGCATACACCTTTCTTTGCTGTCTACCTTTGTCCTCTCCTCTTGCATGTGTCTTGCAATTTACCACGTCTTTTTGACTCCAGCCTCTTTTCTTTGTTCTAGAAATAGATCCAGCTACCGAGGTCTATGTCAAAGATGCTGCCAAAAACTTAAGCGCCCATTTTCTCGAGACATTATAGCCTTCAGCAAACCCGCCGAGATCGCGTCTTTAAGCAACAAAGAGAACCTGCCCTCGAAAAACAAAGAAACCTCGCCCCGGGGAACAAAGAACACACCTCTCAGTCCATTCCAAAGGTGAGCCAAGCGTCGTCGAGCTCCCATCCCATCAAGAGATGGCTCAAGAACGTGTCTCACCCTGTTGATGGAAGACCCATCAACAGGGTGAGATCAAACGTCGATAATATTGAATTTTACATCAACTTCTCTGAAAGTTCGGAACAAGGATCACCTCAAACTCGCTATAACGAAAGTCGAAACAACAACCCCGAGATTCGACGCTTCCTGTGTTTCTCGCCCCAGGTAAACTGGGGCATTTGTGCAAATCACCACGCCCTTCACTACGAGCCAAACACCATCATTGATTCACGCCATTTCTCTCTCTCCTGATACCCTGGTCCTGCCACAGCCGTGGGTCACAGCTTCAAAACTCGACCACGCCAAAGAGTCGGCAAGCTATCAGCGCTGTACAGTGTTCCTCGCAGGATCGCTCGATCTACCGAGAGAGTCAGATGGTAAGTATTGTCTTTATCATAGCGCAGTCTATCACTTTGACCTTAGTCATCTCTCTTCTAGTCTCTACTCGCTTGGGTCTTACTGACTTCTATTCCAGGCAACCTTAGCCGGAGAACCAGCCTTCGTCGCCAATGACACAGAGCCTTGTCACCCGGCTAAGCGGGTTAAACTCGACCCAGAGGCCTCTGAGACAGATCGTGAGCGGCCAGAGGACACCGACGTGAGTGAGGACGAAAATTGGGACTCAGATCCGCCCACCTCGCCTGAATACAAGATTTATAGTGGCAGTGATGACAGCGACTCTTCTTCCTCGTCATGCGTGCAGCATGCGAAGAAAGCTTCCTTGCATCCCTCGGCCAAGAACGGCTGCTCGCTGAAGTCCAAAGTCAAAAAGACCAGGAGGAGAAGGAAATCAGACTCGGATAGGTCAATGTCTGAGCCAAGTGACCTCGACTACGAGAGCGAGGAAGAGTACTTTGTCCCAAGAGGAGAGCGCGATGATATACTTAACAATAGGCTGACCCGAGAAAGGGCAAGGCGCCTACTTGACGCAGTGGAACTCCCTCAAGGCCACGACCTATCACCAGACGAACAGCAGACTGCCCATCAACTTCTTACTCGTGGCTGCATGCCAACAATCCACAGACACTGGGAAAAAGATTTCTCTACCCTTCCAGAGTCACTGTTCTTTTCTGAGGTAGATGATGAAACCAAGTTTAACGAATCTAACTTTGTCCTTGGGAACGATAACAGTTCCGAATTTTATGCGATTCGTGCCTTTCAAGAGCTTTTAAAGATATGTGGCAATGTCAGGGACTACTGCAACATCCTTGATATCAGTCCTGAAATCTATATCAAGAAATCAATAGAGAAATACCTGCGCTGGGCATTGAGCGACGCCGGTGTCAGAGTCAAGCCGGACACAACCCCTGTGTACGTTATCTATTGCAAGCGTGATGACGAAATATCAAAAGAAGCCTTTGACAAAGTTGCCGCAACATTAAAGAAGCTATCCGATACTTGGCAGAGTCAACTCGCCGCACCCCCCGGCGAAAAATTCTGGCCGGCGTTGATCGGGCTCGTCCTTTGCGGACCTGTTCTTTCTGTCATCTCTCTGGACACCAATCCCCATCCGCAAACCCTAACACATGGACTCAAGTTTCTTGGTCATTTCGATCTTGCAGATTTTGATAATGATGTCTGGAACACCCTAGCTGTCGCGATCCTGGTCATGCACATCAAAAGGACCGTGGCCAAGCTTGCCAAAGCCTACGATCACAAGTTTGTGGTCTCGATCTTTGATGATCCTGCTATAGATTCTTTGGACCCCGATCGTTGATTTCCCGTCACACGGTGCTACTGAGATCTGCAGGATTCTCTGCAGCATCTCTTATATACGTCACACAAATCAACCAGGAAAAAGCAATGTACCTCAGGGCCTGGCAGAATTTGATTTTTCAACCTTCGTTTGACAAAATTTAGCGAGTGTAATTGAGCCATGTAAAAGTGGTTGGCTGAATGAGATGCTATAACAATTCCCATTAGAGTACAATGTGGTGCAGATGATAGGTGCGAAGTTTGAATGCTTTTGCTAATGGAATTGTCGTGACCAATGCAAGGATTGATGTGCTTGTCAGAACTCCACTTGGGCTGGATGCTTGTTTTCCCCTTTTAAATTGATCCTTGAAATCATCCTTGTATTTCAATGAAACTTTAAAGAACGATAGAGTGTGTTATCGGGAATCCGGAGAGCTCTCAGAAAGAAAAATCCTTCACGATGATCTCCGAAGACCATGCTACAGAATCTTCACCGTTGCTGCGCGACATCGACCCAGAAGCAGTAGCCAGTTCCAAAAAATCAGGATGGCGACAAGAACTAGCAATTATTTCGCGATACTCAGCCCCCCTCATGATATCGCTCCTACTGCAACATGCATTGACCGGTTCTAGCATTTTCATGGTGGGCCATCTGGGAAAACGAGAAATTGGCGCCGTGAGCTTGGCCAACATGACTGCCCAGATCACTGGATATTTTGTCTTTCAAGGGCTAGCAACATGCCTGGACACTTTATGTCCGCAGGCATATGGCTCTGGGAATCTGCCTATGGTCGGGCTTCACGTTCAACGACTGACGCTTTTCATGCTCGTCCTCACGATCCCAATTGGAGCTATATGGTGGAATGCGGATCGAATCTTTCTCCTCATTCTTCCGTCTGAATCCTACGAAACAGCCCTTCTTGCGGGTTTGTATTTGAAAATTGCCATCGCCGGTGCTCCCGGCTATGCTTGTTTTGAGTCTGGAAAACGATTTTTCCAGGCACAAGGATTGTTCAGTGCTAGTTTGGTCGTTCTGTTGATATGTTCTACATTGAACATTTTCATGGGATGGTTATTTGTCTGGGTATGTTATTCATCTTCAGAACGCCGAGCCATTTACTGATATACCTTCTGTTCCAGCGACTGCAATGGGGCTTTATCGGTGCGCCTATCGCCGTTGCGATCGCAAACAGTCTTCTGCCCGTCTTCCTGGCACTCTACGTCATCTTCATCAAAGGCTCTGAATGCTGGCACCCTGTTTCTATTGAGATGTGGCGTGGCTGGGGTCCAATGTTGCAGCTTGCCATTCCGAGTTGGCTAATGATCGAAGCCGAAGTGCTCGCATGGGAATTCATGACACTCATTTCGTCCCGTCTAGGCGCGACTGAGCTCGCTGCTCAAGCTGCTATATCGACCCTTTCAGACTTTGCTTTCCAAGTTTCGTTTTCCATCGCTGTTGCTGGTGGCACACACATTGCCTATCTGATCGGAGTAGGTTTTCTCCAGCGTGCGGCAACAGCAGCCAAGGTGTTGGTTTTTGCTTCCTTCGGTGCAGGTGTCACAAATATGCTGGTGATTCTTTCTCTACGGGGGGTTATCCCGGGCTTGTTTAGTGATATCGGCGAGGTCTGGCATTTGATCTTCTTCTTGCTTCCATTAGGTGCCGTCCTTCAGGTTCCCGACGCTGTGGCCACTTCCCTTAATAGCTTGCTGCGGGCTGTGGGACGGCCGGACCTGGGTAGCTATGTTCAGCTCTCGATCTACTATCTCGTAGGATTACCTTTGGGCATTGCTTTCGCGTTCGTCTTGGACTGGAGCATTTTCGGATTATGGTGTGGAATTCTGATCGGTCAGTCGATCATTGTGTCGATTGAGGGCTTCTATTTCTGGAGAATGGTGGACTGGGAGAAGGCATCCCGTGAAGCTATTGAGAGGATGTGATCACGGAGAAAGCTTCTGACGGTTGAGCTATCGACGGGCAGGATAACTTCAAAAACTATAAAATATACCATATCATGCATGACTAATAAGAAATATCTACTTTCTTGTCTGTTGTACATCTACAAAAGAACTCTTATGGTGAACAACATAGTAAACATTACTCTTGTATACTTAGACGTCACATGACCGGTCCCGCTGTTGACGCTATTCCGAACACTGCAATCTTCGAGACGCACTGCATCAACTCAGCATTTCACCATGGATGCCGCCGAGGATCGAGACGTGAAACTTCAAAGGGCCTCTGGGGATTTGGTGTCCGAGTTTTCGGCAAAGCTGCCCTCGTTATTGTGGAGAGCCCAAACTGGGACTCCCATCCGCACCCCACGTAAATGGGCGCAGGTCACCAAAACAGAGAAGCTTGTCAAACTTGTAAGACCGCATAGTTCGCTTTGCTTATGTTTCCCTCTTATTTACCGATGATATATACAGCTTGAACCCTTCCAAGAGTGGCCCCAACTCTTAGATCCACATTTGCAGACGTTGCTACCTCCATTAGTGGACGCTTTTCTAGCATATCTGATCAAGCACCGCACCCAATATGGCTCTGTTTCGGCGAGGTCATCCCAGGCAGGAAATCAGTATCCCCTATCAAGAGCTATCTGCAGGTTACTTTACACTTTCTGCAAAGTCCGTGGCGTCAAGGTGATTAGCAGGTTCTTAAACAATGAGCCGAAATATCTTGATTCAATGTTTCGGGCCTTCATTGAATGGGATGCGGTCCGGCCAATCAATTCTGAAGAACTGGCTGAATCCGAATCTCAGCGACTCATCTGGGAAGAACGATATGTGATGCTGGTTTGGCTTTCACATCTTCTGCTTGCTCCTTTTGACTTGTCTTCTTTATCGGATGATAAAATCCCGGTCCCCTACGACAATCTCCAGCAATTCAGTTGGTTACCATCCAAGACTCCCATGGTTGCCAAGTCGATTCTTTCTTTGTCGTTGCACTATATTGGCGCGTCTGGCAAAGAACGCGAGGCAGCAACAGCGCTTTTGGCACGACTGGCTTTGCGTGGAGACATGCAAGCTCTCGGTATGCTTACAGGCCTGACGAAGTGGGCATTTGCTATTATTCAGCCAATGGAAAACGTTGAATCGCCCTCTGTCTATACTTGTATTGGAGTTCTCACATTCATTGCTCGCTTGAGCGCATCGGGCCAGGTAGAGGACTTTGCACCCTTGATCAATTATGTCTTCCAGCAGACTCTCGGTGTACTTCAAGGGAAGACTTCGGTACCTGTGACAATCCAGTCTTCGGCATTGGCCAGAAAGATTGTTGTCAAGATCCTTCGCAATATTACCGGCATGGCTTTATCTTTGAATGAGCGAGGTGATAGCCGCATCACGGATGATCAGTTGTCGACCATAATGGAAGAAGCAATCGATCATTTCTTGGTCTCCTTGGCAGACAAAGATACACCCGTGCGATTTGCTGCGAGTAAAGCACTCAGCATTATTACATTGAAATTAGACTCGGAAATGGCGACCGAAGTCATTGAAGCTGTTATTGACGCGCTGGGAGAGAATATTCTCTTTGAGAAAGACGATGGCTCCCTCGTCACGCCATTGGAAGCGCGGAAGATTGGCACACACACCCTCAAACGTAACCTAAGTGCAGTCGATGCCCAGCGATGGCAAGGATTAATCCTGACACTGTCGCATTTACTTTTCCGCCGGGCACCTCCTACCCACCAACTCCCTGAGATTCTTCAGTCACTGGTGGCTGGTTTGGGTTTCGAGCAAAGGTCCTCTACTGGTAGCTCCGTGGGAACGGGTGTACGAGATGCGGCGTGCTTCGGTATTTGGGCTATGTCTCGAAAGTATACAACACAAGAGCTCATGGCGCTGCAGCCCCAGGTCGTGGCGTCGCAATCTGGCCAGAAAGAGGTCGATGTTCTGCAAAAGCTGGCTGTGGAACTCATCTGTGCTGCCTGTATCGATCCATCTGGGAACATCCGACGCGGGTCGTCTGCTGCGCTACAAGAGTTGATTGGTCGTCATCCCAATACCATTGCGCAGGGTATTCCCCTCGTACAGGTTGTGGATTACCATGCTGTTGCACGACGTTCTCGTGCATTAATTGATGTTGCGAAAGCAACGGCCTCTCTGGATCAAATTTACTGGAGCCCACTCCTGGACGCTCTGATGGGTTGGAGGGGTATTGGTTCTCCAGATGCTGAGTCTAGAAGATATGCAGCTAAGTCTATTGGAACTTTGAGTACGCAGGAGCAATTCAAGACCATGAACTTGGTTCTGGCTAAATTACTGCGAATGTTCTACAGTATCTCTCGAAACGATGTGGAATCACGACATGGCTGTCTGTTGTCCATTGCTGCCACAGTCGATGCTTTTACTTCGCAATGGGAAGCGTCAGCAGAGAAGAGAGATACCCCAGAAGCTAAGACTGTTTCCTCCCAAGTTGCCCACATCTGGGATATCTTCGGTTCTGCATCAAGCCCTACCGATGATGACTTGACCTTTCAGACTTCACGGCCCGAGTTGACAGCAGAGGCATCATCTTGCTTGCTTTCTTCGCTCTCTCAATCTACCATCACAATGGGTCTGGCTCAACCTTCAGAACCACTTCTGAACCGAACACTCCAAATTCTGTCCCTCTGTGTTTCTCGAAGTGATGACATCTCGATTGAAACGTCTTCAACTGCCTTGGCGCAGCTGTTTCCTCTCCTATCGCCATCAAAACAGGAAGAGACTGTTCGTACTTGGTTCTCCCATCTCCGTACTTCATGGAGATCGCCGGCAGGTCGCGGTCAAATTCTAGCACTCGGCGCAGTGTTCAAGCAACTCGGAGCGCAGAGTGATGTCCAAGAAGATATTGCCACCGAGATTCTTCGCTACACTAAAAAGGAAGAGCTCATTGAAAAACGAGTTGCTGCTGTGAAGTGCTTGGCCACCAGTATCTTACCATATATGGGTATGTTAGATATCCCTCGTTTCCTGCTAGTACGAAAATGGCTAACAGAACCTTAGCTTCCATTGATGCAATTGCGAACAACTTTGTTGAATTTTTGAATGATTATACCACAGACAGACGAGGTGATGTCGGATCTTTAATTCGAGTTGAGGCAATTCAAGCAGTCGGTATCTTGCTTCAAAAAACATCGGACTCAACGCCACGCTCACCACTTATTCAAAACCTGGTCGGGTGTGTTTGCCGCCTTGCATGTGAAAAGCTCGATAAAGTCAGGCTTCAAGCATGGCTTTCTCTACAAGGATTTTGGGAATCAGCAGGGGATCTACCTCCACTTAAAAGGTATTTACCAACGGAGCGAACTTTTGTAACGCATGCTAACAGAAACAGAACATTCGAACACTTCAGTCATGTTTCGTCACAAGAATATTTCGCTCAACTACTTACTCTCCAGGATATTGACTGGCTTCGTCTTCCTTTGTTACAAGGACTTGCTACCTCTGCTATCTCGGGAGCAGAAGGTCTCATCCGAGCATCTCGCTCGGCTCTGACCCAGTTCCTCAATACCCAACCGCAACCCCGAAGCCAGGAGATACTGATGGCATTTTTGCAGGATCTTTCTACGATCCTGAATGATAATCTTCAAGATGACCGTTTTGCCATTCCTGTTGTCGAGTTTGTTGCATTTTTAATTGATAGCTACGTTCCTGTTATACCCGAAGACTCAGATGCAAGGTTTGTGAACTCGTCTTCGTTGCTTACATATCTATATCATCTATTGACATATTCTTTATCTCTAGTTTCCGAAATCTGTTCACGTTAGTCCAGAAAGCACATTTCAAATCCGCAAATATAGCTCGATTGGAAGCTGCAGTCAAAGTCTATGCTGCATTATCAAGGGTTGACTCGTTACGAAATGGTGTTTTGAAGAAGATGACCGGACTGCTGTTGCATCCTTTCCCAAGGGTATGTTCGATTTCAATTCAACAGATTTACGGTACTGACAGTTCTTTTTTTTTAGGTACGGTCAAGCACTGCAGAATACCTGTTTGTTGTGACAGAGTCTGAGATTATCAAGTACGAAGACTGGTCTGCTCCGCCTAAACAACTGAAGCCTCAGGTGGATAATTTGAAGGCCACCTTTTCTCTGGAAGGCTAGATGTCAGCTCCACAGAAATCCCATAGAATTTAAATATCTACCAAATTAAATATTCACCGAATTGATAACAATGGCTGAAGCTATAAGATACAAAGCATGGATAGACATGGGGTATGACAGTCTTGGGCTTTGGTTCTCATGATGGGGCTCAGTACCATTAGTACCGCCAGTACCTGATCCACCTGTACCCGGTGTGCTAGACTTGTCCGAGTGATCCTCCTTGAAGAAGTCGAAAATGTATGCAGTCGCATTGAATGCCGACTTGCCCAGTGGGCACTGTGCAGAGTTTCGGATATAATCATCATTGCCAACAGTACTTGGCCAGCAATGACCATTTTCGGCCTCGCGATAATGCTGAACAATACCTTTCTTCTCTTCGCAGTCCCAAGAAGCATGCTTCACAAGGGGATCTTCAAAGACAGTCTCATTGCTCGTCGGCTTCGCATTGTCTCCACATCCATTTCGACCCGCCCAGGCCTGCAGGATATCAATGACAGGCAGCTTAGGAACACGAACATTCTTCATGTCACCATCGATAGGCGCCGTCGTATCCGTCGTACCATGAATCTCCAAGAAGGGATATCCCGCGTCCCGCTTGGCGGGGGCACACGGCCCCACACCCACTATATCGTCTGTATCATACCAGGCGCCGCTGACAGCCGCAAAAGCCGCAAACCGGCTTCCAACCGTGGCGTTACAGGCAATGACGCCTGTGAAACCACCGCCATTCGACTTGCCAGCCGAGTATACTCTGCTTGTATCGATGCAGAGGGATTCTTCCAAGTGCGTGAGCAAATCGTCGGTGAAGTCTAGATCGTTGGGACGCGACGTGTCTGCATACGGGTTGGAGAGCCAATACCCATTCTTGCTGTCTGGATAAATGGCGATTCCATCCGGGTTAAATTCTGGGTTTGAGAACTGGGATAGGTTTTCTTCTTCTAGCATATCGCGCGACGCCCCGTGGAACGAGAAGTATACCGCTGTTGGTTTGTTCTTATCATAGTTGGCCGGGATGTATAGTCTGTATTGCCGATCTGAGTCCGGGAGGGTGAGGTTCTGACTTGATCCTGCTGTTGGGAACTTGGCAGGTATATCTTTGCCGCAGCCTGGGGTTTTGGCTGCGCTGATACCCGCGAGGGCTGCGAGGGATAGGAGTGCGAAACGCATCTTTAGAATGGGTGCCCAGGTGGGCAGCTAGCTTCTTGGGAAATACATAGTTATATCGAGGGAATAAGTGCAACACCCCCTTGAACCTAACTGTCAAGGGGTGCCTAGGGTCTCAAGTAAGGCGTTGGTAATACCGCCAAGAGTTTCTTATCTTACGGAATTACCCGTGGGCCTTTCAACCTTAACATCCTGCACCACTCAGCCACTCTGCATAGGGATGATCTACGCAACTAAAAATATCATTTCAAAGAAAAAGTTCAGATATTCTGTAGAATGATAATCGTTATGCTATATGAAGTAGGAAAAAAAGTGTTGAATTAGCCATTCACGTGAAAAGGAAATTGGAGCAAAAAAATAATCAAAAATAGATGTGCATCATCCGTGAATCGAACACGGGCCTCGTCGATGGCAACGACGAATTCTACCACTAGACCAATGATGCTGGTTCATATATTACAGCTCAAAATTGTGTGTTAGAAATCTACTTTATTGCTGGCTTGGTCTCCTCCGCTCCATGTCACCCAGAAGCTCGACCTCGCCGCTTTCTAGAGCTCCAACAGTCGTAAACATGGCAGCCGTCTCTACAGCTGGCATTCCTCCAAATGCGACGTGAGTACTAAATATGTTTGCATATATGATCCCCTTGCTAACCAGTCTTTACAGAGTATATGTGCGCCTGTCCCTCCCCCTCTATCATATCACCATGCCGCTCCCGCATTACCATACTGACAGATTCCTCCGTACTGATTAGGTCAAGAATTTAGACGAGCGAATCAAAATCGACCAGTTGAAGCATGCTCTGGAGGAGATTTTCTCAGAATATGGCACCATTCTAGAGGTCGTCGCAAAGACTAATCTCAAAGCTAAGGGCCAGGCCTTCATCGTCTTTGACAACGTCGATTCCGCTACCCGCGCTATTGAGGATATCAATGGCTTCGACCTCTTCGAAAAACCCATGGTACTGGACTATGCGAAGACACCCAGTGATGCAACAGTCCAGCGGGAAGGTGGCAGCGACGAGCTGGAGGCTCACAAGCGGAGACGCTTAGCTGAGAAGGGTACGTTGAACAGACACTGGCGCACTAGATATAAAGACCCAATTCATGCTAATCATGAGTTCTTTACAGAGCGCAAACAAGCCCACGAGGCCCTTGAAGCACAGAAAAAACTCAAGCGTCCTGCCGCCGCCGTCGAAGCCGCACGCCCAGCCAAGACCACCAAGGGTGCCGGTCTCAAGCCGACCGCCGCTGCTACGACCGCTGTCGTTCCGGACGAGTACCTACCACCCAACAAGATTCTATTCTTGCGGGACCTGCCCGACGATGCAACCCAGGAAGGTCTGTCTGCTATCTTTGGTCGGTTCGAAGGATTCCAGGAAGTCAGATTGGTGCCCGGTCGCAAGGGAATTGCATTCGTCGAATATGAGGCCGAGGCTGGAGCAATCAGCGCGAAGGAGGCTACGTCTGGCATGCCCATGGGCGACCAGGGTAAGGCGATTCGCGTTACCTACCAGCGGCAGTAGTCGTGGGTGGTTTGTTGCATCCTACAAAATATCCCGGTCTCGTTATTTCTGGCGTTTTGGATGGTCTTGTCTCAAGTACATGTGTATTAGAAATACGGAGAGCTTTATCACTGTTCTGTTGCTTTCGCAATTCGTCAAGATTGCGTATCACATGAAGTTGAATATTTCCCAAAGTAGATGGAACGAGCCACAGGGCTAAAACGAGTATGAGCATACAAAGTGGTACATGTCATGGTCAAAAAAAGATGCCAACGAGGAAAGAGTATCAATACGTAACAAAATAACAGTCTAGAAAATGACATCGTTGTCTTCCTGCTCGCCCAAAACATCTGCTGATTCTTCCTCTTGAACGAAGATGGCAGTGGCAGAAGGTACCTTGGGGTTTGCTGCTTGCGCTTCTGCTGCCTTTTGCCGTGCCGCGAGGATCTCAGCATCTGCGGCAGCAACGTCTCGCTGTTTCTTGCCTGAAACCTTCTTCAGGCGGTAGAATTCCTCTCGGTCAAGCTCATCGAGTTCGGAGTTGATGTCTTCAGAATGGTCAGCCGGCACAAGGAACACTTGGACTAGACGGTACAAACATTTGATAGTGTTTTCGGTTCGGGGAATGATAACATGCTCACTATGGAAGATATGTTAGTACACCGAACAAGGACCGAATTCACGAGTTCTGATCTTACATTGCGTTTACTATATCACGCATATTAGTTACCAGCCATAAAGCGTCACAATCCATGAGTGAATGACTTACCTCTTCGGTTAACAACCTTGATCACCTCATCCAAAATCAGGAAGGCAGTCTAGCACAATTGGTGAGCGATGTTCCAGTCCTCTGCGTATATACCATGCATACCTGTAAGCTTGCCAGTTCCACCAATGTCTCCACGGCCCGTGCGTATGTCTCCCGGCAGCGTTGAATCTGCTGTCCTCCCTTTCCTAGACCCGTCAGACCGAAATCATTGACGCCATCCTGCGTGTAGCATTCAAATGTAGGTAGAAGAACACCAGAAACGTTCTCTTGCTTGGCTCGCACGCGGAAACGAGCCTGCTTGGCGGACTCCTGGATCTGGTAGCCGATATCTCCGCCTACCGCATAGCTCACTTCGGCCAGTGAGAAGGCAGCAATCTGCATGACCCGACCCATCTTTTGTTTGGCTTCATCGATGCGGCGTGTGATGTCTGCCATAGTATGATTAGCACCTCGATAAGGTGGGGAACGGGAATGTATCGCATCATACCTCGGAAACGTCTGTTGCACAGGATAGAGGGTCAGCATACACTCTAGGAAGCAGGAAAGGCACATGAATCTTACTTTGTGAGTGCTTCACTCTTTCTCTTTAGTAGACTATGGCCAATTTCCGCCCCCTTCAGCTTGTTCTTCATCAATCCCAATGATTGGCGAGTTGGAAATACTGCCTCTCGGCCCTGAACAGAGGTCAGATAAAGTCAATACAGGGGTTCAGTTCCTGGACAAACTCACCACAGCGCCCGACATGATTGCAGCAGAACAAAAGTCACAATATAGTTCTTGTTGTTCAACTTGAGCTACGCGGCCACATTGGTATGACGCCGATAAAGCTCCACCGCCCACCTGATACAGATTAATCACGTGATAGTGGGAACCTCATCCGTCAACAGATTTGGCTTCCAACGTGCATGCCAGCAGCTTCTTTTTTATGCGAATTTCCTTTATGCTGACACGTTGATCGTGTAATTGGATTTCGCTCGACTGAGTGGCGCAATGCCAGGGACGCTTTTGCCCCCGAGATCCCACCGGCAGCACGCAGAGATGGATCGATCATCTGCGTCCCGGCCGGACCTCTACTTGATTGTAAGTTTTGACGCATTGGACCATTTGACCTTGAGGCTTACTTGGATTTTGTCTCCAGACCGATCAAGACATTATCTACGAACAAGATTTGCTTCGCGACGCTAGTAGTGTCAAGCCATGGCTTGCCTATATCGAATTCAAACAGCAAAATGGCACGCTCTATGAGCAAGCATTTGTATGTCATCATCTACCACAACCGAGTCGCTCAGGATCGTCACTAATCTAACGGCTTTCGCCAGGTCATGGAGCGCGCTTGCAAGCAGTTACCGCGTTCCTACAAGCTCTGGAAGATGGTAAGTGACTTTACTTTACAACTTCAAGTCTCTGCTTTTACTGACCATCCTAGTATCTGGAGTTTCGAACAAAGCATTTGAAGGGCCGCAATCCCACGGTCTATCGCGCCGAATACCAGAAAGTGAACGCGCTCTTCGAGCGAGCCCTGATCCTGCTGAACAAGATGCCGCGCATCTGGGAAATGTACCTCTCCTTCCTGCTCCAGCAGCCCATGGTGACCCAGACTCGACGAACCTTCGACCGTGCCCTTCGCGCTCTGCCAGTCACACAGCATAACCGAATCTGGAGACTGTACAAAGGCTTCGCTCGGTCTGCTTCTGGACAGACTGCCATCAAAATCTTTGCTCGGTATATGCAAATTCACCCTGAGAACATCGAGGACTACATCGAGCTTCTCATTGAAATGGGCGAATATACGGAAGCCGTGAAAAAATACATGGATATTCTTGACGACCCACGATTCAAGTCCAAAAATGGCAAGGGTCCATTCCAGTTATGGTCCGAGATGGTTGACCTCCTAGTCTCCAAAGCCAAGAAGATTGAAACTGGCCCTCAGGTCGGAATTGATGTTGATGCCATTCTCCGGAGTGGTATCGAGCGCTTCGCAGACCAGAGGGGCAAACTGTGGGCCGGGTTGGCCACGTACTGGATCATGAAGGGCAACTTCGAGAAGGCACGGGATGTCTTTGAGGAAGGAATCACTACTGTCATGACAGTTCGTGACTTCACCCTCATCTTCGACTCCTATGTTGAGTTCGAGGAGTCTATCATTGGGAGCTTGATGGAAGACGCAGCCGCGCGCTCTGACAAGGGTAAAGCCGACGAAGATGCCGACTTTGATCTTGACCTCCGCATGCTTCGTTTCGAGCAGCTGATGGACCGTAGACCATTCTTGGTTAATGATGTACTCTTACGGCAGAACCCTCACAACGTCATCGAATGGGAGAAGCGAGTGGCACTCTGGGGCGATAACAAGGAAGAAGCCGTCCGCACCTACACAGATGCCATTGCTGCAATCAGCCCCAAGAAAGCGCTTGGAAAATTCTCTGAACTTTGGGTCAATTATGCCAGGCTTTATGAGAACGGCGGGGACTTGGATACTGCAAGGGTCATTTTCGACAAGGCTGTCAAAGTTCCATTCAAGTCCGTGGCAGAACTGGCAGAGACCTGGTGTGAATGGGCCGAAATGGAGCTTCGCGCCGAGAATTTCGACAAAGCAGTCAGTATTATGGCGAAGGCGACGCAGGCACCTAAGAAATCGACGGTCGACTACTTCGATGAGACCCTGTCCCCACAGCAAAGAATCCACAAGAGCTGGAAGCTATGGAGTTTCTATGTCGATCTCGTTGAGAGTGTTTCGTCTCTGGACGAGACCAAAAAGGTCTACGAGCGGATCTTCGAGCTTCGTATCGCCACACCCCAGACTGTCGTCAATTATGCCAATCTCTTAGAAGAGAACAAATACTTCGAAGAGTCTTTCAAGGTATACGAGCGAGGCTTGGATCTATTCATGTATCCAGTTGCATTCGAACTCTGGAACTTGTACTTGACCAAGGCCGTGGACCGCCAGATTGGTATTGAGCGACTCCGAGACCTGTTCGAGCAGGCCTTGGAGGATTGCCCCCCCAAGTTTGCCAAGTCTCTTTACCTGATGTACGGCAACTTAGAAGAGGAGCGCGGTCTCGCACGCCACGCGATGCGGATCTACGAGCGTGCAACTCGGGCAGTGTCTGACGAGGACCGCTTCGAGATGTTCGAGTTCTATATCACAAAATCCGCCTCCAACTTCGGTCTTACATCTACCAGACCAATCTACGAGCGCGCCATTGCCGCGTTGCCTGACCAAGAGGCCAAAGAAATGTGTCTCAAATTCGCCGAGATGGAGCGACGACTTGGCGAGATCGATCGTGCTCGCGCGATCTTTGGCCACGCATCTCAATTCTGCGATCCCCGGACGAACGCCCCCTTCTGGCAGAAGTGGGAGCTATTCGAAGTTAACCATGGAAACGACGATACTTTCGGCGAGATGATTCGTATCAAGCGAAGTGTTCAAGCTCAATACAAGTATGTGATTCCCACCCTAAAACTGATGACACATTTTCTAACGTTATCTACAGTACCGACGTCAACTTCATTGCTTCGCAAGCCATCGCCAGGAGCCAACAGCAACTCCAGACAGGCGAACAAGGTGAAGGTGACGACGACCAACGACGTGCAGATGCCATGGCGGAATTGGAGCGTCAAGCTCGTGCCCCAGTTGGCTTCGTGGCTGCCAGCAGCGGTCCGGAGGGAGGTAACCGTCCTCCGCCTGTCACCAAAGAACCAGCTGCTGTCGAGGCCAATCCCGACGCGATTGATCTTGACATGGACGATGAATAGAAGGAGAAGTTGATATGGGCTATTTTGTTCAAGAGAAAGGGAACTTTCTATGAATTGTTTTTTTTTTTTTGCTGACTCGTCTTCCGATCTCTTTGCTCTTTCTGTGTCTCCATTGAACTGTATGTTGTATACTTGCTATCTTTTCGCATTCTAGTATGAGTGTTTGCGATTGATCGCCACCTCAGTCCCCCCTTTTTTTTTTTGGCTCCTACCACTGGGTGGCACATTGCATCTCAAATCATGACTAGGTTTTCCGTTTGTCACCAAGAGAGGCCTTGGATTCTCTGATTTTCTGTTCGATTTTATTATCTTTTTCGTGGGATACCTGATTCAACGTGGCGTTCTAGTGTTGTATCTGTATGTGTATAGATTGCCCAAAGGAATATACCTCTGTCGCAACTTGTCTACCTCGATGTGTTGTAAATACGAATGTTCGTTCTATTGGTGAATTCCAAACCTCACGTTGATAAGAAGCCAGCTTTGACATTCGCATATCATAGGTACAACGTAAATAGAAACATGGGTAGTCTTGTCGCACGCAGCGCCGATCATCAAATCAAGCTATATCTACATGTGAAACATAGACCCCGGCGCTATTCTAAGGTAAACCCGAAAAGGTTAAGGGCGTCAAGAAATTAAGAAAGATACATCATACATCCACGGAAATGAAATGGGTCGACACTCTTCTAGGCAGTAGTTTCCTCTGCCTTTGGAGGTTGGCTCTCGGCATTAGCAGCTCCCTTTGTCTCTTCGCTGTCCTGCCGGGGCGCAGTATCTTCGTTCTTCTGCTCTGCCTCGGTGGTCTTCTCTTTCTCGGCGGATTCTTCTGTGGATGAGACGGTGTCGGTCGAAGGAGACTTTTCGGGCTCGTTGGGAACATCGGGGAAGATCTCCGAGAAGAGATCGGGCAAGAAGCGACCAAGGCGTTTGCGGGTCTCCACCCAGATTTCCTCCTTGCTTGGATCTTGGGATGGGGACACGAGGTAGCCTCCATCAGCCATGACTAAGAGGATATTCTTCAAGCTCTCGGGGACTGCTTCCGCCAGACTATCGCCCTGACCACTGTTCATCATGCGGTCGAGGATATCTAGGATCCTGAGCCAGAGAGGGAGCATACCCGTCCGGTTGGGAAGCTGGTCAAGGAAGCGCAGGAAGATCTTACAGACAAGGGTTGCGGCTTGGAACCTGGTCTCACTCATACCAACAGGGTCAGAGTGGTAGACCTCTGGCTTCAGGAGGAGAAGCACGAGCGGGAATAGGACTTCATCGAAAATGCTAGTCCACTCTTTGTCATCGCTTGAGATCAGTTCGGCAGATAGAAGAGATCGCTGCAGTGTGGAAATAGCATGGTGTCGGATATCGCGGCATGGGTTGATGCATTGAGCAGTCAAGGACTGGAAGATAGGCGACCAGTAAGCGGCCCAGGCTAGAAAATCACATATTAGAAACTCGCTGGAATTCACACATCAGAGGGTCGGTCGTTACCTTCGTTCTCCTCGAGGTGAGATTGTTTGATAAGAGCAGGGACGCGTCCAGTCAGATGATAGATCAGACCGATTGCCTTAATGCCGCGAGTCACAACTTGGTTCTCACTATGGGAGGAGAGGTAAGTATCAACAGTAGAGAGAATTGCATAAATGGTAGCCTCACCTTGATTTAGATTGTTTGGCCCCCTTATTACGGCGGGCTTGGACATCCCTGTGTCTTTCTTCAATAGATCCCACACGCCCAGCGCTGACAAAGTCGTTGGCCAAGCTGACTACAAACTCATAATTGTCGGCTGTGATGATATCGGGCATTGACTCAACAATGCTCTGGAGAAGATCAAAGACAAGAGAAGAAACTGCCTCGTGTTGGTGAAGTCTTTGCAAAATTGACCAGAAATCAGGAGAAATTGTGATCTCGTTTCTTAGGCGGCCTGTATGAGCAATGCACCTGGCAAGCCCCTTGATCGTGGCCACGGCCACGTTTTCCAAAACATCCTGGTCGAATCCAGAGATAGCGTGGAGCACAACAGGGACCCGCATGAAGTCCTGGTTCTTGGGCAGCATTAGTACAGAATCACGCATATCAGAACCGCAGGGTAAAGGACATACATGGCTCAGTCGCAAGAGACTTAGGAGATAAGAGACCACGCGAGACACGGTTAGTGGGTGGAGGTTCTTCGCATCGCGCACCAGTGTTTGAAGAGTTGTTGCCAAGTTTTCACCAAGAGCTGCCAGGCTATTTTCGTCGCGAAGAGTAAGTACCGTTGCCAACTCCAGCACGAATATCATCGAAGGGTCATATTTGGGCTGGTTAGGGTCGACTCTATTGTTTGGGGCCCTCGACGTTGGTGTCGGCCGCTCAGATTTTACGACAATGACTGCGGGTGCATTCTCCTCGGGAAGCAGGGACAGCAAAGCCTCCACGAGCACCTCTAATGAAGATAACGGCAGAGATCTGTGAGAGAGGTCAGCATAACGGCCATAAGCCATTCAATAAAACCATTTCACTGACTTGATGTTTGTTAAGATTTCGGAAATTGAACACGCAGTCACACAATCCACTGTGCAAAGTGTATTGTCAAGTTCTTCGTCCGAAGGCTCAGGAGGATCGTCTGCGGCATAACTTGATAGGTAGGATGTGAATGCTGACAAAATTCCAGTGTCATTGTTGCGTCCATCTCGGTCAACCACCTGTGATGGAGGCTGTAGCGGAATTGGTGAAATTTCAAGTTCAGAGGTGAGTTCAGCGTCAAATGGCGGAATGAGAGAGTTGATGAACAAGTTGCTCAAGATGCGGACGATATACTCCCAGCCTTGATTGACAGTTGCCTCGTTCGTTGAGAGGACTCGGAAAAGCACCACCGTGGCCAGTTGTGCTCTGAAATCCCGGCCAAACTTGACGGCTAGCTCGCTTACCATCACACTCTTTTGGCCTACCTGAACCTCTGTGTTAAGAGCTGTGCTTGGAGGTTTGCTAGTAGCTAATGTGCTAATCGATGCAAGGGAGAAGACGATACGGTCGAATGCCTCAGTCAAGCCATAGCGAGCAGCGATCTGCGCACACTGGTCGAAACCATTGACCACGCGAGAATACACTGCATCATCCGATGCAGACATGAAGACATATGAGAGGGTCGCAATCACTGGTTTCCAAGTAGCCGCGAACATTTCGGCATCATACATGTTGGTCTCTCCAACTATGACGTCGCCGGCAGATGAGGACTTCACCAATAGTTCCTTCCAAGCATAGTCAAACGCATGTTTGTTTTCATGTTCATCAGGCAGGATGATTTCGTTGTTCTTAATAGAATCGTAGATATCTTGCAGGAACTCCTCCGTGAAGTCTCCACCGCCGTTAACACCTCGCAAGTTCCTTGCGAACCCAGCGCAAGTCATACGGTTTTGTGGCTTCACATTGCGGTTGTAGAGGTCGGTGTTCAGCATGATTATGGCGTAGGTCAAGATGTACAGTGCGTCTTTGTCTGCGATAGCATCCGGCTTCACCTTTTCCATGTAATGCTCTGAGAAAATCGTCACAATTCGCTCAATAAGGGGCGATTCGCCCGGCAAACGGAACGAGCTGAGTAGTTCCCGAAGGGCTTCAACCGCACTGCGCCCCGAGAAGTCTAGGAGATCCACAAATGCACCCAACAATTCCTCATTACCACGTTTGGAGAGATACTCCCCAAGGATTTTCTTCGATAGACGTGTGGTTCCCTTCAAGAAGCGAGCAACAAGAACAGGATTATTCGGGTCCTCAATAACACCATGCTCTACAAGGAAGGCAATTCCTTTCTTGGGGTCCTCATTGAAGATCTGGGTTCCCCTGATGATGAGTCTCTTTGTGTTTCGTTGTTTTTTCAATGTTTCCCGAGGAGGATAGTCTCCTTGGATCTGTTCATCATCAAGCCGGTCATGAATGAACTGCACATAGCCCAGAAGAGCATCGAGGCATAATGGGGGTACATTTGTAGTGCTCCAAGTTGCAGAGTCTGGGAAAGCATTGCGAGAGAGCAATCCAATCATATCCTCGCACAGATCTGCTCGGTCCACGTCACAATCGTAGTTGACAAAAAGCTCAACCATAAAGCTCGGTATGCGTGTCAACATGCCAATGCTTTCAACCATTGCCTCTCGGGCTTCGGGCCTTCTCGCCCCACCTTCAAGTCCCAATTTCTGTCGATCCTGAACAGGAACAGGTGTATGTCTGCCGCCATTGGCCTGCGTAGGCGGGGGTTTCACCAACTTCGGTGATTGGGGAATGCCTTCATAGAGCGATGGGTCGATGCCGGGTTCTCGCGGTATTTCCACGCGAGGGTGCAAGCAAGCAACTAAATATGAAAGGTAGAGTTCCTGTTGTAATTTCAAAACCGGCCTACAAGTTGATAACAAGGTGCCGGCCACTCTCAGTGAGCCAGTGAGAATGGCGATGTGTTCTGACCTAACTAGCTGGAAGAGGTATCGACAAAGATCGTCCTTGGCCAGGGCAGCCAGACTAGGATGCCGAGCAATGGAGGGACCTGCTACCTCCAAAGCAACATCGATAATGCGGAGTGCCATCACGCGCATAGCGTCGGTATGTTGCCGGTTATGAGGGTCCAGCAAGTCGATCAAGACACGGAATAATTCCCTGATGGATGGTAAGGAGTAAGGCTGAAGCTCGGTTTCGGCGTCATCCTGCGGACTCGGTGGTGCTGCTGCTGCGATGCTATTTCCGGCCTGTTCGGGTGATCCCTCTCGACTGGTACTGTTCCGTTCTGCGGCCGCTGTGTCGGCGCTAATGGCTGACAGGTGCTGCGATGTGACGGTGTCTCCATTGACTGACGGGTCCATCTTCAGGTGAGATGGTGGGTCCTTTTTTGTATCTTCTCCCGCAAATGGATCCGGTCCTGCGGGAATTTCTTGATCAAGATGCGACAAACGCATGAAGATCACCTGGCACATTTTGACCATTGCCATTTCGGCAGATCTCCGCAGTACCTCTGACAGACGACCCTGGCAGCACATGCTCAGCCCAGTTTCCATCATCTCGCAAACGCTCTCGTCGCCCAAAAGTTCACCTTCAGGTCGTGACAGTATGCCCTCCATCAACTTCAGAATCCTCAAGAGGACTATCTCGTCCGCCGACGAGTCACTAGCTTCGAACCGGCAATGTGTAATGGCGGCTGAAAGTAACTGCATTGCTATGGGGAGCCGCGGAGAATTCGGGTTGATGATATTGTACGAGAGGAACTTGGTGATGGAGACCAAGGCGATGGAGGTAATTGCGGCGGAGGTCGAAGAGGAGCGAACGACCTGTAGGAATGGGTGAAGTAAAGCTGGGGTATCAAAAGTTCGGATGTCTTTGCAATCTTTCAGATCACTCCGCAGTCGTGTAAAGGCCGAGATCAATGGGTTGTCCTGCATGCTCTTCCCCTTCTTCCCTCGCAGACCCCACCGATTGGCCAGGGCATGATCTTCATCGGGGCGAGGTGTTGATTGACCCGTTTTGCGTGAATTTGGGCTTGATGGAACTGAGTTATCCCGCTCATAAACACGAGAGGCTCCATTACCACCCAAGATGGCGGAGACCGAGGAATGAGCCCAACGAGCATGCTTGCGCATAGACGAGGTGACGGTGATACATTCAGTGGTCACCAAAGCCACAGGATCGATGGCAATTGAAAGTGTAGATAATTCCATAGTGGGATCGAGCATCACAAAAGATGCTCGCTGTTGTGACACCATTTTGAAGGGAACAAAACAGCTGGTCTCTTGATCATCATACTGCTGGTTGCTTTATCGAGCTTAGCGTCTTCCCCGCCCACTCACCGCCTACGACAGGGGCTGTACTACCTATTACCAGCAAGACTGTATTAAATGGATTGGATTGGATCAAGGCCTGTATCGAAGGGGGTATGATTGTATGATCTGGTATTCCGCTGCCATGGATTCAGAATTGTTTGATTTCACCTTTGTTGACATCGTTCTATCAACATCACTTGCCAAGAACATTTACATAGTATCTACATAGAATCATCACACTATAAGAAGTGTATACGGGAGGGGGCAAATGCAATAAACTAATATACATGCATGAATTCGTGAACATATTAATCCGACGATCATCGATATAGTGGCTGATATATTTTCCGAGTAAACAAAGATAGGATTTCCGAGTTGACCACATTATCCATCAGACGAGGGTTTGTTTTTATTATTATTTGAAGATGTACACACAATGGCATTGTGCCTCAGACAGATCTAGTTTTACTGTCTATCCCTACGACAAAACAGTTTCAAATTGGTCTAGCATTAAGCAATATACAGTTGAAACTATACAGAGCAAACAAGGTGCAACCCCATATATTCAGCGAATCATGCAGATGTGACCTGTCACGCTAGTCCTTGCAGCAGTTGGGGATTGCAACGATAGCAACGGTGTTGATAGCGTTGGCCGGACAAAACATAGTAGAGTAAACATTAAAAACGAGCGAGCAGAACAAGAGAATGTAGCAAGAGTATATATCTTGTCATTCTTTTACTCTATTCTTAGTAGGCGCTAATACCCGCTCTATCGGGCTATCGCGATATCAACCCACCGCTTCTCTGTCCCCGCCTCAAAACAAACGCCCACCCTCAATCTTACACTTCTCTTTCATTTACCCTTTGGGCTTTTTTTTCTTTTCCTTTTTTCCCCCACGTGTCGACTCTTTGAATCTATGAATTGACTGGATATCGTCTTCTATGGAGGGGAGCGCGAATGTCGCGAGTGCTTGAACAGGATAACACATCCTCTATGCGATCTTCAACTGTCTTTCACTCAAGAAAAATTCCTCTCATTTAATACCAAATAATTTGCGCCCTTCTGTCTCTGTCACTCGCTATCTTACCACGTCACTCCTTCGCTATCTCTACGCCAAACTCTGGTGCATTTCATTTGTCTATCGCGCACGATAGCGCTTGCTCAACAGCTTCTCGCACTCCGGACCTGCAAGTGCTACCATTCATTATGGCGGCCATCGCACCTCCCCCCGCAATCCCTACACTGGCAGATCTGCCTCTCGAACAACTCAGTCTCTATCATGTCGTCGACTCCTGTTTATCGTCCATTTTTGTCTTCTATGGTGCGGTCTCTACTGCCAATGCCACCGTGAGCAGTTCCCGCATCCAGGCTCATATATTCACACCTGCCGGGTTTCAAAGTTATCCTCGAATCACGGTGTCCCCAGCTGCGCCGGTGTATGCTGCAGTCAATCACCTTCCCCGCGAAAAACAAGGCGATGAGGTGTGCCGCGGACTTGCAGTCAGCATGCTGAGGTATTTTGCGGAGCTATCTGAACCGGTCAAAAATCGTCTGAATGGGGTGGCTCGAGCTGGGAAACCGGGAGGAAAGGCCCCCAAGATGTTCGATGAGATGCATGCGGCGGATCTCGCCAATCGTATGACAAAGGTGGATGATTCATTAGAGATTATCCAGGATATTCGGAGCGCATATCAGGAACGCAAGGTGCCATGGATTGATGTTGACGTGGTGCTTCCTGCGGGTACTATACAGCCATTTCACCGCCGAGAAAGTGCGGGATCAGACCTCGAGGGGAGTCAGAATCCCCAATACGGTCCATACACACCCTTGATAGAGGCATTGGGGGATCCTATGTTTTTACCAACATCTCGACTGAAGCGTGCGCCGTCTCAGCCGACCAATGTCAGCAAATCGCGCCTGTTTGCAAGAAGCCAGAAAGAAGCCCTTCGTCTTACCATGTGTGAGCTTGTGGATACCGAAGAGAGATATGTCGCCAAGCTGTATTCTCTTGTCCATGAGGTGGCCGATGAATTTCGACAAAAGGCTGTGAGCAGAGGGCCGTCCAGTACCAGCCCCGACGAGGCAGCGTTGGCGGCATTGTTCCCACCATGTTTGAATGAAATTCTCGAAGTCAACCTGGGCTTTCTCAATGTCATTCGACAAGTGCTTGATGAAACAGAGAAAGATGCCATCACAGATATCGGTCAGGATACGGAGCTCCCTTCTAATCATCGGGGTCTACCCAGAGATAAAGCGGATCCTCTTGGAGCACTTGCATTTGCAAAGGCCCTCTTTGAATGGTTGCCACAATTTTCACAGCCCTACGGAGACTATATGCGAGCCCATACAGGTTTTACACAAACTTTGAATTTGTTCATGAGAGATAAGAACTCGAGCTTTTCGAAGAGAGTATACGAGACGGGAGAGCAACGACTGCGCTCTTTATTGATGGAACCCGTTCAGCGGCTCCCTCGATACAGTTTGCTGATTGACACCATGACTAGCAATCTCCCTCTGGTCCATCCTGCCGTGCGAACTCTGCTGAAAGCAAGAGACATTGTGAAGGATATTTGTGCGCTCGATAATAATTCTCCGTCAAGCCACGCCCAAAGCCTTCAACGCCTGAAAGAGCTGGTCAACGGATGGCCAGCAAACACATTCCCTGAAGGTCGGCTGATCACTGCAGTCGACTTCAGTGAGATCACCCCTCCCTACCATCTAGGTACACAGTCACCTGGCAATAGCACAGGGATCATGCTTCTTTATAAGAATTGCCTGGTCCTCCTAGCGAAGCCCGCCGAAAGCCGAGCCACGGCCCGTGGTGTACTGGCTGATATCGACAACGCGGCCTCTTCAACCACCGACATGTCCACGTCTTTACCGCGATCGGAACTCCAAGTTGTGCAGGTGCTGGACTTCCATAATGTTCGTTGTATGCAATCCACATGTGGTCGGATTTTGTTTGCGTTGCCAATCTCAGCCAAGTCGTTCCCGCCAGACGAGACAATGGATGGAGCGGAACTTCTTGCATTGGAATTGGCTGGAACGTATGAAGGAAGAGCCAATCGACTGATTGAAGAAATATCCAAAGCGAAGATTGAGGGTCGATTCTCCGAGAGTGAAAGAGAAGGAGGCAAATGGACATTACGAAGCCCTCCCACCGGAGCTGCGAGTAATGTGGGAATACTGGCGTGTGTGTGTGAGGACGGCGAAAGCGCCGCGCTTAACCAGATCCAGTCATCTCCCATACGAGTTGTGTTTGATACGCCCAGGGCGACTTGTGGTCAAATGTTGCGAGATTCTAATCTTGAAATCATCGTGTCAATATCTCCTCCGAGTGGAGATCAATACAGACTAGACATTGATTCTGTGGTTGGATCCGGGTCTACGGATCTGATCACGGTGGACACATTCATTCCCACTCTTTCACGCCGTCGTAAGTGACTCTGCCTTGACAATTATGTTTTCTTACCACTGACATGTAGTAATAAAGTCCAATATTTGCTCGCGCCTCTGCATAGCCCCCGAAACCCAGCATTGACGGAACCACTGGTTCATTCCAATTTTGAAATCCTTCGGTACATCGCCAGCAGCTTAATCACGCAAGTCAAGTCTTCACGGGGGTTCCGGCCACCGTCGCCAACCAAGTTGATCTCAAACCTGTTGGGAGGGAGCCGTGATAACGTCCCCACGCTCAAAGCCCCGGGATCGGCCACTCTTACCGGCGAATTCCCAAAAATGCCACCGCCTAGAGGCACTTTGTCGAGGTCAAACACTTTACCCTCTACATTTCCTGGAAATGATAAAGAAAAGGACAAGGAAAAAGAGAAAGAGGATTATGGGAGTAAAATATCTGTTGTTGGGACATCTGCCTCCAACGGGTTGGATACTCAGTTCGGGTTGCTGGAACAGACATTCGCAGCCTATGTCCTTTCTCTGCAGTCTCGGAGTGGAAATATCCTGGGCCGAATGCTTCGGGTCAGAGATCAGGTTGACCGGGCGCCGGTCAACGAGCTTTACAACATTTTGCTAGAAGACCCAAGCAAGATCCAGGCTGCTGCTGAAGTCCCAGTTGATACACTTTTTGTCGCATTTGAAACCTTCCTGGCGAACGCTTGGAGAAGAAGCATGGGTCCTGTCTTAAGCCCCTCTTCTCTGAAATGGGTTCAGAGCCAGTTTGATACCATGTTACCGCGAGATTTCGATGAGCAATTCCGGAAATTTGTGACAGACATGAGCCCACAGAATAGACGAGCTCTAGCTGCGATCATTCGTTTACTTGCGGAGCTACTCGATGCATCTGGGAACGACGGGGATCGCGGTGCTTTGACGATGGCATTTGCAGAGGTACTCACCGAAGACGGAGATCCTAGCCATCATGTGTCTCTTTTGGATCGACTAGTTGAAGACTTTGACAGTCTATTCGAAGAATATCTCCCCGGGGGTACCTCGGTGGAAGGAACACTGACCTGCGATCAATCGAAATCTCATACTAATGCCGGATCAGTTGGTTCCAATTCGTCCTCTTTCCGGAAACGCTTTGGCTTTGGTATGCACAGGGATGCCTCAAAAAATGAAGGCGAGAGCAAAGTCGCATCAATTCTACGAACATTGAGCAAAAAGCAAAGCCCTGCCGGCTCAGAGCCCAATACACCCAAAGGCAGTCTGCTGCGCTCGAAGTCAACTGACGTGGACGCGCGTCTGGGATTCCTTCGCCCTACATCTCGCGATCGCCCTGCGTCTCGTGATCGTCCCTCAACTCGCGATCGCCCTACATCCCGCGATCGTCCTTATGGGTTCGCATCTGAGGAGCAACTCTCGAGGCCGGGGACCGGCTACGAAAATCCGCCTTCTCTATCTTCTTTCCGAGGGTTCTCCGAAGATACTGTGCCAAGGTTTCGCAGAAAACGAAGGAGCTCTCTTTCGGATTTACGACCACCCACATCATCCTCCGATGCATCCAGTATCTCTCCGACTCAACAGCTCCGCCCGACGACCCCTTCCAGTCGTACGCGAGGAGAAGTGGTAACGCCCACCAAACAGTCCAGACCTCAGAGTAGTTACATACCAACATCACAATCACCTATGCGCGGCCAATCGCCAATGCGTGGTCAATCACCAATGCGCTCTAAGCCGCCAGCAAAATCAAGTTCGCCGACGAGACTAGGTTCACCTATTCGCCGTCTGTCTCCGCCTCGTCCTTCTACGCCAAGTCGGAAGGAGAACATTGATCCCAGGACCCCACAGACGGAGCGTGAAGTCAAACCTAGAGGCAGTGTATCAGAATCGCCAGTAGAGGGGTCAAGGAGGCGATCCCACGTGTCAAGCATCCCTCAGCGAACTCCGGGCCTTCGAGAGCGGTCAACCACCAATGGTTCCGATACCAAGCGGCCACAATCTTCGTCTTCGTTGCAGAAGCCGCAGAAACCGCGGATGCAAAGTCCGCAAAAGGTCTGTCACACTGTATCTGCCTTGATAATGACTTAGCTGACATTTTCTTAGTTACGTGATCGTGTTCAAGTAGAAAAGAAGACCCAGAACTCTACTCAATTGGGCCTGAAAGACGAGCTCTCAGAGCTTGGCAACGAATTACGTTCTCTGAAGTTTACACCACCAAGGCAATCTAATGCATTGAACCTTGAATTTGATTTTGACCGTACCGACACTAATCCATCGTCTGCTACCGTCGCATCTCTCGAAGCCCGCATGCGTAAGCTTGAAGCCCGAGTTGAGACGCTTGCTGAGGAATACAATGGCCGCACAACTGCTCTCGAAAGAGACTTGGAGTCGTCCTTGGTTCTGAGCGAGAAGCGCGTGAAGAAATTGGACGAGCTTTATCGCGAGGCAAGCGCCGAGAATGAGGCTCTCTATGACCGATTTAATACCGAACTCAGCAAGATTGCAAAGGATGTCCGATCAGGCCGCGCAGAAGACGCCTTGAAGTCTCAACTGACGAATGCTCTGGATGAAATCGGCCGAGTGAAGAAAGAAAACTTCCGCTTGAAACGAGAAGTCGGAGGTCTCCGAGCTCAATCAGCCGCCGTTGCACTGCTGAAGGCGAGCGAGCAGTAAGTCAAAATACAAAATCACAGCATCGAAGGCTTGTCCCATCACTCATTCCTTTCACCTACCTGAGCATTTTGCTCGACAACCTGACACCCGTCACATTTCCCTTTTTCTTTCACATTGTATTTTGATACCGCATAAGCCTTTCCTTCTTTCCCTTGGACACACATTCATTTGCATACATATCCATGAGCTTATCTTACTTGTATTCATCCCTCATTCTTCTTACCCTTCATATTGGCCTATCTACACAGATAGTCACTGATCATGCATGCATAGCTCGGGAGATCAAGTTTTTACACCGCTTGCTTTTCCTTGTTTGTCTAATTGTTATTGTCATGTACACTAAGAGTCTTCGGTATCTTTACCCACTGGCCAGCCCATCAGGCGTAGTGCCTCAGTGTCAATCATTTTGTACATCCACTGCCATTTCAGTTTCCAGCGACAGCGTAGGTGTATCAGTTCCACCTCACTGGGAGAGGAATAATTGTGTGAATGACCAGATAATCGATAGTCCAAAGTCGGCAATGCCAACTGTTGCCAAACTTTTTGACCCAGAGGCTTTCCCGGCTTAGACAAAATACCTTCCCGTGATATCACAGGTAAAGTAAAGCGCAGCTGAGCAGGCGCTTCAGCAGACAAGAGGGCTTTAACATGCTCAAAAGTCCCGGGCATTTTTTGTTTAGCAGCAGCATCTTGCGGCCTTGAACTAACCGCATCTTTGCGTATCCGTTCCATATCAAATTTATGGAACGGACGTATCGTAAGAGGAAGACTGATTAGTCCATCCTTTAATTGATTGGGATCACGGTCAACCGGAACAAGACGAAGCCGCATCCAGTACCGGTTGTCCCACAAAACCCACGGAGTAAAACTGCCACTAGGCGAAACATTGATTTGCATCACGGGGTCACGGTTTCTCATAAATGGTTGTCGAGATAACAACCAAATATTATCACTGGGATGTGTATCTTGGGATTTATCAGGGGTGGGGGCTTCGTTCGCGAGACGCTGGAATAGAACACCCGCTACTGTGAACGCTTTTCTTCTCTTCTGATCGTCTGTGCCATGAGACCCATCTAGATCAGTGAACACATTAGAAACAAGTGGCTCGTAGCTGCGTAGCGAGAAATGATTATCTGGGAATGGAGAGAGTAGTTCTGTGATGCGGCGGAGAGCGATGGTTTGGATCTGTCGGGTTCGAGAGGCTGATAATGTTGCCAGTTGTGGGTCCATGGATGCCGGGCTTGTCTCCAGGAATTGAATGACCGCTGACCCTGCCTTGGGGTTGAAATCTAGGATTCGGCATTGGGATGAGAGGAGGCAGTTCGAGAGCTCGTTTGATCTCTGGAGGAGCTCTTGGCTTGAACGGATTAGGGATAAAATGGATTGTGATTCCAATGCACGGGGTAGAGAGTTTGAGGTGCGAAGACTGCGGATGGCGTTCCGGGGTGTGAGGGTTGGGTCGAAATTTGTTGGGTCGGAGACGTAAGGGATTTGGTTTTTGTGGCAGGTCTCTAGAAGACTTGCTTTGGTGAAAGAGAGTAGAGGTCGGCAGATGAATATGCCGGGGCTTGCCATTTTGACATTAGATGTAAGACTGGAGTAGATCTTATCTGTCCTAGTGCTTGGGTCGGGGAAAGTGATGAGCCCGTTCTTCTGATTATCGAATCGAACTCTGGGTTGGGGTTTTGCTGGTGATTTGGTCGGGATTGATGTAGTTGACCAGCTCTCAGAAGCCCCGAAAAGACCATGGCATTCGGGAATTCGAGCAACTTCAGGAATGCCGCCGAGACCTAAACCAGTTGCCCCGGCGGAGAGCCGCCAAATGGTGGTTTCGACATTATCATCTTGATGATGACCTAGGAGCAAAGTTTCAAGTTTGAACTCATGACAAGCTATGCCGAGGGCTTGGAAGCGGAGTCGTCGAGCATGTGTCTCAAAGGCAGATGGCAGTGGACTTGATGCTCCGGACTTTTTCGAAGACAACTCATTTTGATTTGAAGTAATTTCAGACCAGTCCAAGCTAAGGATATGGGTTCTGATATCTATTTAAGGATGGTCAATATAATCATCGTAGGAAAGATTCTGGCTTGGAACGCACCCATATCACGAAGCCAGCCAGCAACCTTTTGTGCCTCAATGGTGCTTTCCGGGCGGGCACGATGATCTACCACAAAGGCAGTGACAGAAATGGCTCCAGCAACATCAGAAGAACGTTCCAGTTGCTTGCATAAGTATGCCAGAGCCATAGAGTCGGCGCCGCCACTCACAGCGATTCCTACCATCTCGCGTGTCAGCTATCAGCTCTCGAGATACAAGCAACGAGTCTGTAAATTTTCAATCTTCTAAACTTACCAAACCTCCGTGGAAGCTGCAAATCATTATCACCGGGTTTCTTTCCATATTTAGTGCTGCCATAATTGACGCGAGCCCGTCGCGATCCGGACCATGCTTGCTGGAAGCAACGCTGGAACAGGAATGGCGAGATGGATATATTGCCGGCCATGTCTACTCTCCCTAGAATCCAACATAGGCGCGATGATTCAACATCATCATCGACCTATAGAATACTTCACGCGCAGGAGAACCTCACGGTGATATCGTCGGGTCGGCCAATCAATTTTCCCGACAACGTGACCGGATGGCTTTCACATAAATATGCCTTCGAGATTCTATTGATTATTATTTAAAAGAATGACAGGTCGTTTTTGAGATATCTTATTAGGGTTATGTCAGTGTACTAGATTGACCGTCGTGTAGGTGGTGGTTGCTTGGTTCTTTATGTTGCTCGCATGGATTGCTGTATAGGTACATTACAGCCAACCAACACTATAGCATAGCGAAATCAGCATATGATTTCTCAATTGGAAAAATTTGTTAGTTGACTCGGTTTCTATTCAGGGTATCATCATGAGATTATCTTGGAAATCAGTCAAAATAACTTTTTACCCAAGGTTCCAATTCCGACTTCTGGGAATATACATCCTCAGATCTCAAAGCAATTTGGAAAAGCAGCCAAATAAGCGCCCTCAATTTCGCGCCCCATACCCCCCACCCCCCTCAAAAATAACATCTGACTTCAAAGATCTCCCAAGTATCTCCACCCCATGTCGCAATTCCTCCTTCAACCTCTCGACATCTGCAATCTCCGACGCAGGAGTAGGGTGATTGAGCAGGTGATAACAATCTGCAAGCCGATCCATTGCTAGAGAGGCACGCAGTCGATGCAATAGCATGAGAAGAGCGTAGCAGCTTTGCATGGCCGAGCAAACAAAGTACGGAATGGTTTTCGGATATGTCATGGATCTAGAAGAAGGGACTGACGCAAGTGGATTCGGATACGGCAAGGTTCGATATATCGTCGTTACGACCAGCGCAGACTTGAGACAGATAATCGAGGATTCTTGCTCAGTGAACGGGAATGAGGTCCCGCAGTCTGTCACCCATTTGGGAGTGGACGTTTCGTGCGGGAAATCAGCACTGTTGATTGCTGCAAGATCACAGTATTTATCAAGAAAGAGGGGAATGTCCATGAATGCTCGGAAACGGTGTAGTCGAATGCGAGAACTGGAAGTGTCAGTATAATATGCATCGGGTTTGGAGATGGATTACTCACGCATGAATGAACATGCGGCTGATCATCCACATTGTTTGTGCGACGGATGCTTCTGACTCTTCATCGAAAGTCGTTAAGAGATGGCGGTCTGTTTCGCCCATTAAAGAGACAAGATTTGAATCCAGCTTGCGTATTCGGGTGCCGAAATCGGGGAGAACGGCTGTTTCATCCACGCGTTCGATGTTCTGGACCATTTTGTTGGACTCAAAGAGAGCCGCTTGTACTTTCATCATTATGGGCCATGGCTTGTTATGGTTAATAGAGGATTGAAGAATTATGAAAGGAGTTGAATGATTACCTCCAGATAAACATCAAATTTAGGATAAGGCGTGCTAATTCTTGAATCATTCGTGGAAACAATTGGTGGCTAAATACAAATTAGTCAATGTCAGTCAGTCAATATGTTCGTATGCTCTCTTACAGAGTGATGGAGGTTGGAGGATAGGTATGTGACCCAAATCTACAGGACCAGTGAGCAACAGTCCCAAGAATAACAGATATCTCTGACAAACCGTCATCCACCAAGCTCGTCTCTGTGCCTCGGAATAATCTGTCGTCGTCGAGTCAAGGCAATGGATGGAGATGTCCATAGCAGTCGTGATAGCCTGGTTACCACGAGCTCGCATTCTGGATACATTACCACGCTGGCAATATTCATACATGGCAAGAATCACCAGAGCCAGAACCGGATAAAGCTGAATTGGAATTTGCGAGTGCAAGTCATTAAGTGTCCGAGATGATCCTGTCTCAGGCATATTAGTGTTCAAAGCAGGCGCCAAATCATCAGTCTCAGTTTCCACAGCAGCCAATGCCGCCTGGGCAAATAGCTGCGCGTACGACCGCCTGAGCGCAAGATTCGTTTCGGCCATTGGAAAATTGTCTTTGGAGATCGGTATGAGGACTAGCATTGCGGACAAAGCAAGACTCAGAGATGATGTCGGCCAATAAGGTACATGGGACTTTTCTGCTTGAGCGTATTCTCCAAATGACCTGATAACGGTAGGGTGATCTTCCTGCCGCGGTTTCACCTGAGGAGGCAATAAAGGTAAATATGGGTGGATATAGATATAGTAGGCATTGATACTGTATATCCGATCAGCAGTCTGCCATCCGTTGAATCATGTCTCTTTTGCACCAACATTTCCGCCTCGGATTGATAGGTACGTATTGCCGACGACCCCACATCAGGCACAGGGACTGAGTCAAAGGAGCCATCATCATGCGGGGTGAGTTGGCCCCAGATCTGGTGGGCTCCATCGGCAATTGAGAGAGAATCCGGGGAGAGATCGAGGTTGTGGATCCCAGCGAAAGGCGAGACCAGGCCGATCATGTTATCAAGGAATGGTTCTGACCAATAGTTAGATACTATTATGGTGGCTTGTTATCCAGGAAGAGTGGAGCTACCAATTTCATTGGTGGCATCTGATCTTGAAGACCGCAGTGAGTTTTCTGCAGCTGGTCGTCGTTGTGTCTCTTCATATCGGGCTCCTCTGCGAGGACCGCCCCGGCGACTGGGTTGATAACTGCATTCTCTTTTTCTGCTAGAGCACTGATCATTGAATTAGATAATGAATGCTAGGAGAAGGTGTTGGACATACACTGTCGCAGGGATGTTGGCCATCACAACGTGTTTTCGATGTTCGACTACAAGATATGAGCTCAATGCAAGAATGAGCGGTTGACAAGGTATATGGCGCACCATGCTAGACACGCAGCTTTCACTGGCGGTTTCATAACACGAGGCATCTTGTCTAATATGAAATTGAAACAGATGATGATCTCTTGTAGGCACGTCACCCGACACGTGATATCTATACCCTGATCAGACGAGGACGATTTACCTTGATTCACCTGTAAACAACTTCGGTTGATTCTATAACATTTGTTGAAAGATTACTTTATCCAAGGACAACGCTTTACCTCTGGTTCGGCGTTTGATATTTCGACCAAACACCGGATCCACTCGTCATTGACCCGTTATCGGCGATTGACCAATCTCAATACATATGGATGGCTTTCCAGCTTTAATGGGGTAATATAAGGTATGAAGTCAATTTACATACATTATCAATTTATTTGCAACAACTCTTGCCAACATTGGGTGTTTCCGATGTATCCCTACGACAGAAACATGAAGATGTTACGGGCACATCAGCCACAGCAACCGCTATCGCCAACTGCGGCGCAATAATGCGCGCCTCATCATGCCGACCAAGACGTACCAAACATTCATGGTAGCCCTGCAAAGCCCATACATTATTCGGATGCTGCCGAGCACGGATAAGAGTGCTATCAAGACCCAAGTCCGCCTGATAGACAGCCGCTGCATCCTCGACATGACCCTGCTCTAGCAAGAGAGCAGCATATGCATGGCGAGTGGGCTGCATCCAACTCCAGGGCTCACTGTAACCCAGCCCATCATCCAATTCAATCGAGCGACGTAGATGCTGGAAAGCCTCGGTGTAATTCCCACGGCGGTATTCGATCTCGCCATCCAGCATTTCCGACGCCACCTCCAGAATCTCGACGCACTTGTTGGGCCAGTCCAAGCGCGTATCAGGAACTCGTTTCCACGCTGCTCGGTAGAGCTCTCGCTGGCGCTCTGCATCCGGCACGTTCCCCGTAGCTGCATATGCCACGCCCTTGGCGTAGTGCAGCGTCGCTATCGTCATGCAGTACAGCTCTGGATCTGAGGGGATCGCAATCTCGATAAGTTCCTCCCACATGCCGAATCGCACCATGACATGTGCGCGCACAGACATGAAGAATTCGATGTAGTCTGACATGGCCATGAGCAGTTCTTTCGGCAAAGTCGCCTCCATGCGGTCCACGGCTTCGAATGCGGTCTTTTTCTGACCCGCAAACATGGCTGCGTAGATGAGCGAGTGGTAGGTATGCATGCGATAGACTGAGTAGAAATTAAATGGGCCTTCCCGGGCCAAGTATTTCTCGTCTGCAATCGCGGCACGCTGGTTTGCGCGCACGGCATTTCGATAGTCTCCAACCAGCACGTCCAGATGGGACGGCATATGGCTGACATGGCCTGCATCTGGAACGAGATCACGGAGGTGATCTGCCGGTCGGATACCTAATTCTGGGAAGGGTGACATCTCAATAAGATGAATGTAGATATGCAAGAGACCGGGGTGTTTGTGGGAATCTTTCTGTTGGAGAGCTGTCTCTAACACTCTCTTTGCTTCCATGGTCCGAGTGCCTGGGTTTGGTTCACCGGTCACCATATCCCACAATTTCCAAGGAGTGAGGCTGATCAAGGAATCAGCGTACAGAGTGGCCACATCCAAATCATCTGTAAAATTTTCGTATACCTCTTTCATTGCATCGGCATATGCAAGATTTTGAATAGCATATTGCTCCATGCTAGCGGGCTTATCACTTTGATAGCGGGCGGAGATTGCCTTGGCGAGGGCCTGTTCCACCGGGGATGCATTTGGCGCGAGGAAGCGCGCTTTGATTGCAGCTTGATATGTGTTCTTCACGACCGCTGCCAAGTCGTTACCGAGGAAATCCCACGGCTGATTGTAGTTGGGACCGAGAGAATAGGCCAAGCCCCAAAAGGCCATCACACATAATGGATCATGGACCAGTGCCTGTTTGAAACAGATGACTGATTCTTTATGATTGAAGGAATATGCCCACACCAGACCGCGGTCAAACCATATTTGCGCTTCAGGGCTACTGGTTGTGATGACCTTCCCATATGACCCAAGATTATAAGGATATTTGGCCTTGGTTGTTGCCCTCGTCATTTTGCATATAAGTGGTATGATGTGAGGTGAAGAATGAGTTCGGGTTTAGGCGGGGTCTTCCCGCCTACTTGTACCCAAACGGTGTCGGACTTTCGTGACTCCATTTTTTTTTCGATCCTTTTTTTATGTTTTGTGATACAAATGGTCAACGATATGTGAGATTGTTAACTAGCCTAATATCTACTGTATTGATTGCAGTTATTGCATTTTATTGGTTATAGAAATGCGAACCCTTAGATCGTATTAAGTTGGACTAGATTGGACTAGATTATATGTATTCCTTGCCACATAACTTTTTATACATTGAGTTGATCCACATATTTATTGGATTTATATTCACTAGATATCGTATAGATGAAGCAAATAAAGTAGAAAAAAGTACTCTCTAGAAAAAAAGATACAAAGAAGAAAAAAAAAGAAAGCGTATGCAGTTCAGCCTCTAAATCTCCCAATCCCTACTTTCTCCGCGGATCAGCCCATACCGTTATTCATATATGTGGGCTATATATACCTTTTTTCGCCTTTTTTCTCCTTTTTCTCCTTTTTTCTCGAACATCGCATGTTGTACCTCCCAAATAGGGAAATCATTTGAACTATGAAGCCCTTTAAGCCTAGCGGTCTCATTTTGGAATTCGGTCACTGAATTCTACACATTTTCCAACCTTGGAAATTGCCTGGGTTTGATAAGCCGCCTCATATAATTCACTCACCGCCTTATTCTCGCCTGTGTAGACCGCGCGTTTCTAGTCTAGTCTCTCCTACAGCTGGGAAAATATATATCTCTATTGCTCATCGGCACTCGCTACTTGGTTACCACCCGTGTAGGTATTCTAACATGATATAGACTACCTTAGCTACATTAACTCAGCGCAGCGATTTATTAGTCATTATGTTGTACAGTGATAATCATCTATTGTCCTATATGTAGATTGATGCTTAGGGTCCAGGCTTCCCGGGGTGGAGGGGGCCCCGGTTGTGCCTAGCCAATGTTCTGCCAGTCAAAACCGGGGCTTGATTGGTGCGATGAAGCCTAATTTATAAACCAATCAAAGTTGTGATCAGAGAGATCTGCAGGATATAAAAGTAAAATGGGACAAGATTGCATAGATCATGCTTGTTACTCGACCTTCCCCTTTCCTGTTCCAACGCTCACCTGTTGCCGATTTTTGATCATCTCTCGCCTTCTCATCTCTGGCATATGATACCTCAATTGTTTGACCGGATACTTTGATCGTGGCTTTGGTACCTGAAGCATCTTCTGTCAGAGATAGTCTGGCTTTGAATGCAAGGCGAAATCTCGATTCGATTCTCTTTAGTTGTATCATTGATGTTACTTATTACAATCTGCTGGCTCCATAACTGTTGCGATGTAAGTTGTACTGTCTACAGTCACTCGTTTTCCTTCGCCCGATGAAGCTCTCAGTGTAAACCTCGAGCTAGTACCAAATGATCAAACTGTCATGTATCTGATAGTATAGCTCGTCATCTTCAGCGTCTAGTATCCGGTATTTTCACCTGTTTGACATATACATCGCGAATCATCGTTGTCAGCTTCGAGGGCATTGCGCTGCCCTTATTCAACCAACAATCTTTCTGACATGATCTTCTTTGCACTTTCTAGTATATTGCAGTTTACGTAGCTCCATAATAGAAAAATCAAAATAAGAGACAGGAGTGTAGTATCAGTCGCAGATACGACTATGTGGTGGTGTCATCTTAACGTACAAAGAAGAACCGAAGTGATGTGGAAAGCCGAAATAGGATGCCGATAGAACAAGGGACCCTGAACCCAGAATCATGATTATTAATCGAGTATAGTGGCCCCGGGAAGTACACCATGGTTTCTTTTTTTTCTTCCAAATATTAAGTCAAGAAGCACAACTCTGTGTTGAGTTCTATCGGATTACGAGTTCCATTTCTACCATCCATGGATAAATATATAAGTGCTCGGCCCCGACCAATCCTTTGACACACCCATTATCCCTACTCTCCGAGTCAACCCAACACCATCTGAGAACCACTTGAGTGCTTCTACTGGGTATGTTCTCATCAGTGTGAATGAGGCATTGAACCCAATAAACCTCTACACGTGACTACAGCATGAAGTCCCGTTCTGAGATCTACTCTCATAAAAGCCGCAGCTCAAATAGGAAAGCCCAAGGGAAGATCCGATGTAGTCAGATATGGGGTACTCCGTACTCTGTACTTTTGTATCTCTATATTCCAATTTAGGCTGCAGATCCGAGACATCTCAAATTTGGACTCTAGGCAGACGCTTATCTGAGCTCTTTATCTGATGATTATACGGAGTACTATACAATATACCCTCCCCAGGTTCTCTGTTTAACTTCCTCATCCTCGACCGGACATATCTGCCTTCTAAACGCCGAGCCACAGCCTAATCACCCAACATGGCACTGTCAGCTTCATTCAAGACATTCCTACTGCATTGCAGTACCTCCATCGGGCAACGACTCGAAGCAGCCCCCTTCCAGACCTTCCTCATCTTAGCCTCTATCTGGATGCTCTCTATCCCGACTATCGTCTTTCTGATGACTCGGTTTTGGCCCTCTTTCAATTCCAAACATGCCAACCCTCAGCTGCGATGCCGCTCTTGCGGAAGCACCGATGTTACTGAGACACCTGCGGGGACCTCAGTTCCAACCCCGAGTGAGAAAAGGGAGTGAGTCACGGGGCGTAAACCGCCATGTGAGATTACGGAGTAGTCCGTGGAACCCGATTTCCAGGGGGGGATGGGAGAAACGGGAGTTCGTCGATCATTCTGTGTCAGCCCTAAATTAAATAGTCTGGATTATGGCGATTGGCATTGGCTATTCTACTGCAGGCTTGGTTTAGCTTGTTTTTGTTTTATTCCAAGCTAAGCTAATTTAAGAATGGGTTGCATACCAAAAGCGGAATTTGCCGTACCTATTATGCAGGGGATCTAGGGGCTCTACTTTATGCTTCATGTTTTTACTCATTTTGGCAGTCCCCATGTTAAAACTGTTCTTGCTATACGGAGTACTCTATATCTTGATCGGTGGGAAGTGGCAGAGGAGCAATTCTTGCCCGACGAAGACAGAAAACCTTCTTCTTTGCCTGGCTCTCATTCCTGAGACCTGCTCTCTGTATACTGGTACATTGTGAGCTTACTCGATCTGCAAGCCACAATCAGCGCTATGCTCCCACCCATTGCAGCTGGGCGCCATGGGCAGAAAAATGAAGTAAACGCCATCTTCGACACCTCTCGACTAGTGCGAGTCACATAGTCCAGTCCCACCAAGGCAAATTGTCTTGTCAGCATGGGATACGAGAATAGTAAGCCCTAACAGCCTCATGCACCTCCCGTCTATGTAAATGTAACTCTACGCATACCCAATTTCGAGCAAACCCCGTGAGCAGCGGACATCGTCCGCGTGGGAATTGCCTTCTTGGTTGGGGTAACTCGTCGACTAGGTACATCTCACCGAGTACACGGACAGAAGCTCAAAGTATAAGAACCCCCAGAAAGAACGCAGAAAACATCCCTTCCAACCAGAACAGAAACGGATCAAACGACCATCTTCAGAATCCTTCAAGATCCCCTCAGCCAAGCTCTGCTTCTTCAAAATGCTCTCCACCACCCTCATCACGACCTTGGTCCTGGGTCTTTCCCATATAACCACCAGCGGCGCCCTGCCCTCAACCTCAGCCGCGTCAACCAGCTTCCTCGTGAACCACGTAGCCTCAGACTACTTCCCCGACTCGAAAGGCGACCTCAGCGCCTTCGACGTGGACGTCCGCTTTGTGAACTACTCCCCGGAGACAGAGTCCTGGCTCACAAGCCTGGACCCGCACTCCGCCAGCACCGACGAAGAAAAAGCGCGCATGCTCACGGAAGCCGCATACGCGAAGAAATACGACGAGAACGACGCCGACATGGCGAGCGATGTGGAGTCCCTGCTTGCGCACGTTGCTGGGAACGGCACTGCTGCCAATAAGGGCCTTTCGAAGCGGTCGAGCTTTGCGACTAGTGCTGCACATGCTGTGCTGTGGAGTGCGTGTGGGACTGTCTTCTCTTGTATCTCTGGTACGACTTGTCAGTTTGATCAGCAGATTGGGAAGGCGCCGCGCAGTCATTGCGAGCAGCAGGGTGGGTCGAATTGCTGTATCAGTTGGTCGACTTATAGCGTTCGTGCTGGGTTCTTCTCGACTACTTGGACGGCTTGTAATGAGGAGGTTAAGGCGGAGGGCAAGACTAGTGCTTCTTGTGAGGGATATGGAAGTGGGGACCAGGGTGGTGATGTGTGCCTTAGCAATCGTGCTTCTGGATGTACCTAGGTTTTTCTGTTGAGATGGAGATAGTTGGGGGCGAGAGGAAGAGTAATGGGGATGGAGCTAGCCTGGCGGTCTAACTGGGGTGAGGGGAGACTCGAGTGGAGAGATAGCGTGGTTGTTATAAGACAGATGGTGATGGTTGTTTCAAGCATGTGGTTATGGTTATCGTCTTTCTATAGTCATGCAATGCAATTGTTTCCCTAGTCCGAGGGCATGTGTCAAAGCGACTAATGGAGTCCCATTGAGAATCGCGACGTCTCGAGGAAATGGGCCTATGATTAGTACAGCCTATGATTAGTACAGCCTATGATTAGTACAGCCTATGATTAGTACAGCCTATGATTAGTACAGACTCTCTCGGGTCTCCAATGTGTGTAGCCACCAAAGGAAAATATAACAATACGCGGGACCTTTTTCACACCAATAGTCACTTGAAGGATCCGAAAATTCGATTCTTCGCCAGTGTTGACGGTAGCATCAACAATATTACATGGGAATGCAAGCTGCAAGCTTCAAGGCAAAAACAAGACCCAAAGCAATAGCCAAGCAAGCCAGATGCGCTAACACCCATAAGAAGAGAAATAGGAGATGCGACACATAGAAAGAAACCAAAATCAAGTATCTCGCCCATATGTGCTAGAGATCCATACAGGATTGGCATATGCCAAATAACAAATGTACCGGTTGAGCAAAAGGAAAATAAAAAAAAGGATCACAGGAAATGGGAGACCAGAAAGATCTCATAGGCTGTATTTATCACTAGGTAATAGCAGAGCCTGCGATAGAGCCAGAGTTCGTCACGGAATGGATACTACCAGGAGGTGCATGTCCATTGCTATCCCCGTTCGGGGCATGGGGTTCTTCCACAGCGACGGGGGTCTCATCAATTCCCAGAAGAGACCGGGGAGGGTGAATCTCTTTCTTGCCGTTTGTCTTGTAGTGGAGAACCATGTCTCCTGAGGTACGCCAGAGGTGTGTGCGAATCGTTGCTAGAGTCATGTTTGGTGGACAGAGCTGGTGGAAGACGATTAGTATGACGGTCGGTACAAAACGAGAGAGAAAATTACCATCTTCTGGCAGTAGAGCTCGAGGTACTCCTCTGGTGGCATAATGGACTCTGCTGGTTCATCGGGGTTTGCAGGGTCAATGCGCTCTGCGACATAAGCAAGAATCTTCTTCGTTCGGAGCATGCGGTTGGCATTGAGACGAGAGCCATTGTTATTGGGGTTCGTATTGCCCGGAGGGGCGCCGTTAGGAGCCGGCCTGAATGAAACAGATTAGTCTCACCACCACGCCTTACAAGGGCAGAGAAGATCCGAAACGTACGGTTCAGGCTTGACGACTGGCGGTAAGGTATCATCAAAGGGCTTCAATACAAAGGCGATTTTGACCTGTTCCTTGAAGGGAATTTGATTCTATAACAAACGATTAGCAAGAGAGAAAGCAGATTATCACGAGAAAATAGACTTACCTTCAGAAGAAGCTCACCAAGCCAATGAGGAATTGACTTCTTGAGCCTTTCGAGGTCTTCGCCAATGCGGTCCACGCTGCCTCTGTACAGATCCGAGGCAACAGCAGTATCACCGGTTTCCTCCTGGATGAAGACTGCAGTTCGAGGTGGAATTTCCAGTCGTGGGGTTTCGTCCTCACCACTGGGCAAAAGAGCCGTCTCCAAATCCCGACCTGGATTTGTAGCCAGGAACTCTTCATAATCATCATGAATGCGGTCTACCAAGCCACAGAGATTGGGCTCATACACTTTCTCTTCCTTGATAGAGGAGATCTCCGATTCTTCGGCCTTTTCTTCTAATATCTGCGGTTTCGTCTCTGTAGAATTGCGTCCTAACTTCTTAGGAAAATTCATTTGGAACTTTTTTCCAAATAGTGATCCTTTCTTCCGCTCTTCCTTATCGGGCTCTGCAGGGGATTGAGGAACTCCTGCATTTGAGGCTGCATCCGACGGAGATAGTAGAGACTTGTCCGTGCCTGTTTGTGTAGCCACTAGAGGCCTTTTCGAGAAATAGTCAGTCGATGAGAAGGATGATGGCCCGCCATCGAGATGGGAATTTGTTGGCATGGCATCAGGTGTTTCTGGTTCGAACATTGGGAACGGAGAGTTGCTCTGCATGGAAGTGCTCAAGTGGTTTGACGATGGTGTGCCAACATTGATACTAAAGCCGACACCCGGGCTACCAGGGAAATCTGAGCTGGGACGCAGATTCGTTCTCAGATTCGGATTCGATATAGGTATGCCAACGCTGCGAGGGATATCATCGCCAGGTACCGACGTACTCAGGGGATTCTGTCGAGCATGTTCTTCCGCTCTCGCGATGGCAGCTTGGCGGTATTCGTTGTCTCGTCGGATTTCCTCATCTACTACCGGAGCAAACAGCCAACGTAAGACCCATTTGCCAAGATTGACTGCGTGTTGTCAGTATGACAAAGGATATGCGCGAAGGCTGACAGCAAAGCAAAAGAATGATTCCAAGGAAGCAAATACTCACCTCTTTGATCGTCTCTAAACTGATACAGATCAGATAGTGGTAGATCAGTCTCGTCGGCATAAACTTCTGCGTCGAAACAGCGATTGGGCTCTAGAATGACCGAAAGCCTGCCAGTACGCACGTCGATCGTACACCAATGTCCAATACTATCAATGGTATTGACCTCTGACTCAACGTCATCTATATGACGCTTGCCAAAGCTTTTAACGGGGACACACTAGATTTATGTCAGTCGACATCGTATACTTGCCAGCTAGAATATAATCAAACCACCTTCAGTAAGTCCCAGAGGACAACATCTCCTGCCGAATCTTGAGTGAGTGTGCGCCTCCGATCATTCAACATCAAGCATTTGATCAAGCCGTGCTGGCCTTCAATAGTTTCCTCGGGCTGTGAATGAACCGGGATCGTTAAGCCAATTGTCTCCAAGTTAGACTTCGTGGAGTCCAGTTTACGGGCTGAACCACCAAGAATCGAGGTCGCGGATAATTGCAAAACAGAATTAAATGGAATCTTCTTGGGTCCCTTATCTGAATTGGTTGCAGGCACTGTAGCGGAGTCTACAGTGCGGGCTGGGTCTGGCGGCGGCTCGATTCCAACCGTAGTATCAGCATCTCGCCAGCGGTGGATGCTAGACTTGGGAGTAGCCGTCCAGATGTAGTCTCCCGCAGCCACAACTTTGACAACGCCCTCGTGTTCTTGTAGTGCGGCGACGCTGATGCCCTGGTCGGGATCAGCCGATCCTCGCATGTCAGTCTTCGCTACCAAGCCGGATCGGTCGCTTGAATAGAAGACGGAGAGATCAGGGTGGTCAGAGTAAAGAGACCATACACTATCATTGTGCATGGTCAGCGTATTCATGCATCGACCGGCCGTGAGAGACCAGATCTTGATGGTCTGGTCAGACGATCCCGTCAGGATTGTATCGCCGGACTGGTTGATCATAATATCACGAATGTTGTCCGTATGACCGACGAACTTGGTCACTAGCTTTCCAGACCTGGGGTCCCATACTCGGACAACGTTTTCAGGACCACCGCTAGCGAGCACCGACGAAACCGCACCCAGCGCATAAACAGACCCTTTATCTGTGGAATCTTCTCCGCCAGCATTGATATTCAATACCTCCCCGCCGCCATTCAAATCCCAAAGATAAACCTTCTGATCGAGACCGCCCGAGGCGACCCAAGTGGCGTGGTTCCCGGGGCTCGCCAGGGCCTTCACATAATCCGTATGTTTTCCAATGCGCTCTGGTACCTCGGTGGACTCGGAATGCGGGCGCCAGAGTCGCACGGTCGTGTCAGACGAGGCGGAAACGAGAGCGGAGTTGTCCTGTGCCAAGACAATGTCGTTGATCCAGTGGCTATGAGCTTGAACCTGGGTTTTGAAGCCGGTCGGGTTAGGCTTTTGAGTAGGAGACGATGCGTCTTCCGGGGCAGACGAGGAGGGAAGAGGAAAGTCGAGATCCCAGGAACAGATGACGCCGTCGCGGCCCGCAGAGTAGCTAGGAGAGGAGACACCATGTTAGTATGCGTGCAACGTGTCGGTGAGCCTGATCTTCAAGAGATGATCGCGAACATGACAGCCGCTCAAATCTAGATGATCGATTCCAGCATGAGACTTACAGAATGGAGTTTTGGCGGTCGACGGCTAAGCCATTGACCCCCAACCGATGGCCACCTGGCGCATCAGGCAGAGGGAGGACTATCAGAGAGACCCAGTTAGCAATGTAAGCTAGAGAGATAGACAGGATAGATACCATAAGTGACCCTCTGGTGGCTCAGTTTGCGTGCCATACATGCGTTGAAGTGAAACCAATTGCGGAGATGCGAATGCGGAGCTTATCCTGGCCGATCGCACGTTGAGAATTGGTGGGGAAAGACGTCAGAGGGCCATTCGCGATACAAACCGGTCAAGTCAAGGGGGAACTGAAAAAGGAGGGGAAATTTCGCAGTGATTATATACTTCGTGTGATTTACTCAACACCTTGGCTCGGATTCTCTTAGATCACTCTTCGATAGGCATTCCCATTTCCCTTTCTAGGAGACTCGGTTATTTGTGGCTATTTCGTTATACACTGCCCCCTTCGAAGACTATACAGGTCCCCAAGACTTCTTTATGTCGTTCTGAGATAACCCTCCAACTCCACTCCAAATCACTTGAGGGAAATCCAAGACCCAACAGTTTTACATTGGTCTGATCAGCCACTCCACTCCGGTACCACTCCTGTACAGAGTGTACGGAGACCTTAAGCTCGTGCCAAACAAACTGGGCTGCATCGCCAAGACAAGGCTTCGTTTGGGGCTCTGAGCGGACCGCAGTGTACATCTTTTCGAAGATTCAGGGTCTGACAGTAACAGGTGATATGAAGGTGGGCGGCGTATTGCGGTCTCTACAACTATATCTCAAGATCAGGGCAGGCGAGACAACCCGCTGATAATTCGCTTCTACTGATTGCATATGCGATAGAGCCCCTTTTGCCAAGAAGGTACGCCCTGGCATGTAAGCTGCCATGTTGATGTCTAATGTCAGCGATGACTCGATCTAGTAGGGCTTTATAGGGGGGAATGCGTCATCTTTGGAAGTGTAATAGATGCCTAGATACACAAGATTGCTTGTATATTCACATAGCTTGGGATATGTCTTGGCCAATGATATAAACAAGATACTCGACGTCGGACTAGGTTTGATACTTGAAGGTTATTCGTTCTTTCAAAGTGGCCCTTGGCAGCTCGAATTATAGAATGTTCTATATACAACGTAGGTGTTTTTAGTATATCCATCTTGTATACAACCAGCACTACCAATTCGATGTATATGATCAACGTTTGAAGACACTTATTGTACTCATGAAAGTGCTATATTAGCAGATTCAGCCTATTTATCATATCCAGATATGCCCGAACACCGTATGCTCTTCGCCAGAAACACCCCCCAATGTAATCCACCGTCAACGCGCTAGACCTACACCCGTATCCAAAAGGCGGCTTCTTTTTCGAGACGGATCAAGATCCGTGCCAGGTTCCGAACCCTCACCTTAGCCAATAAATCCAGTCATAGAACTAGACACAGACACAGATATTGAACCCGCTCCGCATAAAGCTTCTTTTCTGCACAAGATCGTAAAACTCGTGGCTGTAAAACAACTGCAGGAATCCGGCTGGATGCTGAAAGCCGAGCCAGGCAGCCCTAGCAAGTAACATAATGACATATATGATTGCCCAAACCAACTCGATGTCCAAAATCTAGAATCTATGTTCTTCCAACCTTCTATATAGCAATAATATACAAACCACAAGGCCCAAAAGACCAAATCAAAGACTCTTCTCCACCTGTACCTCCCGACGCCCCTCGAGGGTATTCGAAGCATACTGATAACTCCCAAGGAACACAGCACCACCAATACCAATCCAGGTCACACGCGGCGTAATACCACGCCAGAAAGCACCTGGCCCTTCACGCGCAATCCCGCGCACAATCTCCTTGACGCGAACAGGCGCCTCAACGCCCCCGTCTCCACGTCGCGCAAGCATAACCCGGGTCTTAATGACGTCTAGCGGGGTAGTGAGACCAGCCGCAATGGCGCCGGCAACACTTCCGAACATGGCGCTCGTCGAAGCGGGGATCTGTGTCTCGGCGAGAGACGAGGCTGTCTCCGCGGTTCGCAGGTACCGCTTGCCGTAAGCTTCCTTCATCGACTCCCACATTGTGAATTGCAACACAGTGAAGGGGATCTCGCGGGCGATTGTGATGCCTGCACCGCGGTAGAGCTCACGGATGACTTGACCGTATCCGCGCTTCGCTGCTGGGGCTGAGCCCGATGTGGTTGTGTTTGTTGGGGATGCGTGGCGCAGGGACAGGATGTCCTTCAGTGCGAGGAGACTGGAGCCGCCGAAGAGGCCAGCTTGGGCGCGCTGCTTGATGACTTCTGTGGGGACGCGGACGGCGCATGCGGCGATTTCGCCGAGGGAGGAGGCGAGGGAGTGTGTGAGCATTATGTGGGATCTGGATTGGGGGGTCGTTTTGCTGCCGGTTGGTTGAGGTGGGAGTAGGGTGCGCTTGACGCCATCATAGACGATGAAGAAGGAGGCGGCAGAGGGGGCGGAGCCAAAGAGGACGGATGGGAGGCCGGCGTAGATACCACGGAAGGTTTGGCGTAGGGAGACTCGGGTTTGGGGTGCGGTGTGGTCGCGTGCTTTTTGAAGTCTGGTTTTGATGGTATCGAGAGGATAAAGAGAGCAGTCGACAGTTAGACCTGCAATCGCGCCAGACTATATAGTTGCGGAGCTGTTAGAGAGATCCTCGGTCCTGCGAAGAGCTTGGGTGAAGTTTACAATTAGCGACCTAGTCCATGGGGAGGAAACCAATGGCGCCCCGTCAGGTTGGGCCATTTTTGTAGGATGGAATTGGATGTGGAAATCGTTATATCACAAGATCATGGCCAAATTGGAATTAAGAAGGGACGAAGTATGTTGTACAGAAGCGGGCTCGACGGACAAGCTCCGCGGCTGGCAGTTTCTTTTGGTCCGCGGTGAGGCCACCGATATCGCCGATATCGCCGATATCTACTATCAAGTCCAATCCAAAAGAATGTATAGTACGTTGTATGTTTTGTATTGAAATGTATCTACTTGTTAAGGAAATAAAGCTCGCGCTCGCACAAGTGTGAGCCTTGACAAAAGAATAGCAAAAACACATATCGAAATCCCACACCAAGTAGTCTATCAGTAACATCTACCGTCGAGCTAGAGCCAGAGCCCCGTTTTCTTCAAGATATTCACAAGAGAAACTCGAGCGCGATCAAATGTCACAGAACTTTATTCAAGAATATCAACTCATCTCAAACATGGCCCGGGGAATGAGGGAAACCGCCAAAATCATCTACAGTACTCGTAGGGAATCACACAGTAAACGCGGAGGGTAAGAGGACAAAAGTGCCACCCCGTTCTCAAAGGATGAAGGGGATATATAGACACGAGGAGAAATTGATACAAAGAAGGGATAATTATTTAGCCTTGGTAGCTTTGCTGGCCACGGCAGGGCTTTGGGCAGGGGGCTCGAGGACGTGAGTGTGACCGGGGGCATTGATGATTTCACCAGTCCCATCCTGTCGACATGCATGAATGTTCCTTACCCAGTCATCCGACATCACCTCGTCGAGTGTCGCTCGGTTCTTCGGGTTGGTCTTCAGCATGCGGCCAATGATGTACCGGCTTTCCCGCGGCAATATCCGGAGAAGTCGCCATGGGCCCTTGATGACTTCCTGGCGCTGCCCAGAGTTCTGGGAGGATGCGGAAAGAGGAGGCGGTGCCTCCTTGCTAGTCGTACGGGTGGGCCGCTCATGGGGGCTGGTGCAGGTTTCGCTGTTCTGTTTCTGAGCAGTATCGGGAGAGTGATCCCCGTCTTTCTGAGAGTTTTCTGCTTTGTCTCCAATTCCGTTTCCATTCTGCTCCGATCCAGACTGATCTGAAGGTCCGCTCGAGCGAGGAGTCAGACGTTTAGTGTCATGACCTTGGGAAGGGAGATCGGGTGTCGACTTGGGCCGACGGCGGTTGTCGGGTTCGGGAACTGGGGTGCCCGGGGTCGGGCTGGAAACGAACAACTTGTATGAGTTGTCGGTCATGCGCGGTTGCTTCCATGGGAACCGGCGCAAGGTCATACAGCAGAAGATGATCGCCAGCGACCAAACATCCGTGGGGCGCGGGTCATATTTCTTCTCATCGTAGACCTCGGGGGCAAGATATGGATCTGAGCCAACGATACCTGTTCATACAAATTAATAACCATCCACTGTGACCAAAAAATAAAAAATAAGAAATAAAAATAAAAATAAAGGAATACGTACCTGAGGCAGGGACAATGTCATTCTCGAATGGATAGCGGAATACGACAGCACTTCCGAAATCGATGAGTTTCATGATACCACGGTCGTTCACCACCACGTTATCCAGTTTCAAATCCCGATGGGCCAAACCCATGCCATGGATGTACGCCACACCGCTCAAAATCTGCTTGAAAGAGCAGGCGATCTCTTCCTTACTCATTTTTCCAGTCATCACGATAGCAAACAGATCAAACGGCGCATATTCCATGACCTCGTACCAGCGAGGGCCCTCTTGGATGATGTCCAAGGTCTCGATGATATTGCCATGGTGTAAGGTGGAGCCAATACAGAACTCTGCAGTCACCTTCTTCGAATATTCTTTGACGCTCTCCCAGTTGTGACGGTCTCGGAATTGCTTCACTGCAAAGGTGACACCGTCACTGTTGCGCTTCAAAAGACGCACGGAGCCACCAGCTCCCGATCCCAGCACCCTGCCCAACTTTCCATACTTGGAGTTTAGACCATGATCATCGGCAAAAGGAACATTGTCTGGAGCCATTTGATACGGAGTGGACTTTCCAGATGATCGGCTCGATTTATTAGGCATGGACGTCGGGGACTCGGATCGCTTATTGCGATGACCCATCTTGAAGAATCGCTTGAGCTCAGACATAGAGCCATGATGCTGGTGGCCCTGGGACTTGTCACCATGCTCCTTCTTGGAACTACCAAATAGTCCCCGCTTGTCACTAGATTTGCTGAGGTCGCTTGCGCTGGTGGATCGAGGAGCTCCCGGACGAAGTGCTCGCTTGACATCCCGACCGCTGAAGATGAACCGGGGATCCAATTGGGCCAAATTCTTGGACTGGGGTGGTCGCTTGTGGCGCGCATATGGATCATTAGGTTCACCTACCGGGGTCATGAGCCCTGGCGGGGTAAGAGACTCGCCTGGAGTGGGCGGGGGGGCTTTCTTCTTGGGACCCCCCGTCATTTCCAATGAAGAATTGCGCACGATGTTTCGGTAGTTGGATGGCATGCGGAGCTCGGTCCGAACCTTCGCTGGTTCTGATGGGCAGGTGATCGTTGGACACGGGTCGGGAGGATGAAGCGGGTCGAGATGTGCCGTTCTTGTCGGTCGATCCGACTGGAGGTGATGCTTCAGGGGTGAAATTCGTGTTCACATGGGGTCGGCTATGAGCTTTCAGAGAGGCACTCTCGCCGGGTTTTCCTTCGCGAGAATGGGTTGCAGCTGGGGTAAGAGGAGGTGACTGTACAGCAGAGACCGGAGGAGATGCATGCGGAGAGGCAAAGGCACCGGTGCCATGTCCGCTACGAACACTCGAGTCTCGAGATGCAACCTATGAAGATCCAAAGTTAATATAATGATAAGGTTGCCCCCGTCTCACTAAGTCGCCGCTCAGAGCCCGTCGGATGAACGGAACTAAATATTACATGAAATGGGAAGACATTGGAAGAGCCGGAAGCACATCCGATGGCAAATTAAAGGTAGATATGACATACCCTGGAGGAAGGAAGAGACATTGGGTCAAATGAGAAGTTGCGCAGGCGGGACTCCTGAAGCTGTGCGCCCTGCATACTCATCGCCAGCGACCGTAATTGTTCCTCGTCCGCAGCTTGTTTTTGCTCGTCTGACAGAGACTGGTTCGGTTGCTCTGGTACAGGGGATAAGACGGCTTGATCTGGTTCAATCTCCTCTGTGATAGAGGAGAAACGGACCTGGGTAGGTTGAGCTCTGGACTTGGCATCGGCGTCACCGGGCTCCGGGGCCTGGCCGGGGTTCTTGGCGGGGTCTTGCATGGTATGGGATTCTGTAGAGATGAACATGCGTCAGACGGTTGGCAGGAATTTAGGATACACCATCACAACCGATCAGCATGGTAGCCAAGACATACCTGAATCCATGGGGTTGAGAGTGGAATCAGTCATTTCAGACGTCATAGTCTTCGCCAGCTCGGAACGTGGAACACATGCCCCTCCCGACGGGAGCTCTGAAAGATCCTAGATCACGAACTGAGCAGTTCAAATACTGTCAAAGTCGCAGAATTGGGGCGATTCTCAAAGTCCAATAAGTCAAAGAGTTATGCGAGAGGCAAATCTTTCCCTGATTTAACTTTTTTTTTCCCGCCGAATGCGATCAAGAGCCCGGGTCTGGTCAAGGAATCCAGGAATCCGGAAATCCCGGTTCTAACTAAATTGCGAGAAGACAGAGAGGAAGAGTGGAAGAGAGGAAGAGGATGGAAGTAAAGAAGAAAGCTCAGAAGAGGGGAGGATGTAAGAGAGTCTGGGCCTCAGGCAAACTTGGCTTTTGGGGGCGAGTGGGGGATTTACTCTGCTGACTTCGATTTCTCTCTTTTTTTTTGTCTTTTCTTTTTTGTTCAGTTTCCTGTTTTAGTAGATGGGCATGTCAATATATGTCAGATTCACTGAAATTTATTGAAGAAATGCCTTACCTCATAAGTCGGATGGCCGCGGAGGATTTGAAGATGATGTCGACCCGTGCCGACTTCCCGGCCTACGTACACTTGCGATTACATGGCTTACTGCATGGTCTTGGACCATCTGGAATATTACCTGAATAGGATTAGTATATCTGACTCCATTACTCCATAGTCGGACTATTCAGACCCAGATTCTCCAGATTTTCCAGACCGTCCATGCTTTACCGTCCATGCTTTTCAGACCTGAACGTCAAGGGTGTCATGGGGATGTCTACAAATATTCCGTTCAACATTCCTGGCCTTGCCAAGAGGTCGGACTGAGTCACATATATGCCAAGTTCTCCGCTCCGGGCATGTGGAAGTCTGTGACCTCATAATCTTTGATTCTCTTGGCCGTTTAGTCACTTCTCAGAGAAGTTGCCCTAATAGCCCTGGGGCACCGTTGAGATTGGGCATGTGATCATCGGCCTCGATTCAATTGGTTAACCGGTCATATCGTTAACATGTCATTTGAAGTAATTTATAAGTACCCCAAACATGCATTCAATGTCAAATCTCTCTTCGATTGGAATCAACAGGTATGGCATACAAACTGGAAAACAGAATCGGTATCGTACAACAGGGGGAAAGAAAAAAAGCCCCCATGTCCCAGGAAACGCCGGGTTAAAGAAATCCAAATCAAAACAAGTAGGCCCCTTGGGGAACACTACTGAAATGACTAATAATTATACAAGTCTATGGTCCTTGTGGTGTTCAGGGGACGACCTGGATACCAATGGACTTGGCCTGGGATATGACACTCTTGCACAATCCCTCCAGGGACAAGCCTGACAGCCGTGTTTCGGTTTGCTTAAGCTTGGCAATCTCGTAAACGTGCTTGAGGGAGATCTTGCCACAAACTTCGTGGCCGGGGTTCATTGCACCACGCAGCCGGTTCTTCCGGGGTTCGACATTGGCTGCGTTGAGCAGAAGGTAGGTGGTTGTTGGAGTGCGGAGTTCAAAGGAGAAAGATCGATCGGGGCGGACGGTAACACGCGCAGGGATTGGGACACCGGTGTTGATATGAGCTGTGCGAGCATTGAATTCCTAGAAGAAGAATAAATATAGTGAACAGCTAACGGGGTAAACAAAGACTGACCTTGCAAAAGTCCATGGACTTAACACCTTTACTTCCCAGGGCCGGACCAACAGGCGGACTGGGACTGGCTTGACCGGCTCCGACAATGAGCTTAACAAAGACGTCCTTAGCCAATGCGTTTCGTGCCATGATGAGAATATGGGGATAATTGTCAAAAGAGACCAAAAACAGAGAGGTCAAATTCGGAAGATTTGCAGATTTTCAGGTGTCGACGCTGATTGGCCAAGGCGGGAAGCGAGAGAGAAGGCCCAACGTCATAAGATACTCTGCTTTCTTTCTCTTTTCAAAGGCTTCTTTAGCTGCTAACTTATTTGAATTCCTTTCGATCTTGATATTTACACTATCTAGATTGATTTTCTACCTTTCATCCTCTAGATCGATTCCTTGGTGTATCTCCCTTCCATCCGGAGAGACCCATTCACATCCGAACTAGAACTCTCGGGCCCCGCGTCGATCTCCCCTTCACCTCCCTTTTCTTTTTCTTCTTCTCCCTTTTTTTTTCCAAGTCCACACTAATCGAAATCATGAACTGGCTGAAGTCAACGTACGTTCCGATCGACCCTTCTCTGTTGGGGTTACACTGACCGATTCCATGCGGACAGTCTCTCCGCCGTGGTGGGCACCGAGGAGCCTATCTATGGTCCAGAGGCTATCCATTCGGTTGCAAAGCAAGCCGAGACAACTCCCTACTCCGAAGTGAACAAGGATATTCTGCGCTGGCGCGCATACTCTTACACCAATGTTGAGACCCAAACCTTCTACATCATGGCCGACAACGGGACTCTGGTTTTCGTGCAGGTTATCTACAGCAACATTGTGTAAGGAACATCAGGAGCTTGAAGCTTATACCCTGAAATCGAGGCTTACAGCGGCTGACTCTGTTTCTTGACCTCGATTACAGCGGAATTCACACCACAGCCCAGTTCAACGTGAAGATTTTCGACCGTAGTGGAAAGGGCGACAACAAGTGGTACTCCGACCCACTTTCTAACTACATGTTCGACGAGAGCATGCTCTCCTTCGGCGCCGACAACCTCTCGCTGACCCTCAATGAGGAGGGGAACTCCTACACTATCAAGTCCACTGTCAACAGCGGCGCCCTGGTCGATCTCAAGTTCACCCAGACTGCCCCCGGTTTCGTCATTGGCACGGACGGAACTTCATACTTCGGAACCGACGTCAAGAACCCATGGGGCTCCATGCGCCACGCTTTCTGGCCCCGATGCTCTGTCGAGGGTAGCATCGCCACCAAGGACCAGACCTACGACCTTGGCGGTCGTGGTGTCTTCATCATGGCCCTTCAGGGCATGAAGCCTCACCACGCTGGTAAGAAGCCCTGAAAAGAAATAGACAAGCGAAACAGGCGCCGTACTAACAAAAACACAGCCGCCCGCTGGAACTTCATTAACTTCCAGACCCCCACCTACTCCGCCGTCATGATGGAGTACACCACTCCCCCCTCCTACGGCTCCACGACAGTCAACGTCGGTGGTATTGTCAAGGATGGCAAGGTCGTCTACGCCGGCACAACCAACAAAGTAGCCCATACAGAGACTGGTCAGGATGAAGGCAGTGACTGGCCCGCGCCCAAGTCCATCAAGTGGGAATGGAGCGGTAAGACAACCGATGGCAAGGAGCTCACAGCCGAAGTGGACGGCCCCCTCGGCCCGCGAATGGATCGCATCGACGTTATGGCCGAAGTGCCAGGCTTCATTAAGAGCATTGCTGGCAGTGTTGCCGGTACTCGGCCTTACATTTTCCAGGTATGCGCCCCTTTCGCTGATCCCTGTTTATCCTCAACCATAATATCTAATATTCCCGTACAGTACTCGCCCCAGGACAAGCTGTCATTGAAGATGAAGATCGGCGACGAGGAGATTACCGAGGAGGGAACTATGTTCTCCGAATCCACCTTCATCTCGTAAAGGCTGCCCCGCTTAACTCGCGTACATAGGATCTCATTCTTCCCTGCGGAACCTGATTGTTGGCGTTCATTGTGATGGTTTTCCTGTTGCTACATTTATGTCTAGAGGGATCGGCTTGACTGTCTCTTCTATCATGCGGACCAGATAATCCACAGACTGTATACATGATACTTAATGCTATTTTGACTATATCCTGAAGATACGTTCGTAGATACGCAACGAGGTTGGGCTTCATTGGACTCGTAATATGTAAAATACTATATGTAGGCCGCAACGAGGTGAAAACTACAAATAATTGTACAGGAAAGATCAAACAGTTTCGTTGCTGATCCTCAAATATGAGAAAAATGTACAAAGAAAGGTGCAAAAATTGCATAAAGTACAATTGAACTTAAAACAAGAACCCAACCCTTCTCTAAGAACACCAAGAAAGAATCAAACACAAACAAGTACAGATCAATTATCGACCATCAACTGCTCTCCTTCATCAAGAAGAGTCGTAATCCGCGAAAGATCAGAAATCATCTTACGGCCATGGCCAACGAGCAAGAGCTTCTCGGCATTGGCAGGAAGACCCAGGTAGGTAGGGGGCTCACGCTCCGGCAGGTTATTAACCCAAGCGACGAAGTCGCGCATGCTAGTGGTATCCGGCAGTGTCAAAAGGTTATCGTTTTCGACACCTGAGACGAGCTTGTAGCCGTCTTCGAAGGCGGCGGCTGTGATGAAGCTATTGACCAGGTTCTCGAGGTCCTGGTAGTCGCCCGCGTCGTCAATTTTACCACCGTACATCTCTGCGATAAGAGCGCGGATCATCTCCCACGGAATCTTTTGCGGAGCAACATTGGAACGGCCTTGGGATACTGCATCGACCCAGTGGTCGATGATGAAGGCTGAACATTCGTACTAGGGAGGAACCGTTAGTGTCTTTATAGATAATAAATGGGCTTGGGGGTACTTACGTCACTATCATTGAATTCCCAGAAGCCCTTCCATCCAAGGCTTGGTGCGTAGCGGAGTCTTTCCTGAACGACAGCGTGCAAGAAGCAGAGCAAGAGGTAGACACGGGCCTTTTCGACGGGAGCCTTGCTGGCTCTTACACTCAGTGAAGAGAGCGAGTCCTTCATGTTGGCACGCACACCCGCGGGCTGTTCGTACATCAGCACACGCGAGGCGCGGATCAGATTGACAGGAATCTTCGGGCTGGACTCCATGGACAAGAAGAGGCGGAATTCCTTGTGTGGCTTGAGGGAATCCAGCCTCTTTTCAAGACTCTGCAGCCAAGCAGGCGCCAGGTGGACGTTCTTGACCAGAACCCAGTTGCCGACTGCAGCTGCGTTGCTGATGGCCTTGTCAGCACTTTCGAGACCTTCGTTGGATCCCATAGCGATGTTGGCGCAGGTTGCGTGTGTAGCTTCGACAAGGGCATCAACCTTGTAACTGGCATCGAAGCCAGGGCTTGAGCTCAGCGCGATGGGTCTGGTTGCAGTGACTTGGTCAACTACGTCCTTGAGGTCGGCACCACCCTCGAAGAGCTCGCGGCCAAACACCGCCTCGATGAAACGCTCGGCGCTGGGCACAAATCGGTCCATGCGACAGATCTTGACAAGGAGCAAGGACCGAAGGAGCTGGTCGAGTTGAGACACGCTTTCGTCCCACATAACCGGAACGACGTTCTCTGCAAGTTCCTCATCGAAGAAGCGGTCCCACTGTTCTTGGGTGACATTTGAAAGATGGTCTTTGAAGAGGGACATGTTGGCCAACTTCGTCATCACTTGGTCGCGGGCGTCCACAGCAGTTGAAAAATCCGTACCCTCCACTGTCTCATCCAGGACACGGTCGAGAATGGTCCGGTCCATGGGGAATGGAGTAGCTTGAGCAAGCAGGATAGCGAGGGTAATGCGATCCTTCTGGACGAGACCCAGTGAGGTTCGCTGGTAGGTGTTGATGAACAGGTCCCTGACAATGATCTGGACACGCGCAGAGTAATCTTTCTCCTGGGCAAGGCGCTTGTTCTGGTAGAGAACCGAGTTAAAAATGTCGACAAAGTATTGCAGAGAGAACTGGTAGAAGTGGTTGATGTGGTGAAGCTGTTCCAGAACCGCAAATACGGCGCTGCACGAACGGGCAATGATGCTGTACTTCTGCGTAACGTTATCCACCTCGTGCATGACGCCTTCAGTCTCGTCCATCTTCAGAGAGATATCGGCAGCCTCTTTCTTGAGAGTCTCGAGAGTTTCAATGACATTGTCATCATCGAGAATGTTACCACGGGATTCGTTGAGGGCTTGCAGAAGACGCTTCTCAAGTTGTCGAAGGTGGACCTTGAATTCTCCTTGCATCTTGACGAGATTGTTGCGACGTTCATCGACATCCGGCCGCTCGAATTTGAGGACATCATTCAAAGACTGTGTTTGCAAGCTGCTTTGGGTAACAGTGAAGTTGACGAAGGTGGTACGACTGCAAATATCCGGCGGGAACGAGGCAGATGGATCCCGGGTCGATAGGAAGAGCTTGAAGGATGGCGAGAAATCAATTTCTTGCTTGCCCAATTGAATGAGAACACGACCACCAGTCTTTTGGTATTCCTTGTTGAGGACGTGATTGAGAATAGGGTCCAGGTGCTCGGCATCCTGGATAAGGATGGGATTACCGAACCGCAACGCGCTCTCCAATTGCTTGACAAAGGAATCGTCCAGGAAACTCGTGACGGTGAGCTTGCGGTCTTTGCTTTCCTTCTGTAAGAATTCTGTAATACGGCCAGATGGATCAACAATAAGCGGGTATCTGTTAAATCTCTTAAGGATGATAGCGTTCTCAGTGCAAAGGTCGTCAACGGGAAGAGAATGACTCTGCCAGGTCAGACGCTCATCAGCACTGGACAAGTATTCTGTGATTGGGTTGTGAGGCTTGAAGTCAATGCCAGAGGCACCCAGCTGATGGACCCAGTCCTCAGCCATTGCTTTACGGAATTGCTGATCGTAAAGACCGGCATATGCAAGGAATGCAGCCGCAATGAGGACATCGCCAACCAGGGTACTGATCTGAGTTTCGAATGACTTGCTCCCATCTTCCCAGCGCTCACGCTCAGAGGACAAACTGTCAAGCAAACGAACACTGCGGTCGACCTTGAACTGAACGCGATTCATCTCGGTCTTGATCGCCTGTGTCTCGCTGATGAGGGCCGCGTACTCGGCCTTGTAAGTAGCGATGCTGCTTTCGAGGTCGTTGATGGTATTTTCAATGGCCTGAGCTTCGGCCTTGGTTTGCAGGGCTTGCTCCTCGAGTTGATCCACCTCGTCACGCAAAGGACCAACACGATCGAGGATTGCAGAGTAGTTGACCTGGGCTTCGACCCATTGCACTAGAGGACCACAGGCCTTACTAGCGCGGTTGACTCGCTCATATGTGAAGTCTTCCTTTGAAAGGAACTCATTCTGCATCTTGGTACGGTGCCTGCGCGTCATCTGGCGCTCATTGTCATAGTTGACGATACTGGCAATGAAATCATCCCGACGAATGAGACCTTGGATCGTTTTCCAACTGTCTACGGTGTGACCGAGAAGTGTGCAGACGGCTTCCAGGGCAAGTCGGACGCTGGCCGGAGGATTACCCATGGACCGAACTTCCGTGAGGTGTTGACGTTTGATGTTGCTCACACTCTTCTGGGCTTCCAGGACAGCGGGTTCAGCCCGGGCCAGATCGTGCAGGACAACTTCTTTCCGAGTTGCGACTTCCTTCTCTTGAATCTCCAACGCGGCCTGCACTTCCAATGAAACGTGCTTCCGCTGTTCTGCCTCCTGCTGATCAGCAACCATACGCTGCAGCTTCTCGTTTGCTTCCATATCCTTCTTCTCCAATTGTGTCTTCTTTTGTGCGAGACTAGCTCGAAGGTCGCTCACTTTGTCGACGGTGTCATGAAGCTTTTCGAGACCAATGTTCAGGTGACGCTGTTGTTCCTCGAGATCCTCGCGCTTCTCGTTGAACAGCTTGACGTACTGCGCCACAAAGTCAAGATAATGGCGAGGGGTGAGGAAAGTGACTCGGCCTTGTTGCTTCTGAAGTCGCCCATTGAAGCGATGCAAAGAGTGGTGAATATACACCATGGAATTGACAACAGTGTCTCTGTGCGATGCCGGGAGAGCTAACTCGCGATACGCCACTGGGATGCTATCAGGTGAGATAAAGTTCGGCTTGTCCAGATCGACCGATTGAGTGAGCTCGGAGCCAACCTGGAACAGGGCTTGGTCAGACCAGTCACCCATCCAGTTCAAGACACAACGATTAAACAAGGCGGGACTAGTAGCTGCCTTTGAAGATAGGCCCTCTTCTGGCGGGTTCATGGTAAACACAACGTGCAGGTTCTTCACAATTTGTGAGGTAAACCACTTGTACAGCTCCTCCTGCGAGTCGAGAAGCAAGCCTTGACGTTGGGCGCCCTCTTTACAAGCAGTCATCAATGAGGAGAATTCATCGCCCTCGAAGAGACCAGGGACTTCTGCGTTTGCAAGCAAAGTGTTCATGCGTTCCAGGAATCCAGAGTCTAGGACGTTTGACTCGTCCATAATGAAACAAATCTTTTCGCCCTTGCATCCTGCCCTGCGAAGAACGCTACGGAGATCATCGTCGAAGTCTTCCGAAGAGTACTTTCCGTGCACCTTGATCTGGAAGACCTTCAAACCATTCATCCAAGCGACGAAGCGAGATAGGGTTGTCTTTCCACTTCCGCTCACACCGATAAGAATGAGATGACCTTGAGGCTGGCGGAAGACTCGATCGATACGTAGCGCGTGTTCAAGGACATCGTTGAACAACACAAGTGGAACATCCACCTCCTCCTCACAGAAGGTTCTTAGACGTGCCTTCACAAAGTCACGCAGACTCTCCTGTTCGACAGGGACGTAGTTTTTGGACAGCCAGTTAGAGAACAGGATTGGGCCCTTCAGTGCTTCCTGCTCATCAATTGTAGGGAAATGTTCCAATGCAATGCGGCGAACAGCATC